ATTCTGCAAAAGTCTGTTCAAGTATTTTGTTTAAAATAATCCGAGGAACTTTTTTTCTCAGCGAATTGTTTATTTTGGTTTACATGGCTATGGAAAACATGTATCACTACGCACGATCTATACGTAAGATTTCGACAAGTTGCTGATGTTAATGTTTAATGCAATTATTCCTTAATTTGGAAGCAAAAATGTGAAAATGATAAATAGAATTCATCACTCGTGTTTTTTAATATGGGAAATATCAACCTCGTCCCGTTAATCGGTATTTAATATGGATTAAACATCTCCCTAACCTGAGTATAATCTCATATGTACTCTAAGTTCCGTACTATATTACTTTGCGGAGACATTGAGTATAATTTTTGAGTTGGCATTGTATGCTGTCTGAATGACTTTACACAAATCCCTGCGTCAATGGACCCGTGAAGATCTTCAACAACCCATTCTTGGCGTAAAAGGGCGACAGCGCTTGTCGTCACTGGCGACTACCGGGATCGGGTGGTCAGGCTCGCTGACTTGGTTGATGCATGTCATCGTATCCCAATTGCGTGGATCGATGCACATGATTTCAATCACTGGATTGTCTGGTCCAGACTCGATTATTTACAGAAAGCCGTCATACAGCTGAAATATTGCTAAGTGCGGCGTTATACAACTAACAAACAAACACAATTTTGAGGAATTCACAACAATCACTATGAGGAGGTATGCATATCTTGCAATCAACCTGAATCCAGTTACTGGAATGTCAAACCCGCTTGGTTAAAACAAGAATTGCAGTTAGATCCGCTATATGCTGTAGATCTCCTGTAGTCAAGAGATGCAATAGCGAGGCAGAACTATGTCAATTTATGAGGGACAGACAGCTACTCGAACATTTAAAAACATAGCAGCCAAAGTTAAAAATGAAATCATATCATGTACGAAAATAGAAATCATATCAACACAAAAAGAGAAAGTGTATGAGTACTAAAACTTGGAATAGATATGTGTACCCTACGACAGTCTACAACACACTGACATCGCATCAAATATATTTGTGTACCGATTACATAACTCTTACTGACAGGGTGGAGTGGTAGTTCACGCTAAACGGACGACACTGTGTAAATTGAGCGGCTCCTTTGATATCGCCTCCCAACATACTTTTAATGAACGACCCATTAAACGATGATACACATCAGGATCGCGGAGAAAATACAAGATTCGTTCTCGTTGAATACATATATCAAGGCACCAATTCATCTTTCATAAACTTTTTGTGTCTTTGTGCTTAATATATCCACATATCAACGAAAATATGTAATACATATATCCACAAAAAAATACATGTACAGGCTAGATATTTGCCCACAGCAACACCTGCATAACTGTTTATTCACGTGTGGTGTGGCAGATTGTAATTGACCGAGAGGAAGTATTGTAGAATCACCTGTAAATAAGGCCGACACTGTAATTAGACACAACGTACTAATGAGAATATGAGAATTAACATAAGAAGGCTGTTGCGTTTTTCTTAACTATTACCATTTTCATACCAAAAGTGACAATGCAGTTAAAAGTTGCTTTGGTGTCACAATATTCACTCACGTTTTCCTCAATCGCATTGAAACTTAATTCCCACTGGTCAGTTCGACACCGCATGTAATTAAATAATTATTTCGAGATTTCGTTAGAATGTAACATATTCAGCCAAACGTTATGCAATAAAAGACGAATAGTTTTTTCCATTAAAATACGAGCACTCGTAACTGTATATTGCATACCTAGTGCCACGTAATTGCCCAGTGTGATGTATCAACGGGACATGAAATGGGAAATGAAATAGAAACTAACTAAACTTTAATATTGGGGAAAATAACTCCAATGAATTGGAGTACACGCACATGAATTCGTATCATAAACTGTCAAAACGTTTTGAGAGGTAAGGCCGGATTCATTAAAGATCGCTACAATATGTAAAACAGGTGAAAGTTGTAGAACTTCTATAAAGGAAACATCCAACCAAATGCCCTTTTTAAATAGTAATGTAATGATATAATATAAAGTATATTTCACATGATACAGTTTACTTTGCACACAGTTAGTTGATGCTTTAAAGGGACTGACGAAAACATGGGCGAAATATTTTAATAACGCCGTAAAATATTTGAATTAAGTTAAAATTTGTTAAATTATGTTACATGAAACTTCTAAAAACTATGTATATGCGACACTAAAACATAAGTTTTGAGCAAAGGGAAATATTCTCGCCCATGCGCCTGCCCATGGGCCAAACCTTTTCTCGCCCATGAGTTAAATATTTCAATAACGCTATAACATAGTTGAATTAAGTAAAATTGAGTAACATTATGTGCCATGAAAATGGTAAGAACACCTGCATTTATTTGCGAAGCAAAAACATAAGTTTTGAGTAAAGGAAAATATTCTCGCCCATGGGCAAAACCTTTTTCTCGCCCATGGGCGAAATATTTCAATATCGCTATAAAATAGTTGAATTAAGTTAAAATGAGTTACATTTTGTGTCATGATACTTGAATGAATACATTTAATGTATTTGCGAAACAAAAACATGAGTTTTAAGTAAAGAAACATATTCTCGCCCATGGGCCAAACCTTTCTCTCGCCCATGGGCGAAATGTTTCAATATCGCTATAAAATAGTTGAATTAAGTTAAAATGAGTTAAATTTTGTGTCATGATACTTGAATGAATACATTTAATGTATTTGCGAAACAAAAACATGAGTTTTAAGTAAAGAAACATATTCTCGCCCATGGGCCAAACCTTTTTCTCGCCCATGGGCGAAATATTTCAATATCGCTATAAAATATTTGAATTAAGTTAAAATGAGTTAAATTTTGTGACACTTGAATTACTACATTTAATTTATTTGCGAAACAAAAACATGAGTTTTAAGTAAAGGAACATATTCTCGTCCATGGGCCTGCCCATGGGCCAAACCTTTCTCTCGCCCATGGGAGAAATGTTTCAATATCGCTATAAAATAGTTGAATTAAGTTAAAATGAGTTAAATTTTGTGTCATGATACTTGAATAAATACATTTAATGTATTTGCGAAACAAAAACATGAGTTTTGAGGAAAGGAACATATTCTCGCCCATGGGCAGGCCCATGGGCGAGATAGTGTAAATATTGAGTTTTTTAACAAAAAAAATTTCATTTTTTCTTCCTTGGTATGTTCCCATGAAAACAGCATGTTTAATTTTGTAAATACCTCTGACCGAGAGTCGGCAAAGACCGTAGAGTTTCCGGACTTTTGGGTTTCAAGAATTAAAATGGGACGTGTTATTAAAGTCTTTACGGCCATTTGTCATGCCACGCCTTTCAAATGCAACGTGTCATGCAACGTGAAAGTGCCATCGGCATGTTGCAGACGGGAACGTCCGTAGCTGAAGTTGCAAGGACGATGGGTTGTAGTCGACGGACTGTTTATGATTTACAGACGCGTCTACAGCAAACGGGTACCACCGCTGACGTCACATGCAGAGGATCGTCAGATTTTCTTACCTCACCTCCGTAACCGATTTGTGACGGCTACATCAACCAAAAATGAACTGTTTAGGGGTAGACTGAGTGCGTCTGAGAACTGCTCACCTACAAGCACGACGGCCATACTGCGCGCCGATTCTGACTCAATTACACAGACGTCAACGTAAATTGTGGGCACAGCGACACTTACGATGGAATCAGAAGAATTGGAATCAAGTCGTCTTCAGTGATGAATCCCGATTTAATCTTCGATTTGCTGATGGTAGGGCGAGGGTGTGGCGGCGCCGTCATGAACGTTACGCCCAGTGTTGTGTAAAGGAAGTTGACAGATTTCGAGGCGGAAGTGTCATGGTGTGGGGTGCTTTCCGTGGCAATGCACGTTCCAGGTTTCTTGTCATCCGTGGCAACCTCAACGCTGCTGCTTACCGCGACAAGGTACTGGCACCAGAATTTCTGCCTTTTATGGCAGCACATGGACCCGGTTTGATCTTCCAACACGACAATTGCTAGACCGCACACAGCAATTTTGACAAGGAATTTCCTTCAGAATGCGGGAGTCAACGTCATGGACTGGCCGTCAAGGTCTCCCGACCTCAATCCCATCGAACACGTCTGTGATGCTCTTGGCAGAAGTCTGCGCACTCTCCAGAACCAACCACAGAATTTGCAAGATCTTGGCACCATTTTGCAGCAACAATTGCGTCGTCTTCCCAATCATGTGTTCACAAGCATCACAAGGTCCATGCGGAGGCGTTGTGTGGCAGTTGTCAACGCACATGGTGGCCATACACGCTACTGAACTTGTGTGCCATCAGATCCTCGTGCTTGGGACTTATGATTTAAACTGTTGATGTTATTACCGAATACCGTAGGTGCTTGGAACAAATTATGGTTACCACCATTAATTAAAATCCTTCCTTGGACATTAATGATTAAAAATTACCTTCTCTGATACATTTGTCCGTTGTATATCATATATGGGATTACTTTTAAAAATGTGAAGTTTTTAATTTGACTCAGTATATAAATCAACTTTAAACCAGAGATAGTGCATTGTGTCTGCGGATGCAGAGCTAGAAATTCGTCTTCACGATATAACAGTGTATACTAGTGTTTCAACGATCTTATGTTTGATAGAAAGATTCCAATGAATTCCCATTCTCCACATGCGCTGCGAATAATAGAACAAATTTTCGGAAAATCACAAAAAGAAACGGGGAAGCGGGCAGAACGGTAGTCAAATTTGCTGGGAAGAGTTGTGTCCCTTAGCCGGGCTCGGATCTGCTTGTCGTAGGTTCGAATATAAAATCCAGCACTTATCCGTGCTCGAGACGTAAATCTAAGCTTAGTGTCTTCACTCACTACCGCAAAGGGAGGCTATGCTGCTCTCCAGAGGGCCAAATCATTCCCAAGACACAACTATTAATTAACTTTAAATAAAAATTTAACGCAAACTTTTACTCCACCCTCAGCAATAATCAAGCAATATCACGGCGAGGATACCAAGCGTGTGTTTATTTATGACCCACCTGACAATTTGAATATCTTCCAAACTACAAACCTTCCATCGACTCTGTGACAGAAAGTGTTGTGTACTCCCAACAGGGGTGTGGACTTGGCGCTTTATAGATATGAACATTATTATTATAATGAATATTATTATTATTATTTTATTATTATTACACCTCACCAGGTAAAATGATAAAACACTGGAGCCCGTGTATAACTGGAATACCTGATATATTAACACCTGTCAGTAAAACATCATGGCACTTTGTCGAGCATGTAGAAAGAGTCAGATGATGCAAGTGGAGACACATGCATGTTCTTCATCCCTTTGGATTTTGTCATTGGAAACATTACCATCAACGACAACAATGAATGTGCTTGGAAAACATATATTGGTGAATTATCAATCCATTAATGTTTAGAAGTTAAGATCCTATTCGGTGACTCCCTTCCTGGCTAGATCCTCCTTGACCCGGGTCAGATACGTGTCGTCGGGGTAGCCGAACCTGAAACACAACACGACGCGGACAGTTCATGCACCAGGACAAACGAAGACATACTTTCCTTTTTCTTTTCTGAAGCCATATACGACACTATAATGAGAGTAAACAGATTATAACATGATTGGTAGAACAAACGTCGTAAACACTCTGGTCTGCAAATTTTAAAGAGTGTTCGCACCTAAGAATGTCGGCCGTTCGTACATACCGAGCTGTCCCTCCCTTCATGCTGGTCTTATGAAGAATGTCGCCCCCTCATACATACCTAGCTGTCCCTCCCTTCATGCTGGTTTTATGAAGAATGTCGCCCCTTCATACATACCTAGCTGTCCCTCCCTTCATGCTGGTCTTATGCTGAATGTCGCCCCTTCATACATACCTAGCTGTCCCTCCCTTCATGCTGGTTTTATGAAGAATGTCGCCCCTTCATACATACCTAGCTGTCCCTCCCTTCATGCTGGTCTTATGAAGAATGTCGCCCCTTCATACATACCTAGCTGTCCCCCCCTTCATGCTGGTCTCATGAAGAATGTCGCCCCTTCATACATACCTAGCCGTCCCTCCCTTCATGCTGGTCTTATAAAGAATGTCGTCCCTTCATACATACCTAGCTGTCCCTCCCTTCATGCTGGTCTTTTGAAGAATGTCGCCCCTTCATACATACCTAGCTGTCCCTCCCTTCATGCTGGTCTTATGAAGAATGTCACTTCTTCGTACATACCTAGCCGTCCCTCCCTTCGTGCTGGTCTTATGAAGAATGTCACTTCTTCGTACATACCTAGCTGTCCCTCCCTTCATGCTGGTCTTATGCTGAATGTCGCCCCTTCATACATACCTAGCTGTCCCTCCCTTCATGCTGGTCTTATGAAGAATGTCGCCCCTTCATACATACCTAGCTGTCCCTCCCTTCATGCTGGTCTTATGAAGAATGTCGCCCCTTCATACATACCTAGCTGTCCCTCCCTTCATGCTGGTCTTATGAAGAATGTCGCCCCTTCATACATACCTAGCCGTCCCTCCCTTCATGCTGGTCTTATGAAGAATGTCGCCCCTTCATACATACCTAGCCGTCCCTCCCTTCATGCTGGTCTTATGAAGAATGTCGTCCCTTCATACATACATAGCCGTCCCTCCCTTCATGCTGGTCTTATGCTGAATGTCGCCCCTTCATACATACCTAGCTGTCCCTCCCTTCATGCTGGTCTTATGAAGAATGTCGCCCCTTCATACATACCTAGCTGTCCCTCCCTTCATGCTGGTCTTATGAAGAATGTCGCCCCTTCATACATACCTAGCTGTCCCTCCCTTCATGCTGGTCTTATGAAGAATGTCGCCCCTTCATACATACCTAGCTGTCCCTCCCTTCATGCTGGTCTTATGAAGAATGTCGCCCCTTCATACATACCTAGCTGTCCCTCCCTTCATGCTGGTCTTATGAAGAATGTCGCCCCTTCATCCATACCTAGCCGTCCCTCCCTTCATGCTGGTCTTATGAAGAATGTCGTCCCTTCATACATACCTAGCTGTCCCTCCCTTCATGCTGGTCTTATGAAGAATGTCGCCCCTTCATACATACCTAGCTGTCCCTCCCTTCATGCTGGTCTTATGAAGAATGTCGCCCCTTCATACATACCTAGCTGTCCCTCCCTTCATGCTGGTCTTATGAAGAATGTCGCCCCTTCATCCATACTTAGCCGTCCCTCCCTTCATGCTGGTCTTATGAAGAATGTCGTCCCTTCATACATACATAGCCGTCCCTCCCTTCATGCTGGTCTTATGAAGAATGTCGCCCCTTCATACATACCTAGCTGTCCCTCCCTTCATGCTGGTCTTATGAAGAATGTCGCCCCTTCATACATACCTAGCTGTCCCTCCCTTCATGCTGGTCTTATGAAGAATGTCGCCCCTTCATACATACCTAGCTGTCCCCCCCTTCATGCTGGTCTTATGAAGAATGTCGCCCCTTCATACATACCTAGCCGTCCCTCCCTTCATGCTGGTCTTATAAAGAATGTCGTCCCTTCATACATACCTAGCTGTCCCTCCCTTCATGCTGGTCTTTTGAAGAATGTCGCCCCTTCATACATACCTAGCTGTCCCTCCCTTCATGCTGGTCTTATGAAGAATGTCACTTCTTCGTACATACCTAGCCGTCCCTCCCTTCGTGCTGGTCTTATGAAGAATGTCACTTCTTCGTACATACCTAGCTGTCCCTCCCTTCATGCTGGTCTTATGAAGAATGTCGCCCCTTCATACATACCTAGCTGTCCCTCCCTTCATGCTGGTCTTATGAAGAATGTCGCCCCTTCATACATACCTAGCTGTCCCTCCCTTCATGCTGGTCTTATGAAGAATGTCGCCCCTTCATACATACCTAGCTGTCCCTCCCTTCATGCTGGTCTTATGAAGAATGTCGCCCCTTCATACATACCTAGCCGTCCCTCCCTTCATGCTGGTCTTATGAAGAATGTCGCCCCTTCATACATACCTAGCTGTCCCTCCCTTCATGCTGGTCTTATGAAGAATGTCGTCCCTTCATACATACATAGCCGTCCCTCCCTTCATGCTGGTCTTATGCTGAATGTCGCCCCTTCATACATACCTAGCTGTCCCTCCCTTCATGCTGGTCTTATGAAGAATGTCGCCCCTTCATACATACCTAGCTGTCCCTCCCTCCATGCTGGTCTTATGAAGAATGTCGCCCCTTCATACATACCTAGCTGTCCCTCCCTTCATGCTGGTCTTATGAAGAATGTCGCCCCTTCATCCATACCTAGCCGTCCCTCCCTTCATGCTGGTCTTATGAAGAATGTCGTCCCTTCATACATACATAGCCGTCCCTCCCTTCATGCTGGTCTTATGAAGAATGTCGCCCCTTCATACATACCTAGCTGTCCCTCCCTTCATGCTGGTCTTATGAAGAATGTCGCCCCTTCATACATACCTAGCTGTCCCTCCCTTCATGCTGGTCTTATGCTGAATGTCGCCCCTTCATACATACCTAGCCGTCCCTCCCTTCATGCTGGTCTTATGAAGAATGTCGCCCCTTCATACATACCTAGCTGTCCCTCCCTTCATGCTGGTCTTATGAAGAATGTCGCCCCTTCATCCATACCTAGCCGTCCCTCCCTTCATGCTGGTCTTATGAAGAATGTCGTCCCTTCATACATACATAGCTGTCCCTCCCTTCGTGCTGGTCTTATGAAGAATGTCGTCCTTTCATACATACCTAGCTGTCCCTCCCTTCGTGCTGGTCTTATGAAGAATGTCGTCCTTTCATACACACCTAGCTGTCCCTCCCTTCATGCTGGTCTTATGAAGAATGTCGCCCCTTCATACATACCTAGCTGTCCCTCCCTTCATGTTGGTCTTATGATGAATGTCGCCCCACGTCACCACATAACTCTGGTCGGATGATGCCGCACAAACGATCGTGAATATCAACTTTCGTTTAAATGCTGTTCTTAAAAGTCTAAGAATTCCCATTCCTTTGGTAGAGTTTGGTAGGTACGCTTTCCTTGTCACCCCTTTGTAGGGCTCGCCCGGATCAGGATGTGCAGGCTGTGGGCAAACAAGGTGAAGGTCGATGATGATAAAGATACCTGAAAATACCTCTTGTCTTAGTTAAAGGCAAACATAAGATTCGCTTTCTGCAAGGCTTCTTTGACAGTAAATTCGAATACCAGATTCGTCCTGTTACAATGTCATAAAACTCAGATCTATTACCTCTCTGTGTGAAGATCTGGTAAGCCCTCCATTGGAGGTCGCGTTTGTGAACCATGATCCCCCACTTAAATATTTCTTCGATAGTACTTTTGCGTGTATGATGCTCGAAAGGACTGGGTAAACTGGAAAGGTATTCGCACTATTGCTTTAATGCACTGAACTTTCCCAACACAAAAACATATCATGAACCATTTTATCTTCACCACATCACGAGACAGTTGACCTCACACACGGCCAACTTTGAAACAGAAAAGCCTCTATCTAGCGTAATGACAAACTTATAAGGTCTTCTGGTTTAATCATTCATAATCACTTTCGGTTTCGGACATCACCTGCCCAATGCACCATAACTTTGAAACAGAAAGTTCCATGCTTCTATAGCTACCTCACTACCCAAAGTTATAAGCACCTGCCTTTTAATAACATCACTTCCTGTTCGGGAAAGCACGTGGCCGATAGTTTACAACTTTGAAACAGAAAGTTCCATGCTTCTATAGTTACCTCACTACCCAAAGTTATAAGCACCTGCCTTTTAATAACATCACTTCCTGTTCGGGGAAACACGTGCCCAATAGTGTACAAATTTGAAACAGAAAGTTCATGCCTCTATACTTACCTCACTACCCAAAGTTATAAGCACCTTCCTTTTAATAACATCACTTCCTGTTCGGGGAAACACGTGCCCAATAGTGTACAACTTTGAAACAGAAAGTTCCATGCTTCTATAGTTACCTCACTACCCAAAGTTATAAGCACCTGCCTTTTAATAAAATCACTTCCTGTTCGGGGAAACACGTGCCCAATAGTGTACAACTTTGAAACAGAAAGTTCATGCCTCTATAGTTACCTCACTACCCAAAGTTATAAGCACCTGCCTTTTAATAACATCACTTCCTGTTCGGGAAAACACGTGCCCAATAGTGTACAAATTTGAAACAGAAAGTTCATGCCTCTATACTTACCGCACTACCCAAAGTTATAAGCACCTGCCTTTTAATAACATCACTTCCTGTTCGGGGAAACACGTGCCCAATAGTGTTCAACTTTGAAACAGAAAGTTCCATGCTTCTATAGTTACCTCACTACCCAAAGTTATAAGCACCTGCCTTTTAATAACATCACTTCCTGTTCGGGGAAACACGTGCCCAATAGTGTACAACTTTGAAACAGAAAGTTCCATGCTTCTATAGCTACCTCACTACCCAAAGTTATAAGCACCTGCCTTTTAATAACATCACTTCCTGTTCGGGAAAGCACGTGGCCAATAGTGTACAACTTTGAAACAGAAAGTTCCATGCTTCTATAGCTACCTCACTACCCAAAGTTATAAGCACCTGCCTTTTAATAACATCACTTCCTGTTCGGGAAAGCACGTGGCCAATAGTGTACAACTTTGAACAGAAAGTTTCATGCTTCTATAGCTACCTCACTACCCAAAGTTATAAGCACCTGCCTTTTAATAACATCACTTCCTGTTCGGGAAAGCACGTGCCCAATAGTGTACAACTTTGAAACAGAAAGTTCATGCCTCTATACTTACCTCCCTACCCAAAGTTATAAGCACCTGCCTTTTAATAACATCACTTCCTGTTCGGGAAAACACGTGCCCAATAGTGTACAACTTTGAAACAGAAAGTTCATGCCTCTATACTTACCGCACTACCCAAAGTTATAAGCACCTTCCTTTTAATAACATCACTTCCTGTTCGGGAAACACGTGCCCAATAGTGTACAACTTTGAAACAGAAAGTTCATGCCTCTATACTTACCGCACTACCCAAAGTTATAAGCACCTGCCTTTTAACAACATCACTTCCTGTTCGGGGAAACACGTGCCCAATAGTGTACAAATTTGAAACAGAAAGTTCATGCCTCTATACTTACCTCACTACCCAAAGTTATAAGCACCTGCCTTTTAATAACATCACTTCCTGTTCGGGAAAACACGTGCCCAATAGTGTAAAAGTTTGAAACAGAAAGTTCATGCCTCTATACTTACCTCACTACCCAAAGTTATAAGCACCTGCCTTTTAATAACATCACTTCCTGTTCGGGAAAACACGTGCCCAATAGTGTACAACTTTGAAACAGAAAGTTCATGCCTCTAAAACACCTAAATGACAAAGCTCTAAACAATTCCGGTTTATTGACCTTGATGAACTGCCTAAATAGCGTGTATATACAGTTTCGTTAAATTCCAATCTTATATGATCAAGGTATTGTGCACACACAGACTATTTGAGACATCTCTTTCCCAAGGAATGACATTTACATTTAAGGTTATGCAATCACATGCTAGAACATTACAGTTACAAGTCATTTACGGCCTTGACATTTGACACAATTTTGACATATGATAGGTGATGAATTTTACTTTGGGCTCATCGCAACTGATTGCAAAAAACTTTGATTTTTCATGAAATAATCTGAAATTTCATTTAACTTTACCTCTAATGACCTGGACCTTACACGGGGGTCATTCAAACGTTAATGTGATCGAGACCCCACCTTAGAGATGTGTACTAAGTTTCGTCACAATCCAATCGTTAATACGCAAGCATTATTGACAAACATCCAACATTGAGTGACCTTGACATTCAGTGTCACCCTCTTACATGCGACAAAATGATTTTCGTAACATTTAATGGTGTATAAATATAAACTATCCTAATCAAACTGCAAATACTCCCTGGACGAAACTATTCTACTCAACTTTGGATAACAGTAAGGAGTGTCCTGCTTGAGGCTTAACGAAACCGATTGTTTGGAAATGTTGTCATACAAATAGTATCTGGAACTGAATCATGCTTGACTTCATTTCAAGTTAATTAAGCAAACGTATGTTGCATTGATATTGATGTCCACTAGTATTGTAACAGGACAAACTTTTTTGTATCCCTATCAATTGTTGAGTAGAATATTTACATGTTATTTACTCAATGAATGACCTTCAAAGCGACCTTGAAATTTGACAAAGCTATCAGCTATCAGTTATGCAGCTATGAATACTTTTCTCTCTTGTACTGAAAATGTTGAATTTTCGACGCTGATTGGCTAAGTTCATCTGACGCATCCTCCTATGGAATAGTTGTCATAACTGCACCCGAGGGGTATCGTACGGAGGTAAAAGATCCGACTTTAATTAGATGGGCCATGATTATGATTCTTGGTTTGTCAGTACCATATCTGTGTTCACGTGTCCTTTTTCAATTTGTAAACTTCTAAGACATGCGTTACTGGCACCGAATTGCAAGAAACATGGCATCGAATCCGTATAAGGACGAGCAGCTTGACACTGGCGTCGAACACGTATAAGAATTAGGACTGACCATTTAAAATTCTCGGGAGGGCCTAGGGTGTTTGTTAGGGACCGAATATGTGTTTGATCACTGTGAATGACATTTTATTTTATTTTCATAACACTTTTTTTCAGAACAACTAGCTTTACCATCGACAATATTCATAATAAAAAAAGATTTAAACTAAAAATAATGATAATAGTTAACAAAGTGACTTCTCACCCCTTGGACGCCATCAGGGATGCGATACGTGATGACTATGGTGTCGTATTTACTGTAGCCAGGTAAGCGATCGTCTACCAGGCCCACGTCCATCTTCCCTTCCGGCTGATTGCCGATGATGACTCCATACACCATGTCACAGGTGGGACACACAGGTTTGTAACTAGCAAAATGTCTGTCTATACACCCGCTACAGAATACATGCCCACATTTATCTAACGTTTTGGGATGCTTCATCACACGTGAACACATAGGACAGTCTACACCCTGAGTCTCCGTCTTGACCTCCTCTTCGTCAGAACTCCAGGAACTTCTGTTCTGACTTGACAAGGGATTAGCTTCGGGGGTCAAACTATGGCCTTTCCCCACTGTCCACTCGGGTAAGTCGGCCTCCTCGGTGCTGATGTGGATAGCGGGCACGTTTTCTTTGGCTTTGTTCATCTCATGTTGAGCTCGGAGAAGCTCTAGAGCTTCCTCTTCCACCTTGGCTGCCAATGACTGAGACCTCTTCCTCGTCCTTCCCAGCTCGCTAGACTTCGTCCTCCTTGGGGTGTCAGGTTCATCCAGTTTCAACTGGTCGACTTTAACAGGCGACACTGGTTTTTGACCCGCAGGTTTCTTCGCTTGTCTGACCTTTGACGGTTTGGTTGGTGGCAGTGGTTTGTACGACGGTTTGTATGTCGAGTTAGTCACCGCCTTCGTGGGTTTAGACACGGCTTGTTCTTTCCGTGGTGTTTCTGAAGATGGTTTGTTCTCCTTGCCAGGTCCTATGACCTTCTCTCTGACATCTTCGGCTGACTTGAGTAGAGGGCCGCCTTCATACTTCATGTTCAAGTCATACGTCTTCCCATCAACACTGACTCTCGTCCCCTTCATCGATGGACGAACGACAGGTTTATCAGTTCGATGTTCCTCATCAGATGATGCTGGGGAATATCTTGACTTCTTCGGTTTCCTGATTGCACCTGTTTCACCTGTGTCATCACCATTTGTAAAGTCATAGGCTTCAAATGTATCAAGATAACTTCTTCCAAAATGTATCTTCGGCGGATTATAATCCTTCTCTAATTCAGAATCATGACCATTTCCCGTTGCTATTTGCCTAGGATTATTATTATAATTATTTTCTCTGGTTCCTGTTTGCGTGTTAGTTCTATTTCCTTTACTTTGTCTAGTTCCTGTTCGAAGATTTGTACTATGATTTTCTTTATTTTGTCTAATCCTGGTCCACTCATGATCGTCAGATCCAGTACTGTCTATAGAAGACTCAGAGCCTCTTCTCGTACCACGCCGGATTCCACCACGATGGAACTTGGACTTTTTATGCTTGGACCTGGATCTGGGTTTCTCGTCCTCTTCCTCGTCCAGTTTGAAGGACACCGATCTCTTTGTCTTGTCACTCTGGGGCCGCCCACTGAACTCGAACTTACACAGAGCAGCAATCTGATCTACCAGCAGCTCGTCCATGGACACGAACAAGACGTCGGTCAGGGTCTTCGGTTTGAAGGTCGCGACTGAGGTCACGGCAACTTGCACCGCGTCGTCGAGGTTAGACAACCCTGGATGTAGAAGTACATGAACAACTTCAGTAAATATAAGCGACAAACCCTTTCCATATTCATAAGAAATATCTGCCCAAAACAGACTCGAATTACAATTACGACTGTATCGGACGAAACTGAAGAAGCGATCTCACTGGTCTCCTCTATTTCTAGTTCAGGGGGGTAAATCAGAAGAAATTCGTCTATTTGATGGTTATTGAACGATATCAGATCATGTATATATCTTAAGCTCAAGTGAAACTTCTTGGCCTTGAAGTTTGCCCTTAAGTTCATCATGTGGAATAGTGGTATATAAAGTTGAAAATTTACACGTATTTACAGAATTTAACCTGGTTCTTTTCTGACATTGTATAATGTTTTTGAGAAACCACATGGTATTAATTTCACTTGTCTCAAATACTTTCTGTGAATCTAAAGACAGAGATGTTGTGGTAAATGAGGACACAACAGGCTTGTTCACAGCTGAAGCACTAATTATATGTTCAGACCACAGTGTCGCTTTCAGGGTAATATAGTTTTCTTTAAAATCACACTCGCCACTGTGGAGAGAGCACTCCGATGCGCTGTGGAAATTTCTGCACAATGTGGTGGATTTCAATTGACCCAAACCGCAAATATTCTGAAAATTGCTATGCGAAATGTTAGATTTTAATATTCATTTACTGAATCACCATTGATGCGTCGTGTGTATTCATAATGGGATTTAATGTTGGACAACGCTGCAGGCGGCATGAGACCACCCATATGGTCAGGATTTGTTTGTTGTTAAACGTCGCACTCAGCAATATTCCAGCTCTATGACGGCGGTCTGTAAATAATCGACATCATGAGCATCGATCTACGCAATCAGGATACGATGACATGCATCAACCAAGTCACCTATCCACCCGATTCCGTTAGCGGCCTCTTACGACAAGCGTGGTAGCCTTTTACTTCAAGCATGGGTTGCCGAAGATCAGTTCTAACCTGGTTCTGCACGGGCGTCTGGTCCAGGAACACCAGTGGGTGATAACTAATGGGCACGATGTAACACAATCAGCTAGGTCGCACAACAATTAACTGTGGGGGTAGGGCCTGTTCTTCCCCGGGGTCTCAAAAAGGGTGCAAGGGTGAAGGTGGTACAACTTGGTTCATCTCATACATCTTCCCGACAAAAGTCCAGTTTCAACCCTTGCCGAACTTGGGGCTGCAATTGTGGATTTACGTTATGGCTGGACTAACGAGTCCAATCAAAATCACGAGACAGCCGGTTCGTAAACAACATGGATTTCAAAGTGCAGATTTCGGTCGACTGCGGGATTTACAAAGCATGTGTTCGGCCAACTAGGCGTCGATAGGTATTTTGCAAATTTTGCAAATTTTGATGTTTTTAATCAAGGTGATCACGTGAATTTATGCAGTTCGCGGGGTTAGACCCGTTTTATTACAATATAGATCTTGCTTATCGATCAGATCGTCTTTACAGGGCGTCGCCATTTTGTATGAAGCAAATGCAAGTGTTATGAGAGATGGAATCTGATTGGTCGCTGGGAAACACATAGAAGGGACATAACACGTAATAGCCACTGGTGGCGCAACGATCGAGCCCAGAAATTCCAGCCTAGTTCGTCAAGGGTGGAAACTCGACTTTTATAGTCAGTTGACGCCCTTGCCGTGGGAAGATGACAACAAACCTCTTGATATAAACTGACGTCCAAAAGAAACTTTCACCCGACATGCCCCCCATAGAACACCTCTGGGACTTGATTGATGGTCGTGTTCGACAACGACCACACTCTCCAGCCAACCGGCAAGAACTGATCTTGGCCCTCCAAGAAGAATGGCGTCAAATCCCACCTGACCTCATCAGACGACTGACTTTTTCTGTGCGTCGAAGAGTTTTTGCGTGTATTGAGGCAGTTGTTGGTCACACACGCTACTAATGACTTGTTATTGAACGTGAGCCATTGTTTATGTACTCTGCCTATTGTCCGTGATTCTGAAAGCTAGAGTTTTGTACCACACCCAACTTTGGAGGGCTCTTGCGTCATTCTCGGTCGCGGTATGATTGTCATTTTCAGTGTTGATTATGTTAATATATTGATCTTCTCAATACACTTTATTTCATGCATGTATGATTTGTTGTTTTTTAGCAAGAGTGATTTCAAACTCTGGTTAAGTTTCGTTTGGACGTCAGTTTTATAAACGTGTTTATGTGAATGTGACAGTGGTTCAATAAGTTTTCACTTAGAATTTATCCCTATAATTCCTATTAAACAAATTCTTAAAATAATTACCGTATTCGACGTAATATGCGCCCCCCTCTAATAAGCGCCCACGGCGATATTTGCTATTATATTGGCTAGTGAACAATCCCCATTAGCGCCCCTTCCGATTGTGTACACAGGACTAATTTATTCGTGTATAATACGTATGTTATATGCATTCTTAATTATGGAAAATTACATTCTGGAAAAAAATATATCTGTCGTATATAAACATTTCAGGCTGTCAGCATAACCCACGAAATTTACGATCTTTCAATTCTGTTGTTTTTCACCAAAATAATATTCTAATAAGAGCCCCCCTATTTCTAACTGTGAGAACGCCCTGGGCGCTTATTATGTCGAATACGGTACATAACTTTTCCACTGATAGTTATAGGCCTGGTATTATATGTGTAATTATGACCTCGACATCGGTCATTGTTTCAACCATACCCACCTCCGCCAAGCAGCGGGAGCGCCAACACCAGGATGTCGTTCTTCTCCGCCTCCTGGAACATCGTCTCGTACAGCCGCTTCATGTTGATGGCCCACTGTTTGGTCTGGCTTGGCGGACATGCGGACAGGAAGGCGTGGAACACGACCTGGTCCTTAGCCCGGTTGGTCAGTACGTTCCAGAGGGGGAAGGTCAAGTGCTTTTTCTTCATGTCCTCTCTGTCGATCTCGAACAGGGGGTCGAGTTTGATGAGAGCCTTCGTGACAAAGCTCTCGTGTTTCATCATCTTGTCTTCTCCTGTCACAATGGCGTCAGCCACAGCGTCAGTGACGTCCCCCACATACGTCGTCACGTGAAGACCAAACGGGGACTTAAATTGAAATTTGGGAGTTTTCGTCTCCGAATTTGCCATTACACCTGGAAATAAAGGGAATGAATATTGTTTAATGCCGTAGTCAAGAATATTCCAGCTATAGCATGACGGCCTGTATATTATCAAGTCTGGGCTAGGGACTTAAAATATGAACAACGATCCACGCAATCGGGGGCACGATGCCACGCAATCAGCCAAACGTCCAGGCAAAACCACCATATCATTTAAAGTCCGTGCTTTTAGGTTGAATTTTAAGCCGTTTTCAGCAATATTCCAGCAATATCACGGCGGTGGCACACCAAAAATGGGCTTCACACATTGTACCCATGTGGGGAATCGAACCCGGGTCTTCGTGACAAGCGAAAGCTTTAACCACGAGGCTACCCCAGCGCTCCCCGTGCTTACAAGAACAGGATACTGGAGACTCGATCATTCGTACCCGGAATCCCCACGGGATTCTGAAATCCATAGATAACTGCCCAGCCGATGACAAGTAGGACTCAATCGGCAGGTTCGAATTCTTGTCCGCTGCCGATTGAGAACAGTGAGTGGGTAGTTTTTTTACGCCGCTTTTATCATTATTCAAGCCATGTCAGAGGGGATAGCAAACGTCACAGAGTGAACTCACATGGAAAATCGAACCCTGGTTTTAATAGGCTACTATGTAACATCTAGGCTATCACTCTCCTACATATAGAAATCAAACGTATATGAATACTTAGTACATGCTGTGTCGGCTCCAGTACCAACCCCTATGTTCGCCAGTCCCGATATGTACGCTCTGCTAGCTACCACACGTTTATATAGGACCTGCCTGATTTACTTTCTACATAGAGGCATGCTGTTTTAGATGTGTTTCGGAAAGTCCAAAGGGCAATTGGCGACTCTCTGATTATTTAGTTGGGATATCAAGTTTCAAAACGAAAATCAATCCAAATAAGAATCTAGACATTCTGATTACCACATAGTGTTTGAATCGATCCTTAGCCAGGATCGAATATATACCTGCTCATGTATATTACCTTTACCACGAGTTGTGCAACACGTCCTCAAAACTCACTGTCAATCACTTGTAATCAGAGTATCTCAATTTGAAAATATTTGATCATCTCTAAGGGAACGTGTACACAATCACATCTAAAAGTACATATTCCGAACAACTATTCAATTCCTATACATGTCTGATGGGTTCTGTCTGTGTTTACATGTATCATATCACAACATTGAAATTTCACAGCTTTCTCTGTGAATACTTTGAAAACCAAAATCGTTTTAAAGGATTATTTATCAAGTGATTTCTTTTGAAAACCAAAATCGGATTAAAAGGATTATTTACAGTATAATCTATTCACGATCACGTACTTACACTTTTACATGTGTATAGAGTCCTCTCCCAGCGCTGTCAACTACAACTCGAGTGATATGAGTTATTTTTGTGTATTGTGCGTATAGAGCGGATATTTGAACACAAAGGCTGTACGGGCCGTTGAAGACTTCTCAATACGCTCCCATTCTCTACGTACGAGACCGAGAAACCAATACCGAACCTGATATCGAATATTGACTCTATTGAAATGTTGTTGACATTTCGAGGGGCCCTGTATGGGTGGTTGTGAAGAGTCGACTTCCCAAGCGGCTTTCTAGGCCTGATTTCAATGCAGTTCATAAACCGATCTCCTACCTTGTTTGTACAGGAATAAAGCATGCTTATCATTGCTGATAGGAACTGCCGAGCATGTGTACACTATAGTATTGTGTGACTTGTGTACCGAGACTGCGGTCTTGATTGCCGGCGTATGTAGTTTTACTGCTGAATAAGTTTATCGTCGGCAATACACATGCAGTAACGAGTTGTCTTGTCGGTTCAGTTTAATGTACCTTATTACAGTTCTAGTTTTTACATAGACATGGCTGATGCTAAGTCTTTCCTAACACGGGATCATTCCCGTGAAGATCCGGGGTAGAATAGGTCTTCAGCAACCCATGCTTGCCTTACCCATGTGGGCAATCGAACGCGGGCCTTCGGTGAGACGAGCGAACACTTTAACCACTAGGCTACCCGACCGCCCTAATATATATAAGAGGGTACATCAAGCCATGTCCCGCTGGAGACCGACAACTTATGATGTTATTTACCGCCTCCGTGGTCTTGTGGTAGAGCGTCCGCCCGGAGAGCGGAAGGTCCGGGGTTCGATCCCCGGCCGCGTCATACAAAAAGACGTTAAAAGATGGTACTTGTTGTTACCCTGTCTGGCGCTGGACATTAAGGGGCTAAAACAAGGACTGGTCGGCTCGGAGTCAGTATACTGTGTCTGAGTGGGGTATTCATGTTAAACTGCGGCATGGTATCTCAGTGAGCTAGCACTATAAATCGGCATCAGTCCGGACTAGTACAAGCAGCCACAGACACACACGTGCATGCACGTCGCTATATAAGTGCAATAATCTTGGACGCGACGTTAAACCCAATTTCATCTCATCTCATCATATGATGTTATTATTGTTTGTCTGTTCTTCGACGCTTTAACTTGGTCATGAGGAATCACAGGAAATACATTTAGTAATAGCGGTGTCTGGTGTGTTGGTATCTTACAATAGTCCGATTCAACAGTAGTCGCCCTATTCTATGAATGCATGTGCTCTATTTTATGGCCGTTCCTTGGTATAACAAACAGACTAGTTCAGTATCCACGTGTGATAATGGCCACATGGGTGACGACGGTTCCGCCCCACAAAGCGGACCCCAGTGCACCAACAATCGGAACTTCAAACATATGCATGTATATGATTGTCGTACAGCTATGTTGTTGAACGGGGCCTCAGGTTCAGTTGCACAAAGCGATCTTAGTAAGACAGCGAAGTAAGTCTTGAGTATGGCTTGGTTCTACTGTCTGGCGTCAACTTCCAGCTTAGTTGCATACATTGTAATTAGTGAGTGAGTATAGTTTTACGCCGCTTTTAGCAATATTCACACAATAACACGGCAGAAATGGGCTTCACACATTATACCCATGTCGGGAATCAGACCCGGGTCTTCGGCGTGACGAGCGAACGCTTTAACCACCAAGCTACCCGACCGCCCCTTGTAATCATCTTCCCGAGGCAAGAGAGTTACCTGACTTTAAAATTACTATGCTCGATCGTAGCGCCACCAGTGGCTATTACGAGTTATGTCCCTTCTATACCTCTCCTATGGACCAATCAGATTCCACCTCTCGTATCACTTGTATTTGCTTCAAACAAAACGGTGGCGTCCAGTCAAGACGATATGATCGATAATCAAGATCTATATTGTGATAAAACGAGTCTGACATCGCGAAGTGCATCAAATCACGTGAGCACCTGGATTAAAAACATGAAAAGATTTAGAAAATATCTGTTGACTACGAGTTAGCTGTGCACATGCTTTGGAAATCCTGCAGTCGACCGAAATCTGCATGAAAGTTTACGAACCGGATTTCGATTTCGTTGCGCGATTTTGATGGAACTATGCATAGACTCCTTAGTCCAGCCAAAATGTAACTCCATAATACCAGTCTAGTTCGGAAAGGGCGGAAACTGGACTTTTATAGTCAGTTAACTCACTTGCCTCGGGAATATGCTTGTAATTAGTGACATGCATAGAACTTCAAAAATGTCCGTATGTATTTTGAGCAATCGATTCTTGACAGATTATTATTACGACGACTACAAAATGAGAAAACAGTGAAGGGTGCGTCTTAAACTTTGATTTTTATATACGGCCAAGATAGTATGTAATTAACAGATCTCTAGGCAATGGTTCTATGTCGGACAAAGATAAGTGGACTCCTGTCACACGACCACCACATCCCCACGAAGATATGGACACCTGTCCCACGACCACCACATCCCCACGAAGATATGGACACCTGTCACACGACCACCACATCCCTACGAAGATATGGACACCTGTCACACGACCACAACATCCCCACGAAGATATGGACACCTGTCCCACGACCACCACATCCCCACGAAGATATGGACACCTGTCACACGACCACCACATCCCCAGGAAGATATGGACACCTGTCACATGACCACCACACCCCCACGAAGATATGGACACCTGTCACACGACCACCACATCCCCACGAAGATATGGACACCTGTCACACGACCACCACATCCCCACGAAGATATAGGCACCTGTCACATGACAACCACATCCCCACGAAGATATAGACACCTGTCACACGACCACCACATCCCTACGAAGAAATGGACACCTGTCACACGACCACCACATCCCCACGAAGATATGGACACCTGTCCCACGACCACCACATCCCTACGAAGATATGGACACCTGTCACATGACCACCACACCCCCACGAAGATATGGACACCTGTCACATGACCACCACATCCCCACGAAGATATGGACACCTGTCACACGACCACCACATCCCTACGAAGATATGGACACCTGTCACACGACCACCACATCCCCACGAAGATATAGACACCTGTCACACGACCACCACATCCCCACGAAGATATGGACACCTGTCACACGACCACCACATCACCACGAAGGTATAGACACATGTCACATGACCACCACATCCCCACGAAGATACGGACACCTGTCACACGACCACCACATCACCACGAAGTTATAGACACATGTCACATGACCACCACATCCCCACGAAGATATGGACACCTGTCACACGACCACCACATCACCACGAAGTTTTAGACACATGTCACATGACCACCACATCCCCACGAAGATATGGACACCTGTCACACGACCACCACATCCCCACGAAGATATGGACACCTGTCACACGACCACCATATCCCCACGAAGATATGGACACCTGTCACATGACCACCACACCCCCACGAAGATATGGACACCTGTCACACGACCACCACATCCCCACGAAGATATGGACACCTGTCACACGACCACCACATCCCCACGAAGATATAGGCACCTGTCACATGACAACCACATCCCCACGAAGATATAGACACCTGTCACACGACCACCACATCCCTACGAAGAAATGGACACCTGTCACACGACCACCACATCCCCACGAAGATATGGACACCTGTCACATGACCACCACACCCCCACGAAGATATGGACACCTGTCACATGACCACCACATCCCCACGAAGATATGGACACCTGTCCAACGACCACCACATCCCCACGAAGATATGGACACCTGTCACACGACCACCACATCCCTACGAAGATATAGACACCTGTCACACGACCACCACATCCCCACGAAGATATGGACACCTGTCACACGACCACCACATCACCACGAAGGTATAGACACATGTCACATGACCACCACATCCCCACGAAGATACGGACACCTGTCACACGACCACCACATCACCACGAAGTTATAGACACATGTCACATGACCACCACATCCCTACGAAGATATGGACACCTGTCACACGACCACCACATCACCACGAAGTTTTAGACACATGTCACATGACCACCACATCCCCACGAAGATATGGACACCTGTCACACGACCACCACATCCCCACGAAGATACGGACACCTGTCACACGACCACCACATCCCCACGAAGATATGGACACCTGTCACACGACCACCACATCACCACGAAGTTATAGACACATGTCACATGACCACCACATCCCCACGAAGATATGGACACCTGTCACACGACCACCACATCACCACGAAGTTATAGACACATGTCACATGACCATCACATCCCCACGAAGATATGGACACCTGTCCCACGACCACCACATCCCCACGAAGATATGGACACCTGTCACACGACCACCACATCCCCACGAAGATATGGACACCTGTCACACGACCACCACACCCCCACGAAGATATGGACACCTGTCACACGACCACCACATCCCCACGAAGATATGGACACCTGTCCCACGACCACGACATCCCCACGAAGATATGGACACCTGTCACACGACCACCACACCCCTACGAAGATATAGGCACCTGTCACATGACAACCACACCCCTACGAAGATATAGGCACCTGTCACATGACAACCACACCCCCACGAAGATATAGACACCTGTCACATGACCACCACGTCCACACGAAGATATAGACACATGTCACATGACCACCACACCCCCACGAAGATGTAGAAACATGTCACACGACCACCACATTCCCACGAAGATACAGACACCTGTCACACGACCACCACGTCCACACGAAGATATAGACACATGTCACATCACCCCAACACCCCCACGAAGATACAGACACCTGTCACATGACCACCACATCCCCACGAAGATATGGACACCTGTCACACGACCACCACATCCCCACGAAGATATAGGCACCTGCCACATGACAACCACACCCCTACGAAGATATAGGCACCTGTCACATGACAACCACACCCCCACGAAGATATAGACACCTGTCACATGACCACCACGTCCACACGAAGATATAGACACATGTCACATGACCACCACACCCCCACGAAGATGTAGAAACATGTCACATCCCAAAGAAGATATGTGGACCTTATCACGTGACCAACACATCCCCTTTATAGGACACCTATGAAATGGCCACCATATTCTTATCGGGAAAACATAACAAGATGAAGATGTATAGGACCGACAAAATTTGGAAGAAACATATACCCCAAATGGGCCTCTCCTTTTTCCGGCACGTCGCACATCGGTGAAAACAGTGACAACACGATGTGCAGCATTAAGAGACGGTATGAATGCGGCATTGAGAACCATTATAACATTCCTCACACTACACTGGGTTGACCTAGAGTTCAAATATATCAGACATACAGAGAGGCGTTGCCGTTATTAGCGACTTCTTTTTTCTAATGAAATGACATCAAATGTCGCTGTGATGCCGAGCAACTTGGAAATGACTAAAAACTAAACAAAACTAAGAAATAACGAGTCTTTAACATTGTTCACTTTGTGAATTCCCAACAATCATTTAGCTTCAATGCACATGAATGTATTGTCAATGTGAACACATTTGTTCAGAGTAAGTACTTACGTATCAAAACGGGCTGCGCCGCTCATCCGTAGTATTTGGACCCCGGTGTTTCCGAACACCCTCTCTCACCGTTGATATCCAGCCTACCAGTCATGTGTCCATTTCTAAAGAGTGACGCGGAAGCAAACAAATAATCACGTGACACCAATAAGCCAACAAGTGGAGGCTACTACACAGTTCCTGGCTCTGGTTCCATTGACCTCTGATATAAATACCAGCACATGTACTTTATTAAGCTTATGAAGGCTATCAAAAGATTTTCTATTAAGGCATGTTCCGTGTGTGAAGGATTTTGGTCAATGTCAAACTAAAACGGTCGAACAGTCTTGTATAGACTCCCTGGTCAAAATCACTTCGAATAAAAGTGAGAACATTCGTTGATCATTTTGACATCTTAGAAGCCCAATACCTTTCTCCATCTGAGGAGGAAACGGTTGTGCATGTTAAATCATAACCGCCAAAGAAAAAGAGAGAGTTCGGTTTAAAAACGTTTTGAACAGTATTTCAGTAATATGACATGTCAGCTTAATATGGGAGGTTAGGCCAATGTGAGTGGATAATTACTGTATAATTACACAGTATACTGATTCCGAGCTGACGTCCTTGTTTTAGCCCCTTATAGCGCCAAGCAGGGAAACAACAAGTACGATCTTCTCACTTCTTTTGGTACGACGCGCCCCTGGATCGAACCTCGTGGAAACGTTGGCCCTCATCCCAACAGAGATGTACAAGCGGGTGACGTCAGCTGGCAGAGTCTTGAGAGACTTTTTGAATGGAGGGGAAGGGTAACAAAGCTGGAATATTGTATTGTCACAGGAGATTGTATTGTTGATTAAAGTGCAAACAATTCTGTTGTTTGTTTGTTCCTTAACGCCGCACTCAGCAACGTTCCAGCTATATGACGGCCGGGCGGTCTGTAAATAATCGATTCTGGACCAGACAATCCAGTGATTGACATCATGACCATCGATCTACGCAATTGAGATACGATGACATGCATCAACCAAGTCAGCGAGTCTGACCACCCGATCCCATTAGTCGCCTATTTCGACAAGCATAGTCGTCTTTTACGGCAAGCATGGGTTGCTGAAGACCTATTCTATCCCGGATCCTCACGGGTATATCGGGCAAAGAAATGAGAGAAGTAAACATACCCAAACTACTAAAATAGTATGCTTTCACCATGCATCAACTTATTCAATTAACACAAAGTGAAAGCGCGTATATAAATACACGACCGCACAGATGTCCGGGACCTATTGATCCCCACTGTGGACGAAGTGAATGGGTTGCAATCTTAATACAATTACACTAATTGATACATTTTACCCTCCACAGACGATCAATGGCATTTTTCAATATAGTTGCTATTATGAACTACTCTTTAAGTGGCGATAAAACGTGACAGGGATCCATGTTGCGATCACCAACGCAGTTACATTTTCCTTAGTTAAACGCTTATAACAAAATTTATATACTCCCTGTTGTGATTGGGAGCACCTAAGACATTCCACTCAATTCAAGCAGTACTAGAGAAGCGGACTTCAATGCAAGGTGATTGCCGCGACCATGACACCTTAAGGCTGCTGAATTCCGAATTTTCACTAATCCAGGAAGGTTTTTTTTATATTTCTGGGAAATTTACATTTCAGATTTTGTTTTAGTTCTCGGAAGTCCTGCAGATTAAGATTTACATAAAATGGCGCGTGAAATCCTAAACTCTGCGGAATAGCTAATAAATATTTTCACAAATCCACAGAACTGTTTTACTACCAGTTCAGTCTGTATCAATCATGCGTACATACATACCACTAGGTTCTTCCAGTGTGATACCATAACCTACCGTTTAAATACTAGGTGAAATACGTGTCTACTGCAACCTCACGGGACCGGGTGGTCAGGCTCGCTGACTTGGTTGATGCATGTCATCGTACCCCAATTCCGTGGATCGATGCTCATAATGTCAAACACTGGATTGTCTGGTCCAGACTCGACTATTTACAGACCGCAGTCATATAGCTGGAATATTGCTGAGTGCCGCGTTAACCAACAAATAAACAAAGTACAACCTCATACAAAATATTTGTTCCTAGTTTAAAGCCGCACTCTGCAAAATGCATGCATAAATTAGTGCAGCCAGGGCGGTCTGGACCAGACAATCCAGTGATTGATATCATGAGCATCAATCCACGCAATTGGGATCGATGACATGTTTCAACCAAGTTAACGAGCCTGACCACCGAATCCCGTTAGTCGCCTCTTACGACAAGTACAGTCGCCTTTTACGGCAAGCAGTGAATGACATTACGAGCATCGATCTTCGCAATTAGGATTCAATGACACGTATCAACAATGTCAGGGAGCCTGACCACCCCCTCTTGGGACAAGCGCAGTGGCCAGCATGGGTTGCTGAAGACCAGTTCTAACTCGGACAAACCAAACGACATAATTAAGGAACCCAATTTCTTGTTTGGGAAGAATATGCCTAATTACAATAATTAATCAGCATGTCCCATGCCTTCAACTACCTTACTGTGAAAGTTATACACTTCTGGTTGGGGAACATACATGCCATATGCAGCTGAACTTTGAAACAAAGCCCCATGCCTCAAAGAAAGAAATATACGCCTCCCTTTAACGGAGTTTGCCCTCAATTACTGCCGATCACAAACATCTTGTGTTCGACACATATGGGGTCAAATTACTGAGGCAAAGAGTTAACTGACTATATAAGTCCACTTTCCGCTGGAATTTTTAAAGTCAGTTCAGTTAAATCCCTTGCGTCGGGGAGATGATACGGGGTTGGTAACGAATACAAATGAGAAGAGGAATGCGATTCCAAAAACCTTGCCACTTTAATGTCGCACCAAGAGGGTAAAATGTACAAAGTTTCCATTCTACTAGCGAAGACACTGGCTTTACTATGAACCCAATATTTTTTTCAAGAACATTGCCAAGAAAATTAAAGGTGGAATTCAAAAACGAATATACATGTATATCATTAGCTATTGAAAGTTGGTCTTGTTTTGTGAAAATGGCGAACAATCTTTATGAATCATCCTAAATGTGACCTTGACCTCATATTTAGGTCAATCAGGATCTTTTCAGATTTGAGCCTGCAGTGAATTAAGCAAATTAGGCGGTAAACAAACTTTCTCCAGTCATTAACCTTGAGGATGACCTTGATATAACTGATTGTGTCCCAATAGCTTCCCTTTGCAATACAGGAAATAATACATATGTGATGACCAACCAAATGTGGTGGTGACCCATTTAAATGCAATCTCATTGGAATCAGTTTTTACTCTCAACGATACCTCTGCTATGGCAAAACCACTTATTAGAAGGTGGCAGCAGGTGAACACTAGGCTAATGTTGACTGCCCAATCTAAATGAAAGCTTCTTGAGTCAGATGTCAGGGTTCTAAAAATACTTCTGCTGAACTTCCTTTCAACTTTGAAAAAATTTGATTAAAAAACAGAAAAAGAACACAAAACACAAACATTCCTTTGATGGTACTCCCTTTCTATCCACTAACCAAATACTGGCACTATCTTCATCACTTCAATTCAGTTCAAGTGGTCTCAAGTTGCAGAAATCAGGCATGATCAGAAACCTCGAGGCTATTTGGCTGATCAAGTTCCGATTTTCACCTAGATAGGTATCCATTGGAAGAAAGACATCCTTCCTTTATGATTAATTTACACGAGGATGATGAATTACGTTTTAAAGATTTGACTCATCAAGAACTCATACACCTACAACAAACCCATGCTTGCAGTAAAAGGCAACTCTTGCTTGTCATAAGAGGCGACCAACAGGATCAGGTCGTCAGGCTCACTGACTTAGTAGATGCATGTCATCGTGTCCCAATTGTGTGGATCGATGCTCATGATGTCAATCACTGGATTGTCTGGTCCAGTCTCCATTATTTACAGACTGCCGTCACATAGCTGTAATACTGCTGAGTGCAGCGTTAAAACTAACAAGCATGCACAGAAAAATCTAAGATCACAAATATATACAAATGTCTTTTAATTTTTTTTATTTTACACCAATTGTACAGAAGTGCTTATTTCTTGGATGCCTCATCCTCCTTATGGTAGGACTTGAGCATCTCTGCTTTCTTCTGCTGAATGCGCTCGTCTCTACGGCGGCGGGCCTCCTTGACCTTCTGTCTGCGAGCCTCGGCTTGGTCGCTGTAACAAGCAAGATAACTCAGTATTACAAAGCGGCGGTTCTATCCAAATTTTAAATGACAACTGATAAGATTGACAGATGATCAACATCCTCCAAAACTCAAAACTACCAAATTTTTTAGTGTTATCATGGCAGGGGGGCACCAAAAGTATTTTTGCACATTGTACAGTTCTACACATGGGTTGATCAAAATTTGGGTCCTTGTTGGACTGGCAGCTGTTCAACACTTGCCCAAACTGCAGAGTAAATGTTATCGTTTATACTTTCCAGTGTTTGAAATAAATGACTATCCTGTAATGTCTAAATCTAAGGATCCCCCCAATTTTTAACCCTCAACTTTAGTGTTATGACAAAGGCACTTTAACGTTCATGCTCAATTTCAACCAATGCTATCACAATACTATTACTACTGTTCTTGATTGTCGACCCAAGTTGACACAATTGTCTCCACATTGAAGTTTGACATCCTCGCAACCTTGCACCACTTTTTGTAATATTTTAGCAACACCCCAGCAGAGAAAACAAACTGGGCATTACATGTGTCTAATCCACCCAGGTTCTAGGGAAAATTGCTGATTGTTTTAACCACTCCGCTACCTCACTGCCTGTGACATTTGTAAGTACCTGAGCAGTTTGGATCTCTGCTTCTCAGCCTTCCTCTTGTGGATATGCTCCATGAGGACACGCTTGTTCTTGAAGCCATTACCTTTGCACTTCATGTACAACTCATGGTAACTGAAACAAAAACACACATAGTAAAGTAACTATGTTTATAACAAACTGATGGATATAATGAACTGTATATATTCCATGTATATGCTAAAACGAGTTATTAAGAACTAAACTAAGTGGTCCCTTTTGAGTTCGTCATAACAGTACTATACTGTATTCTGAAGATCATCTTATGAAACAAGATTTGTCCACAAAATACTTTTTTACCAATACCTTAAAAAAACAAAAAACCTCTCAAGCCTGAAAACTGAAAAATCTTAAGTTATTTAGTCATTATTTTTCTATTGTAAAATTTCATTCACATTGATAAAAACTTCTGATATTTCCAATATGCCATCATGAGAAACATCAAGAACCATCTGCTAGATATATCTTGAACTCAATTTTTGAATATTCTTTGCAAAGACATGAAACTTAAGGATGACAAGGTTCTATTATCGATTATTATTATTCATAAAAGCAGTATCAGGACTTGTTTTGTGTCTTCAAAAGATCAATAATGATGGGTAAATAAGTAGCCCTGAAACTCAATGTGAAAACAAAGGAGGTATGATCCAACAAATTATAAGTCTCCATGGTCTACCAACATTTAAAAGCCAGTCCAAAACAATTCATGTTTGATCAAGGTGAAATCACACTTTTATTTCATAGTTAGAAATTACTCATGGTTGAGTGTAGAAAAGCCTCATGCTACAACAGTTTATTGGTGGATGTTTCCTTCAAAGAGAGAAACAAGTATTTAGTCTTCAAAGAGAAAAAATGGGATGCTAATTAGGTGTTTGACAATAATTGATCAATTTTCACCATTTTGGGGGTGAAGTAGCTACAGACACTAGCTTCCTATACTTCAAGTTTAATTGAATAGTCCTTACTGAGTGGTAGTGAGAATAGAATGGATCCTTAAAATGGTTTCTTCGTCCTGTTTAGCAGTGTAGACAAGTTAATTGCTATGACTGCTTGTTCATTGTTTAACACTGCAGCAAGCAATATTCAGGCTATATACAAGCTAAATAATTGAGTCTGGACAACCAGTGGTTGACATTACGAACAACAATCCACGACATCAGGAAAAGCTGACACCCCATCAATCAAGTCACCCGTATGAGACTACCAGACTCATTAAGACGCCTTGTCCGATATGCATAGGTTGATGGGGGACCCCGAATCCCCATTTGGTTGGCTATGTTTGATACAGCCATGAAATACTCACAGGTGCTTATCGACCTTCTTGGCTTCCCGATATCTGCGAAGCAGGTTGCGGAGGACTCTCATACGGCGGATCCAGATGATCTTTTCCGGCATTCTGGCATTAGCTGTACCTTTCCTCTTGCCTTGACCCATGTGACGACCCTTCCGCCTAGCGATGGTGTTCTTGCGAACACGGGCTCGGGAGTGTACCTTGACAGGCTTCCGGATGATAAGACCATCCTTAACTAGTTTACGCACATTCTGTCCTGAAAAGTTTAAAATAAATTTCACATAACCATTTTTTTCCATTAATCTCTATCATGTCTAGACAATCCAGGTATTGACATCAGGAGCATTGAGCCATGCAATTGGGATACGATGACACGCATCAACCAAGTCAGCGAGCCTGATCATGTTAGTTGCCTCTTACGACAACCATAGTCATCTTTAAGGCAAACATGGGTTGCTCAAGACCTATTCTAATGAAATAGTACAGTGTACCTTTCTGTAAGATTTAATCATTACTTTAATTACAGAAACAACAAGTATATATATATTTTTGTCAAGAATTTGGTACAATGAATATAACTGTGCATGCCTCGCGGACGCAAAATGTATTTTTTCTGCATTCATTCTATACTTTTGTACCTACTGGAAGCACATTTCTGCGTTGTGAAAAAACCCTGTAGTGGTCATTGAATTCAAGGCAGTAATACATGAAACACTATGGCTGTACCTTTATGCATTTCAGTCTAATATCATGACTATAATACATGTATCATTCACAAAATAATGGAGATAAAATGACTTCATTAGTGATATTGCACAGTTACTGTGCAAAAAAAGCAAAACAGCCATTCTTGATAATCTATTCACTCTAAAAACACAGAAAATACTTACTTGAATTAGCATTGGCAATTTCATTGGTCTCATTGGGATCCAACCACACTTTGTTTTTACCACATTTGAGCACTGCGGCTGCAAGCCGTTTCTGTAAACGAAGCGTGCTGGAAAAAAAAAAAAGTAATAATTTGTAGTACAAAACATGTTTCACATAGAATAAATAAACAAATAAAAGTAAGGTGAATGTTGTTTTCCACCAGTCAGCGAAATTGCAGCTATCGATAAAGGCCTGAAAATAATTGTAACAGGTCCAGGCAATCCAGTACCTTACGACATCAGCAACAACATACGCTATAAGGGGACTCTCTTTTTCTCAGGTTCCCTACTGTTGCAGCAATGTGTAATCTCACTACCCACAACTCTTATTGGTTATTTACCGGACTGGTTTGCTACCCAGGATATAAAATGAGATCCTTAAAACAGTTTTGTGTAACTTTCATGTGTGAGAAAGAATGAAACAACCTTTGAAAAGATCATGGTCACGGTCTCACAGATATTGTTAGCACACATCAGCACAATTTGCTCACAAACCTACCACAGAACTTATAGAGTACTACAATATACCAGGCAAGTGAACTCGTGTCACCAGCTCAATGCTTAACTAGTACTTACTTAGTATACCAACCTCTAAATGCCTATCAAAGAATTTAGACTTCTTAGTGAATTAACCCAACATTTTGCCACAGAACCCAATGTGCTCTCATGCATATTGAGTGCCAATTTCCCTTGTGATCAGCACCCAAGTGTTTATATTAATGCAACATTCATAGCAACCACTTTTCTTGCAAAACTAAAAAAACCTTGAAAAAAGTATTACATATTTACATCAGAATAAATAGGCTAAGGATCGGAAAGGGGTGCTTGATCATTAAAGGGACTCCCAAGGTCTGAGGATAGAGTTGAGGGTAAATCACACTAACACTAACAACCATCAAAGCCTAAAGATTGAAGAGTTATGTGGGATTCACCAATAGCACTTCACCCGGTAACCTGCAGCCACGACTTGATCATTTTCTTATCATTGTCTTTTGCATGTTTAGCCAAGCTACCAGTAACCCAACTGCATTATTACAGTTTACATGACATGTTGGTTTGGCTGGTTGGTTGGTTGTTTTACGCTGCACTCAGCAATATTCCAGCTGTATGACAGCAGTCTGTAAATAATGGAGGCTGGACCAGACAATTCAGTGATTGATATCATGAGCATCGATCCGACAATTGGGATCGATGACATGCTTTAACCAAGTCAGCGAGCCTGACCACCCGATCCTGTAAGTCGCCTCTTAAGACAAGCATAGTCACCTTTTACGTCAAGCATGGGTAGCTGAAAACCTATTCTACCCCGGATTTGGACGTGTCACACGCACATGTATCCATCTGCAGTGGTCTTAGTAGTGATCATAGCCTAAAATTGTCATTAATAACTAAGTAACTTTAACCTTTACTTAATCCAAATCTACTGTGGTTGGAAAGCCTTCCTTATATTTTGCCATCAAACTGAAAGCGAGTCCACCAGCTTTCTAAATACGCGCCAACACCAGTCATTAGGCCTCCTGACTGTACGAGTTCCTAAAATCATTGAACATGTTGAATAACATTTAAGTCGCCAGTGTCATTATCAGATAATAATAGACCTTAGCATAAATAGACAATATGTAGATCAAATGATATTAAAAAACAAGCGATAATCAGACATATTGACGACGATCAGAAAATCATATAAGTAAAACGTGCTTTCATATGGGAGCCGCCATTTTGAAAGAAGCTCGACACTTCGGGCAAGACATTTTGAGACCACAGTATGTGATGTCGCGTTGAAATTCGGTCACTCTTTATATATTTCACTCTGAAAGTCATTCTTTATTTCTAATTTAAATCTAATGCGCCGATACGTGTACACAGGATACAGCGATGAGGCTGTTTTACAGCACCATGCCTCACCTCATGTTCGCTTCGTTTCACGTTGTTGAGAAAGAGGAAGTGGAGGGATACTAACACGTGGTGTGACAGCACTGTTAAAAATAGATCGGCAGATTTGCGTGTGAGTTTTCATGACAGAATGGTAATTATATTGAAAGAAGAATAAAATATGCTTTTACAATGAATTATATTTATGTTAACGGGATGTATACAAACAATAGGTCTATACAGTGCAAACTTAGACAATATTCATACGCATGCCATGTTAGAATTATCTCCCTTGATCCACCTGGGATGTTCTGATTGCAATGATATGTACAGTCACTTGAAAATGAAATTGTTCTCTAATAATCTTGATTTGCATAAAGTGACAATGAAATAGCTAAAATGCTTATCGCGACAATGTCAGGGGGTGCAATTAAAAAGTTAAGCAATACTGTTCAATGACATATTTAATTTTTTTATATGTTTATATAATTTCAGTTATGTTTTGTATATTGCGTCAATTTCAACGAAAATATATTGATAAAACACCGGTAACGGACACTAGTTTCTGTTTGTTGAGTAAAAAGAAGTTGTTGTTTTTAGGATTTTTTTGCCAAATTACCACGTAATACATTATGTTGATATTAAGATCATTGCGTTTTACACCGTCGGATTTTCAGATAAGTCTCAGATATAGAATAAATAATATACTACCATTCAAACTAAATTTCATTTCTTAGTTACATATGCAAATTTAGAGTGGTTATAATAAACAATGTTTGATAGGTGACAATGATTATTCGACATCCTGCCTGAGTAATATCTTTCATACACAGTCACCATTCGGCAGCATTTATTGAAATTGTTATTTCGAAATAATAATAACAACAACAACAACAACAATGATAATAATGTGCATATTTTTAATGCAAAAAATCAACACCCTAAAGCATGCTGAACGCGCTACATTATATCGATTACTCGATTTTTATTCCCAACTCCCTGGGGGGTATACAATCCAAGTTGTTTGTGAGGCGCTAGAACCTTAACAGTCCCATTACCATCTCATCATACAGGGTATCCATTCACTGCTGAGTGCACATTTCGCATAGTGCATATTTTGCACAGTCGTTTGCCTAAGTAGACACCACATGCAACATTTGCTTCCGCACGGGGCAGGACCGATGCCCTAGAAACTCTTCGGATACAAGCTGCCGAACACGGTCACCCATCCAACCACTCGCCGCAATTTTCTTAACTTCGCCTGTTTTGTGACCTGGTGTGTTGTACGCGGGACCACGCGCAACCATATTGTAAAGTATATGAATTGATAACAAGAATTGGATCTTCGAATATCACGATTTCATTTTTTTTTTTTAATTTAAAGAAATGACATGCAGATGGTACCGGGTTAGAATAGGTTTTCAGCAACCCATGCTTGTCGTAGAAGGCGACTATGCTTGTCGTAAGAGGCGACTTACGGGATCGCGTGGTCAAGCTCGTGACTTGATTGATGCATGTCATCGTATCCCAATTGCGTAGATCGATGCTCATGATGTCAATCACTGGATTGTCTGGTCCAGTGTCGATAATTTACAGACCGCCGTCATATAACTGGAATATTGCCGAGTGCGGCATTCAACAATAAACAAACAAAGAGACCGAATACAAACCAACACACCCTACGATTCATCAATAGACCATGCATTATCCACCCCTGCGATTACTCCATGTTATATGCGTACATCCAATACCATCTACTGACATGATGTAAGACATGTGTGACTGGTTATCATCGAGTGTAGAGCGACTACTGCATCCCCGCTTGCCGCATCTCTGTAACTGTGTGATGTATCTACCCAGATGTTGGTTGCCCAAACCAAAACCAAACGGTTACACGTTCACAGGAATCGCCGCCACCTGGATTTCTTTTAGAACCAGTCGTAAACGTGGATTAGTTAGTACAGATTTAACGCATGTCGCTAAGCCCGAATGACTCTATTTCGGTTCAAACAAATCGATAGAAAACCATCACTCGTAATTGTCTTTTCTGGGTGATTCCGGGGCATTATCAGTTCTAGTACCACAACGGTATATTCATCTACCCGGTACTGCTGGAAAAGGATGCGAGAGGAGATCCTATACTTGTGATTAATACCTGGGCGAGATATAAAAACAAACAACTAGTTTACAGCGTTAGAAATTGGCACTAGTCTTATAGTCCTTGCAAAACTGCCCAATGGTTAAGGTATCCTAAGGACTAGTAGAAAATTGCCCTTTTTATGGTTTGGCTATATGTTATCATTATATGGACTAGTGGGCTAAAAAGGTTATTTTCTCTCGCTGAGTTTATCTTATGAACATTCAAATACTAATAAATCTTCATGAAATGCACCATATTGACAAGATTGCTGAATTGTCCGATTTATGTATAGTCGACAAGCTGGTGCTATGGTTTGATTAGCTGGGTCTTTTGCTAACCCGCCCCGACTCTTAATTAACCGTTTTGTGTTCGTTGACTCGACGGTACCAATATAATGCTGATTTTCGCCTCCCCGGTCCGATACACGTGTATGTGTGCACTTGTTCTCGGATGCCGTGCATTAAAATAGTTGTTCATGCTATCAACCACTGGTTTGCCTGCTCCAGAGTCGAACACTTTTCCAGGTCCAGAGGCCATGACAGCGGGAATGTTGCTGATTGTGACTAAAACAAAATTCACCCACCCACTGTCGGTTTATTTGTTCAACGTTGCTAATTAACATTGAGAGGTCATCCCAAGGTTAGTTAACAAGTATTTAAATCACCGTGGCCCTGTAAGCTTTATAGCCGGAGACGCTGTGAACTAAGTGCCGAAAACACCACTCAACATTACTCAACTTAACATTTATTGTTTCCTTCCCTGAGTGAAGCTTCAACATCGGATACAAGTGTTTTGGTTTCCTGTTCAACAGGTCAGATATATATAAGTTTTAATGTGCAATATAAGTAACATTTCTCTGGATTCATTATAAACCTGCCTTTGTACGATGTTTAAAAAATAACACCATCTGAATAAAACTACCATTACTTGTGATGAAGTCAGAATCGTACAATGGAAATTGTTTGGCGCTTTTTTGCAGAGAGTTCGAGACAGAAGTTATAATATCGTTCAACGTAGAGGAAACGATGTGCTTAATTGTGACACGCAACTGACCTTGTAGGAAGTACACATTTAATTTCACCCGTTTTGTCAAATCTGACATATTATGATAAGTTGGGACATGTTTGACTCTGAACAGGAATGAACTACCTGAAGTTTGCGGAGTTGCTACAAGACTCGCCTCGCGCCGTGATAGAAACGTACTAAATATCACGTAACACTTTGAAAAGTACTATTTATGAAAGAGGAAACACACGTTGTCTTTTCCGTCGCCTATCAATCCAGTCGATATTTCACGTCAGCCGTTTCCTGCAGTTAGTCACGTATTTTGTTTTGTGATGTGATATCGACAATTCTACACACCCTTTTTTGTCGCAGTCAGAAAACACCTACTATATCACGGCGGCCTGTAAATAATCGAGTCATCCTACCTACCTACCTACCTACCTACCTACCATGTCATCGTATCCCAGTTGCATAGATCGATGCTCATGATGTCAAACACTGGATTGTCTGATGCAGACTCGATTATTTACAGACCGTCGTCATTAAGCTGGAATATTGCTGAGTGCGGCGTTAAACAAACAAACAAACCAAACCAAACAAATCTAATAGTGAGTGACAGTAATTTTGAGCATACAAGATCAAATACATACATACCTATACCACTGGATCTGGTGGTCTTGCTCGCTGACTTAAAAGTTGATGCATGTCACCGTATCCCAACTGCATAGATCGATGCTCATGATGTCAATCACTGGATTGTCTGCTTTAGACTCAATTATTTACAGACCACCGTCATATAATTGTAATATTGCCTAGTGCGGCGTTCAACAACAAACAAGACTACCTACCTAATTGTCTATCTTCAACATGTCTCTAAAGCAAAGGCTCCTTTATATGCTTGACTCAAGATATATCGGGTTACAAAACTAAAACCGCTACTTCATGGGGTTTGGTATCTGTTGTAGGAAAACCAATGTAAAACCTTTGCAAAGCATCATTCATTTGTAATGAGTTTATGGCGAGATTACAATGTATGTTTGGACAGGAGTGACACAAGGCATTATTAACAGGCTCATTAACATAATACTCTGCATGTTCATTATTTAAATTTTCATTGGACCTGTGGGTTTGACGTAATGGCTATAATTACTTTGATAAATAGACTACACCTCACGAATAAAGCATAAAAAAACACTGCACTTGATTTGCTCATAGATTTTATTCATACATGTAGTTAGGTTCACATGATGCACTGTATATGTGCCATTCGCCGGGATCCTGTCAGAGACACAGTGACCTCCTCCCTTAGTCTGTCTTACAGACCCTGATACAAATATATATCAAATACAGCTCATGCAAGTCTATAATGTTTGGCAAGTCTAGATCACTGCAGTATCAGCCTCTGAAAATGAAGAGAGTCACTGGGCTCCTTTTTATTATATTTTTATTAAGATAACTGAACAACTGTTTTTTTTATGTACGATATGTTCATTTCAGAGACTAGATGTTAGTCTACTACTCCCTGTACGGGGACCATAGTCTCTCTCACATACGCCTTAGCATATATTTAATAAAACAAATTATATTTAATACTCAACCCCATTCTTGAGAGACTTGAGAGTCCTTGAATACTTGATGGTCTCTTACAGAATTCGTTTTATTGCACCTTATATTTCACTATATTTCAGGCAGCTGATTTCAGGAACAATACTTATTATGTTAGTCTACGTGGACCAGCAAAGTCACAGCGGACAGTGTTCATATCCATTCATATTAATCCATATATATATTAATAGCCGAAAGACTTCCTCCGGGAGAGCGGAAGGTCCGGGGTGGTACCAAAGGACGTTAAAAGAGGGTACTTGTTGTTACACTGACTGGCGCTCGGAAACAAGGACTGGTCGGCTCAGAGTCAGTATACTGTGTCTGAGTTGTGTATTCATGTTAAATTACGGCATGGTATCTCAGTGGGCTAGCACTATAAAATGGGCATCAGTCCGGACTAGTACAAGTAGCCACACACACACACACACACGCACGCGCACGCGCACGCACGCACGCACGCACGCACGCCCACACACACACACACACCCACACGTACGTACACGTGCATGCAAGTCACTATATAAGACTTAGTGCAATAATCTTGAACGCGACGTAGAACCCCATTTCACCTCACCTCACCTCACCTCACCTCACCTCACCTCACCTCACCTCACCTCACAGCCGTAAGTGTAGATTAGATGGGAAGGCATTGCAAAATAATTTGCTCACGAACATTCAGGAATATATTGCCTTAGTGTTTGCACACAGAAATACGTCGCCCACTGTCTTGAATAAAACGTGTTGTGGGTCCCTCCAAGTCTGGCTGCCCCTTTCAAATAAGGCATATTATGTGTCAAACAAACATATGTGCCACCTTCATTCCCTAAGACACCGAGCCTGGCGACCCGACGATCCTTAGTTGCGACATCATACTTGGGTCCTATTCTCAATCATTGTGGGGTTGCCAGAAACATCATGGTGTAGAATGTCCATGCAAGTCAAAGGGGTTCTCTCTATGCCGTTTCTCAATATATTTTCAGGCAAATAAATTATATGCTTACAGCGAACTCTGAGAAATTCCTAGGCAACAAGAAATGAAGATACTATATATTTGTATTGTCTTGTGGGATATTCTGAAATTGAAAATCAGTGGTAAGAAATTGTGTGCAATGTTGACACCTACATATTTTTTTCTTTTTCCGTCAATTAAAATACATTCCCAACATGTTTTGAAACTTCTCTGATGTTTATTTAATGTTTTCAAACTGAAAACGCCTTACATTTTAGAAAGAAACGACACTTATCCTGAATACCTTCTGGTCCAGACTCGATTATTTAGAGACCGCCGTCATAAAGCTGAGTGCGGCGTTTAACAACAAACCAACCAACCAACAAGTTAAAGTCTGCGCACTGTGTTGAGCGCAACCTTTTGCCCGAGAGCCGTTTATTTTACCGGCTAAACTGGGCTCTTACTCTGAACAAATATAGTTGCGCAAAATAGTTAAGCGCTGCAGATGACGGAAACTAGTTATATAATCTCGCAACATCTCTCGTCATTCCGTGAGACAGTGACAGCAAGGTCACGTAAACGAAGGTCGATTTGCTTGTCTGACAAAAACGTGAAGGTCGCATCACCAAACATGGAGTCTGACGCGGTGTTCAACGATCAACAGTTACCCACATTCAACCCGCGGCATCGTGTGATGTCAAGGAAAGACAGTGTCATGGCTACACCAGGCAAAGAGGGATCCAGCCTAGCTCCCGGGAGCTGCTCCGGAAAATGCATCGGCGTTTTCACCAGCGGAGGGGACTCCCAAGGTAGGAGTCGCTATGAGATTCATTTGACTAGTATTGTTTAATATGGAGCTTTATTGGCGACAGAGAGTCTTAATTTGAAACATATGAAGAACCGACATATGCGACAGACGATGCCATTGAAAAGAGTAGATCATTATAGCTGCAGCCAGCAGTTCTATACGATGCAATACACGTAGAGCTAGGCCTAGAGTGTGGGACATGTAATTTTGGGATAAACCTTATGGTTAAGATCGATAGGCCAGTAATTCGTGTTTATGATAAGTGAAATTGTGACACTGCCGAATGACATTAAAGCGACAAGGACATGCGACTTTATGCAATGCCTTGGTATGGGCGTGTTTGTTGAATTGGTCATAGACGCGAAAGGATTTCACATAATTAAAAGCTGGTTTGATGTCGTGAGGGTTCATATGGATCATGCCAAGTGATACTGGCAGGTCACAGAGACCCTCATGTATCAACAATAATAACAAACATGAATGTGTACGCTGCATTTAATGTATGTTTCAATGAATGGAAATACAAGTCACACATTGGCTACCAAGACTTAAAGGATATAGGCCTATATGTAGGAAAACATTTACTATGTAAGAGACATTATTTTGTGTATTGATTTCCCCCTAACATGCGGTGTTACAATGGGCTTCAGCATGTTCAGTTCAAGGCCATGCCAATTTCAAATGTTTGTGGCTGGGAAGTGTTATCCAGTCAAAATGACCAAGAAAAAAAAAAAACTTTCTTAAGAATTTTTTTGGCAAATTCTGCAATTGTGAATGATGTTCATGATGCAATTTTAAATCATCAATATTGGAACAGTTGCAACTGCAGATGTAATTTCTTAATAAGGTCAAAGTTAAAAGAAGGATGTTTTATTTTGGTTGGTTGTGTTTATTTGTATAATTCTAGAATATAGATCAGCAATCTGATAACCAATCATCACATCCACTAGGTAAATATTATTGCCAATATTTCCATTCAGTACAAGTGTACAGGCTTCCATTTCCTTGCATTAAAGTATTGTATTTTCATGAATTTTAAGCACAAGTGAGTGACTGAATGCATGGTCATGAATTCAATAATTTGACTGAAAATTCTGTTTCCGTGTTCATGATATCATTTGGATCTGAATTTAAATGACATCTTGCATGGGCAGGTGAAATCCTTTCAAGTATGTGAGGGCTATTTTTACTTTTTAGTTGTACTGTGAAAAAAAACTCTATCACTTAGCACCCAGGATGCTTATTATGGCAAATATGGTATGTGTGTTTGATAATTTTAACAGTTTTGAATTTTGTAACATTTACTGGTCTGCTCAACCAGTATTCCATTGTAGTTTCCTACACAAGAACTTCTTGTATCTTCACCTTTAGTGTTTAAGATTCATTTTGAGCATTATCAGAAAATAGGAGATATATTTCATGTGTCTGAGCCAGTGTTTAACTCTGACAGTAATCCTGCAATTAGATACTGGTACCATGCTGTTATTCACAGAACTAACATATACATCAGAATTAGAAATTGGCACTAGTCCTATAGTCCCTGCCAAACTGCCCAATGGTTAAGGTATCATAAGGACTAATAGAAATTTACCCTTTTAAGAGTTTTGCTATATGTTAGCATTTAAGGACTAGTGGACGAAAACTGTTAGTTTCTACCACTGTACATATTCCTGAGCTCTGAAGTATAACAGGAATTCTTTGTCATTAATATTTCATTATATTGTACCTTTTAGGGCTGCAATGAATACACTATGAGGCGAATACAATTCATATAATGAATATAGGGTAACAAATATGAATATTAAATCACGAGTACAATAAGTCAGCAGTTGATTTATTGTTTGTTATATTCAATGAAAAATAACAACATACAGTATTTGACATGGTTAGTTCATTATAAATATATTATACATTTATATACTGCACTTATCCAGGTACTAGTATCTGCTCAAATGCAACAATGACCAGTGAACACAATACTGTCAAATTAAATATTATAAGAGTGTTGTTTTTGAGGAAATCTATGCATACAATATGTTCTTGTGGATATTTTTAGGTACAGGATATGTAAATGCACATGATTGCATATTCATAAATATTTGATTCTAGTGGTCACAAATAACGAATTCAATTCATGTATGGATACGGTTCGTTTCACCGAATACATGAGTGAATCGTAACAGCCCTAGTACCTATTGAAGTCACAAAAAGTGAAAGACCGCCTCTGTGGTCAAGTGGTAGAGCGTCATGAGTTTAAAGATGGAACTTGTTTTTACCCTGTCTGGCACTCAGCATTAAGGGGCTAAAACAAGGACTGGTCGGCTTGGAGTCGGTATGCTGTGTCTGAGTGGGGTATTCATGTTAAACTACAGTATGGTAGCTTAGTGGGCGAGCACTATAAATCGGCATCAGTCCGGACTAGTACAAGCAGCCACACACGCACACACAGTCATGCTTGCACGTCGTTATATAAGTGTTGAAAGATGAATTTAGTGGTTTATGCTAACAGCCTGAAATGTTTATGTACGACAGATAATATTTTTCCAGAATTTGATTGCCAATAATAAAAGGTGCATATAACACACGAGTGCGTATTTTACGCGAATAGGGGAATGAAGCGGTGCGTATTATATGGGAATAGGGGTCGGAAGGGGTGCTAATTGGGATTGTTCACTAGCCAATATATCAGCAAATCTTGCTGTGGGCGCTTATAAAGTCAAACACGTCAAACATAGGCCATTTATTTTGCGCATATTTCCACACCACCTATTTATTCCCCCGGTCACAGTGTGTACTCAAGAATCATTCTCAGCTCCCTGGGGAGTATATAACCCAAGATGTCTGTTCGGTGCTATAAGGTTAACAACCACATCGTCATCTCATCCTACCGGGTACCCATGCACTGCTGGGTGAAAAGGGGCACATTTCAAACAAAGTCACTTGCCCAAGGAGACACCACATGTGTTACATGTGCTTCAGTGTGGGGCAGGACCGAAGCCATGGAAACTCATGAGCCAAGCTGCCGAAACGCGGTCACCCATCCAAGGACTTCTCCGCGACCAACACTGCTTAACTTCACCTGATTACCTGTGCACTGTGCACAGGGCCACATGCCACCTTATGGTATCAAATATCATGTGTCAAATAAATACACACACATTACTGCAGGCTATAGTATAAGGACCCAACAACTTTAAAACTACCGGCTCGGCAAGATCTCTAGACTGGTGATTTCTTTTTGACAAAATCTGGGTCAGTAAGTTGGGGAAAAATATAATAAGAAGACATTTCACGGTAGTTTTATGTTCTTCAAAAAGGTTATCTTTTCCTCTTTCAATATTTTAGTATCAACAGAATCAATAACCAAACAATATTTTGCCTCATGAATATCCCAATCATTGCTGTTATAATATATATTAGTTAAGATACTCAACTAGCTTTGTAGCTAAATGCTAGAGGTTTTATATTAGAATAACAGGACTGAGATATATACATTTATATACTGCACTTATAATAATAGTAATAATAATAATAATAATTTATATACTGCACTTATCCAGTTACTTGTATCTGCTCAAATGTGACAATGACCAGTGACTACATTACTGTCAAGTTAAAAACATAATACTGTTGTCTTTGAAGAAATCTCTGTTTGCCTATAATAACTTCTTACAGATATTTTTAGGTACAGGGTATTTAAATGCACATGACTGCATAACCATGGTTGCAAAAAAATACAGTGATCGCTCGGTACAACGCTACCTTTAGGGTCCAAATAATTGATGAGCGTTACGGACAATCAGCCGTTTCACCAAGGTGGAGTTGTAGATGACCAACACAACAGACTACTGCATGGCTTGTATATATTCCATTTTACATAATTATCTTGCTTTGATAGATAACAAAACACCTTTTAATTCTTTTTGGGAAATATTCAATTCTAGTGACCACGAGTAGCGAAATCAATTCATGAAGGGATACGGTTGATTCACCGAATACGCGAGTGAATCGTAACAGCCCTTTTGCTTACACAAATATTTCAGATATTGAGTGACATACATCTTAAATTTGATTTTCCCCACTGCCGGCTATTCTGTTGCAGGTATGAATGCCGCTGTGCGGGCAGTGGTCCGTATGGGATTCTTCCTTGGGACCAAAGTCTACTTCATCAAAGAGGTAACAGTAATAATTATCACATTTTCAAAATGAAATAATGTTCATCAAAATAACAGGTATATACATTTATAGTCCACTCGTCCATTTAATGATACTATATAGCAATCTTCAGTGTAATCATTGATGGGAATGAGTAAATAGTAAATGTATAAAGTCAAAATAGAGGATTGTTTAGAGTTGTGGTTCATGTCATACCATATTTGTGACTGATGATGGCTTGTTTTTTCATCACTGTCCATCATCTGTCAACATTCGTCAGGAATTAACACAAAAAGTATGAGACCCTCTCCAGTGCTGGCTCTCTAGTGACAATGATACTTGTGGGGACTCTGGTACAAGCAGGTTTCCAGTACCCTGTGAGGGTTGATAGGTTTAATCTGTGACATGTCTGATTGTGTATCATAGTTTCTGAACATGGACTCTGTTGCTTATATTTTCAACAGCTGGTGTGCCTGGCCTGAAGTTAAACATGTTTAAAAGCTAGGGTAAACAATATTCATTGCTCATTCCCTTCAATGATTACACTGAAGGTTGTGTGACGCCAGGGTAAACAATATTCATTGCTCATTCTCGTCAATGATTACACTGAAGGTTGTGTGATGCCAGTGTAAACAATATTCGCTGCTCATTCCCATCAATGATTACACTGAAGCTTGTGTGACGCCAGTGTAAACAATATTCATTGCTCATTCCTGTCAATGATTACACTGAAGGTTGTGTGACGCCAATGTAAACAATATTCATTGCTCATTCCCATCAATGATTACACTGAAGCTTGTGTGACGCCAGTGTAAACAATATTCATTGCTCATTCCCATCAATGATTACACTGAAGGTTGTGTGACGCCAGTGTAAACAATATTCATTGCTCATTCCATCAATGATTACACTGAAGTTTGTGTGACGCCTGTGTAAACAATATTCATTGCTCATTCCCATCAATGATTACACTGAAGGTTGTGTGACGCCAGGGTAAACAATATTCATTGCTTATTCCCATCAATGATTACACTGAAGGTTGTGTGACGCCAGTGTAAACAATATTCATTGCTTATTCCTATCAATGATTACACTGAAGGTCGGTGACACCAGTGTAAACAATATTCATTGCTTATTCCTATCAATGATTACACTGAAGGTTGTGTGACGCCAGTGTAAACAATATTCATTGCTCATTCCCATCAATGATTACACTGAAGCTTGTGTGACGCCAGGGTAAACAATATTCATTGCTCATTCCCATAAATGATTACACTGAAGGTTGTGTGACGCCAGGGTAAACAATATTCATTGCTCATTCCCATAAATGATTACACTGAAGCTTGTGTGACGCCAGGGTAAACAATATTCATTGCTCATTCCCATAAATGATTACACTGAAGCTTGTGTGACGCCAGGGTAAACAATATTCATTGCTCATTCCCATCAATGATTACACTGAAGGTTGTGTGACGCCAGTGTAAACAATATTCACTGCTCATTCCCATAAATGATTACACTGAAGCTTGTGTGACACCTGTGTAAACAATATTCATTGCTCATTCCTATCAATGATTACACTGAAGGTTGTGTGACGCCTGTGTAAACAATATTCACTGCTCATTCCCATAAATGATTACACTGAAGCTTGTGTGACACCTGTGTAAACAATATTCATTGCTCATTCCTATCAATGATTACACTGAAGGTTGTGTGACGCCAGTGTAAACAATATTCATTGCTCATTCCCATCAATGATTACTCTGAAGGTTGTGTGACGCCAGTGTAAACAACATTGACTGCTCATTCCCATCAATGATTACACTGAAGGTTGAGTGACGCCAGTGTAAACAACATTGACTGCTCTTTCTGTCAATTGGGGCGGTCGGGTAGCCTGGTTGTTAAAGCGTTCGCTCGCCACGCCGAAGACCTGGGTTCGATTCCCGACATGGGTACAATGTGTGAAGCCCATTTCTGGTATCCCCTGCCATGATATTGCTGGAATATTGCTAAAAGCGGCGTAAAACCAAACTCACTCACTCACTTTCTGTCAATTGATTACACTGAAGGTTGTGTGACAACCCCATAAACAACATTCATTGCTCATTCCCACCAATGATTACACTGAAGGTTGCGCAAATAGTTCAGATTGTGAACATGACTATGGTATATTATTTACTAGAACTTAGAGCTCTCCATTGTTTGTTATGGGCAGTTAGGTAGCCTAGTGGTTTAAGCGTTTGCTCGTCACGCCGAAGACCCAGGTTCGATTCCCAACATGGGTACAATGTGTGAAGCCCATTTCTGGTGTTACCCGGCCTGGGTATTACTGGAATATTGTGGCGTAAAACCATACTCACTCACTCACTGACTATATTTTGTTTCCAGGGCTACCAGGGGATGGTTGATGGCAGTGACCATATTCAACTGGCAACTTGGGCCAGTGTTTCCGGCATCATGCAGCTGGTGAGATATTATACCCATGCCTTACCCATGTCATAATGAGCATTGTATTATAGTGTTGACATTGAAGCCAGCTATCTTTTGAGACCATTTCGACGTTCCTTCCAACATTGTTTGGCAGGGCTTGTTTAAAGGAACTTGATGTAATTTGCACCCTTTGCATGTTGACATGAAAACCTAGCTGCACCCAGGTCCCATAAATGTGTCAAAGTTGAAACATAGGCCGGTCTTCTGCCAGGGTCACATAAACTAATGATGTATTGCTGTAAATAATAATTGGAACATTTGCACCTTGTCTTGAAGTACCCACATGTTGATGACATCAAGAACAAGACAGCATGACAAACTTCACAGAACACAGGGATTGGGGATGTACCGTATATAACCGTAGATAAGCCGATCTCAGGATAAGCCGAGGTATTAAGTTGGTCCTTGAAATCTGTATCAAAATGTTATGTGCGGTAGATAAAACGGACTAAAACTACTTCTTGTCATGAACTGTCATCGGAAATAGAATATCAACAAATCCATATTGAATTACGCGTCGATCCTGTTGTTAAAGCATCAGTAATGAAAAGTGTTTAAGTGAATAGCTTAACTCACGTTTGTAATCTACGTAATCTTTTTTAATTTCTTTTAATCAAACTTTTTATTCAATAATATTGTTATGGCGTTGTTCAGCACCTGAAGCGATATGATGTAGTTCTCTACCAACAGAAAAAGAGTTTGATAAAAGTGTAACCCATAGATAAGCTGACCCCTTTCTATGGAATATTTTTTCTGGTCCTCAAAATTTGGCTTATCTACGTCATATACGGTAGTATGGTTATTAAAGCTATTGTCACCATCATTGCTTTGTGGAAGGAATTCTAGAAAGGATTTGAAATTCTTATCCCCAAATGCACCCCTGCTTTTCCAAAATGTTGCATCAGAGTGATACCTAAGAGGTATGATATAAGCCGATGGCCTACACCGAATAAACCGATTGACTAATACTTGTATCAGCATGCTCTGACACTGATGATTCCGATACATGGCTGTTTAACTCAATTCCGTCCATTGTCAGGGAGGTACGGTAATAGGAAGTGCCCGATGTAAGACATTCCGTGAGAGGGAGGGCCGTCTTCAGGCAGCAGAGAATCTTGTCAACTTGAATATCACCAACCTGGTTGTGATTGGAGGTGATGGCAGTCTCACCGGCGCCAACCTCTTCAGGAAGGAATGGTCCAGCCTCCTCGCTGATCTGGTCAAAGAAGGTTAGAAACACTTCAATTATATTACAATCTGATTTCTTTCTCTTAATGGACATACCTCTCTGCATGGAGATTTGGCAACCTTCATCAAAGGTTGTGTTAGGTAAATAACAGAAAATCTTTTGTCCAGTTGAAAGAGATGATATCCACAAGATATTTGTTCTGTCAGGAATGCCAAAACAGTGCATGTTACTAGACTGAGGAGAAAGGATTTCTAGCCAGGTTAAACTATAACTAGTCAATGGCTTGACAGGTTAACAGCCTCTACGGCCACAATTACTACATCATTATATCAATGTACATGAACTTGTCCTGGTCATTGCGTGCATCATTTGTTGTTACACTAGGAAAGATTCCGCAGTCAAGCGCCGACCGTTGTTCCCACCTGAACATTGCTGGTATGGTGGGCTCCATCGACAACGACTTCTGTGGTACTGACATGACTATAGGCACTGACACAGCTCTCCACAGGATCATCGAGGCTGTGGATGCCATCACCACCACTGCCTCTAGGTCAGTCCATACCACTGCCTTTTCCTATTGTTATAAGGGTAACCCTATTTTTCAGAGCATTATCATTGGCAGAAGCCAGAGGTCTTCCATTAACTGCCCGACGAAGAAGTGCAGTTGAAAAGACCGAGGGTTTCTGCAAATGATAATGCCCTGAAAAATAGCGTGACGTTATTATAGCTAAAATGGATGGAATTTGTTGTCAAATGAAAAGAAAAGAAATGTCGGTTTTCGAAACATTTATTGCAATCAACACGAATGTCACTGACCCACTTTTACAAATATGGAAAAGTCATTGAACAAACCAGATGACATCACTATTGAACGTGACATCACCTATCCTATGACATCACCTAACAACGGGCATGATAATGGCCCGTCGTCAAGCAATATGAGGGCATTATCAAGTTACACTGGCCCGCTCATTTCTGATAACATGCAGGCGGTTTAATGATACTTCTATCCATTTTAGCTATAATGTCATATATCTTTACATGCTGTGAAGTTTTGTTTGGACAAGGTACAGTACGGACCCTTTTACGGACCTCTTACCTACTTAATGTAAGAAAATGTGCACATGTTGAATGAGTGTGATAGGCCACTGGAAATATCATGTCATGTTTGATTTCTAAATGCAATTGTCGTGAGAGGAACCTTGACTGTGTTAGTTTAATGATTGATGTATTATGACTTCTTACAGAAGCTCCAGTTTGATTTCCTTGCTGTTATATTCAGTATGTGTCTTCGTATTTTTACAGTCACCAGAGGGCGTTTGTTCTGGAACTGATGGGCAGACACTGTGGGCAAGTTTTGTTCTTTGTCCACATTTCATCAGGACTAACATCTTCTGTAGTATCACATCTTCTATATGATAACTAGAGCATTTGTCACAAGTGTTTTTTAATATGAGAAATATCAACCAAGTTTTTGTTATTTTGCATTTGCTTGGTCATTACAAAAGCTTTAACACAAAACCAATTATTTTTTGCATTTCAAGCCTAAACATGTGCTTCATTTTGCCAAAGTAAGCAAGGATAATTTTGAAATGGTTTGTTTGGTTATGCTCATTAAGTAACAGTTACAATCAACTGAATGACAATAGGCTGTTGACAGAAGTATGTAAAGAAACCATTGCTGACCGATGACATGTTGGTTGGTTCAAATCCTAGTTCGCCCTGATTCTGCTTTTAGGTTTGTCAGCACTAGGCTCGTGGGTTTCAGCAAAGTGGTAAACATCTAAGGCCTGCATCACTTCAGCATTCCTGACACAAGCTGACAGTTGGGATGTAATTGAAATATTTTTAAAACAGTGTTGAACAAACTCACTAAGTACATGTACATGTAGAAACATTCAGTAAATAAAGTATGTTAACATGACACTTTGTGATCCCTGTGTAGGTACCTGGCCCTCGTGGCTGCCCTGGCCAGTGAGGCTGACTGGGTGTTCATCCCTGAGTGGCCCCCAGAAGATGGATGGGAGGATACACTGTGCAACAAGCTCACCACGGTCAGTTGACACAACAGAGGTCCAGTGTATATATATACTTATCACCTATCACATGTATAACATGTTTTTTCAGGGGTTGAATCATGTCATTCTTTGTAAAAGTGCAAAGGTGATAAATGGATATAAAACTGAACTCTATGTTTTCAGAAGAAAATAAGAATTTCACCCCTGGGCATACGATAGGAATAATACTTGTGCCGCAACAATATAACATTGTAATACATATACCGTATTCGACGTAATAAGCGCTCAGGGCGCTCTCAAAATTAGAAATAGGGGGCTGTTATTAGAATATTATTTTGGTGGAAAAAAACAGAGTTGAAAGATAAATTTCGTGGTTTATGCTGACAGCCTGAAATGTTTATGTACGGCAGATATATTTTTCTAGAATTTAATTGTCCATAATTAAGGGTGCATATAACACATGAGTGCGTATTGTCCGCAAATAAATAAGTCTTGTGTACATTGATCAATCGGAAGGGGTGCTGATTGGGATTGTTCACTAGCCAATATATTAGCAAATACCGCCGTGGGCGCTTATTAGAACGGGGCGCTTAATACGTTGAATACGGTAAATATTTTATTAACAGGGAACACATTGGTGCTAGGGGGCTGACTCGGTTGCATAACAATGCAGAGGTCATGAACCGTGAAGCAGTAGTAGGACCTGAAGCATCAAGACGTGTTGCCCTGGGTCGTGGACCCGGATTTCCCCATTGGATGCGTTGTTTGTCCTGGATCATGAACCCAGGATTATCCCTGGGATGCGGAAGTCCTGGGGTTTCTGGACCTGCACCATCCCAGCTTTGGCGTCCTATCACTACTACGTTATACTGATATGGAAAGGACTATACATCCCACCTTAGTAACAAACTCAGCCCTAATACAATGAAAGGAGGGTGGGAATTAAAATTTAGTCGTAAGATAAACAGGAAGGAAGTGGTCATGTGACTTGGCTTTAATGTGCATGGAAAAACACAGACTGCACATACTTTCGACAGATTAAAAATAGCACTGGCGAACCGATAGCATGCTCCAGAGATGAATACTGAAAGTTATAAATAGCACAAAATACATCGGGAACCTGCGAAAATAAATAAGTGGCAGTTAGTATTGACAAGTGAATAGACTAGCTGGACTGCTGATGTACCGGTAACACAGATCTCAGATAAATTGATACTGACTAGAATGGAATGCTGATAAGAATGAAGCTGCAGCACAAACAAAAATATAAATTAACATTTAATTTTTAGCTCACCATGACATTTTCAAATGGTATCCCTTGTTACTGAATTAAGTAAGGTTGTGTTTTGAAAAAAAATCAAACTTGTTTCCATGACAGCAAGTGAGCCATGCAGTGTTTTTGCTCGAGACATATTTTGTGCTCGTTGTATGTTTTCAAATTTATTTCAGTGCTTTCTGTGAATTTTATGTTGCAGGAGAGATCCTTTGGTCAGCGCTTGAACATCATCCTGGTTGCAGAGGGAGCTATAGACAGGCATGGCAAACCTATCACAGCTGACATGGTCAAAAATGTAGGTCCAGCATGATTGTGGTAATGTAGCTATGGTAACACAATCCAGAGATTGTTATTGTAGGGTAAGACGATACAGGACCTGAAAAGATTATTCAATTGGTATGCAATTTTTTGTCATTCCAGTAGAATTATACATACGATCATGTGAATACGCTTAGGAATACTATTACCATGATAACCTCACCTCCTTGTGTTGGGAGCAATAGATAAAGACTTCATTGTTCAGTATTATTTGTGGCTGTGTTTCTGCTTACCTGAATAGTCGCAGCTCGATATAAGGGAGATAACTCCTTCTCTACAATCCACACAAGTGGGTTTGGTGACATAATTAAAGATTTGTCAACTGTCTGCAGCTGCTGTCCACCCGCCTGGGCTATGACACTCGTGTGACGGTGCTCGGCCACGTACAGAGAGGTGGAAGTCCCTCTGCCTTTGACAGGATCCTGGTGAGTGAACATATTTCACTAGCTTTTCTAACTAAAATCACAAATCAGGGTTTGAAATTCCTTGTATCGGGGGCGTTGGGGTAGCCTGTTGGTTAAAGCGTCTGCTGGTCATGCCAAAGACCTGGGTTCGATTCCCCACATGGGTACAATGTGTGAAGCCCATTTCTGGTGTCCCCTGCCACTGGAAAATTGCAGGAATATTGCTTAAAGCAGCATAAAACCATACTCACTCACTCTTTTATTGGAGTACCAGTGGTACTGTTGAAAGGCACTCAGAGAAATGATGAAGATACTGCTGTGACTAATGTGATGTAAAATTTTACCTCACTCGCTTCCTCAGGGAGGGGGGACTTGACTCAAATACAAGAACCAAGGACCCCCCTTAAATTGGAACGTTGTTGTGACTCCATACTTCAGGGTTCCAGGATGGGTGCTGAAGCAGTGCTGGCTCTTATGGATGCTGACCCCGACACGCCCGCCTGTGTCGTGTCCCTGGAGGGAAACCAGACTGTCAGGGTGCCACTCATGCAGTGTGTGGAGAGGGTAGGTGGGCTAGGATCACTCCCAACTGACATCTTCATGATGAATCTTTGTCGTTACATTTGTCCTGTCTGTTGTATGCGAGCTCATTTAGCATTGTTCCCTACAAAATATTGTCTTCGGTTACTTGGCCAATTAATCCTTCATCATAACTGGAAGGAGATATCTCATTTGTGACTTCTGAATAATAGTGGCATAACGATTCACCAAATGTTTGTTGTATTGCGACACTTGGTGCCATGATATCAGCGGTAGAAACTAACAGTTTCAGTCCACTAGTCCTTATGATGATAACAAATAGCAAAACTCCTAAAAATGGCAAATTTCTACCAGTCCTCATGATACCTTTACTATTGGGCAGTTTGGCAAGGACTATAGGACTAGTGCCAATTTCTGACGCTGATGATATGAGTGTCATGTCTAGAGGTCATGACATGTTAAAGCTGGGTTAGAACTTAAGACTAGCCTGTTAGCCCTGGGCTAGTACAAATTCCTGCGGGCTAGTACATATTTCCCAATTGCGCCATTGTTTTAGCATTACAAGGCCATTTCATATTTGCCTGGTTTAGTAAAGCTAATAAGTTTAGTTCTGACCCTCTATAGATACGAGGGGGCAAGGGTGGCCCAGTCGTCTAAGCATGGCGATTCGCTGTGCAGAGTTGCGTCCCTTGGGCACGCCAGAAACCTATGATTGTGGGTTCGAATCCCGGTTCGCCCCAATTATGTTTCTAGGTGTGCCAGCACCATACCCGTGCTCGTGGGTTTCACCGAAGTGGTAAACGTCTTGAGACCTGCATCACTTCGGGCTTTCCTCCCACATTAAGCTGACATGCCGTGATATAACTGTAATACTGTTAAAAGCGGCGTTAAACATGTTAAACCCAACTCACTCACTCACTCACTCTTCCGGGCTTATCATTGCAGAGACAGGATTCTCATTCACATTGCCACATACTGACTGCTAGTGCTACACGTGTTATTTGTTTCCAGACCCAGGCTGTTCAGAAGAACATGAGTGAGAAGAACTGGGAGGAAGCTGTTCGCCTCAGGGGAAAGTAGGTCACGTAGAATGTGCCGTGGAATGTAGCTGGATGTCTAGCATCCATCGTGCATCTGATTCAGTTATCTTTTTACATTGAAATCCCATTTTGTCCGTTCAGTAGCAGTTCTTGTAAGTGTAAGTCTCATTTACCTTATGCTGATCATATCTTTTACTCTGATTTCACACCTCCTACTATCAAGTTTGACAACCCCTTCTTTGGGCACACGTCTGGTGAACTTTGAGTGGCCTTTTGACTGGCAGTGAAAATTATGGTCGGTGTTCTTTTTAGCCAATCAGTGTCAGTTGATCCAGGTTATTCAGGCAGTTGTACTAATATTTGGTGTAGATGTATGAAACCAAACAAGACACCAGAAAATGGAAAGGTGTGGTCTCCGAACTGTTTCATTTCGGGAAAAAAAACACCTCTGTTTATACAAGCTTTGTGAGGGACTTCATGGTAGCACAATACTGGGAACCTCTAATTGCAATAACAAGTGCTTGACAGTCACCAAAGTAACCCCCCAGTGAAGTTCTGTGTTAGAATAGGTCTTCAGCAACCCATGCTTTTCATGAGAGCTGATTAACGGGATCGGGTGGTCAGGCTTGCTGACTATGTTAATGCGTGTCATCATGTCCCAATTGCGTAAATCCATGCTCATGATTTAGAGACCGCCGTCATGTAACTAGATTGTTTCTGATTGCAATTTTAAACAACGGTCAAACAAACACAAACCTTAAAGTACTCATTGAAATGGAAAAAAACCTGTTTTGCTGAATTTAATAATCGACAAAAAGCATTACGTAGATGTAAATACGAAATAACAAAACAACAGGAAAAGTACTAGTCTGGATTTGCTAGTTTGATCTCAGTGCTCAATACAAAATGTACTTTACAGGAGGTAATTTGTAGGCACTTTCAACATTCAAAAATAAAACTAAGTCCAAACTGACATGGCAGAAACAGGCTATAGGCATTATGCAAATTAGCCTGGAAAAAAGTTATCAAAACAACAATAAAAATAACAGCTATGTTTATGCACATAATAATAATGACATGTAAGTTGTTGTTTGAGAAGGGAATATGTTACTTTTACGTTCTGATATTTTGACGATGATTCACTATCCCACAATGCCACTCACAAATCACTAACCACTGACAAATCACATGTATGTGGGTTTCAAGCACCTGTTTTCACCTGTCGTCAAGGTCTCATAGGTGATGGACATTCACCTTGATCTACTAACACCTGGTTATGCCAGTTTCACAATAGTCTGTTTTGTTCATATTTTTACACACTTTTACGTGTAAAAAGACATAAAAACCTTTGATACGCTGTATTTGTGCCAAGGCCCAATTAGTACTAATTGAGTTGTTTGAATATTTATATATTTTGTATATTAACTGCATTTATTTAAAATTTGAGATAGAAAAAACAGGTTTTTTTCATTTCCCTGAGTACTTTAGTACTTCTGTTTTTGACTGTCAACAATGAATGTACGTGCTTGAAGGATTCCTTGCTTCTTTTCTTCCAGGAGTTTCCAGAACAACCTTAACACCTACCGTAAACTGAGTAAGCTGAGGCCCCCAGCAGCCCTGTGTAACGTGGAGGGGACAGACTGCCAGGTACGTTGCCATGGTAACAGCTATCACACAAAGTTATACAAATACACGAAGCCATCTCAACATCTTGTTGATTACATCGACATCCATTTTACTCATTTGTTGAAGACTTATTTCTATTATACATGCAAATAAAGATCTTCTTTATTGGAATATATATTTATTTTTTCCGGCAAAGTTCAGAAAATAATTTTGATGTCCTCTTATGGTTTAATTTTAAAGTTTTCTGGTTGAATTGACTTGTGTTGTTTACTAATATGAGTTGTCTTTAGTAGATGCATGTATTGAAATACCTGAGTGTTGGGAATTAACTAGTGTGCTTCTCACTTATTGTTTGGAATTAGATGTTACGCTTCAGCTTTGTGTTTTTTGAGTTTGGTTGTCTTCTTTAGTAGATGTCTTTCTATACTTCTCCTTACTTTGATGTCAGTGTTACACAGACACTAGTGTCCCCGAGTCTTTGGAGAACAAGAAGACAGCAGTGGCATCAGCATGATGCCCAGTTTAAGGATTTTTGTGAAACTGTTAACTGTTAACAGACAATATATTTCAAGCCTTGCATTGCAAACATGACAAATGAAACTCAAATTTTAGAAAAAACATTGAAGGTATTGAAATGACATTGCGTGAAAATTGCATATTTGACAGATTGTCCATTGTTTACCATGTATGTTACATTTCCCCATGCTAACAATCTCACCTCAGTTATTAATGTAACAGTGCTTCAGATTGCCTGTGTTTCAAATGACTCTCAGCAGCATGGGTCAACCAGCCCATTTTTAAAACATTGGCCTTCAAGAAGAGAAATATGGACACTTGGACCTTCTTGAGCAGTAGGGACACCTTGACCTTCTTCCAGATCAATATGGACTCAATGACCTTCTTCTTGAGCAGTAGGGACACCTTGACCTTCTTCTAGATCAATATGGACTCAATGACCTTCTTCTTGAGCAGTAGGGACACCTTGACCTTCTTCTAGATCAATATGGACTCAATGACCTTCTTCTTGAGCAGTAGGGACACCTTGACCTTCTTCTAGATCAATATGGACTCAATGACCTTCTTCTTGAGCAGTAGGGACACCTTGACCTTCTTCTAGATCAATATGGACTCAATGACCTTCTTGAGCAGTATGTTCACCTTGACCTTCTTGAGCAATATGGACACTTTGACCTTGAACAAAGATGTGCCCTGTGACCTTCTTGAAAAATATGGTCCCTGTGGCCTTCTTGAACAATATGGGCCCTTTGACCTTCTTGAACAATATGCGCCCTTTGAGCTTGAGCAGTATGGGCACCTTGACCCTTTTCTAGAGTGGTATGGGTCCAATGGCTCTCTCTGTCTGACCAATATTATGTTTGTATTCCCATTTCTGAGCAATATGCATCCTCTTGACCTCCCATTCTGGGCAATATGGGTCAGCTCATCTCTAGTCATCATTATTTGTGCAGGATTCAGATCACTCTGAAGTATGTATGCAACGGATACTTGTTGACATCTAACCATGGTGATATAAGTAGCTCTTACACTAGGTACTTGACATAGTCAGTGTTGATGGTTGCCATGGATATATACATATATGGCTGTTAACCCTTGGTATGTGACATATTCAGTGTTTATTGTTGCCAGACTGTACAGAATGTGAGATCAGACACTGTAAGTCATTTTTGCAGGGACATTGGGATTCTTTCCAGGATCATGTAAGTCTCTTTGTTCTTGTTTTTAGAAAGACTACATATATCTATATCTCAGGAATATAGCTGTAAAAAAAAGCAACCCTCGTAACTAAATATATCAGACGTATAAAGGCAGTCCCTCCTCACATCAATTTGTGGAACGATCGACATGAAGGCATTGTGCATGCAGTTGCTATGGGTACCTATTATAAAGTTTGACGTTTATTCTCCTGCATTCAGTACTACAGCCAGGCGATTATGCTTGTCCTAAGAGGCGACTAATGGAATCGGGTGGTCAGGGTCGCTGACTTGGTTGATGCGTGTCATCTTATCACAATTGCGTGGATCGATGCTCATGATATCAATCACTGGATTGTCTGGTCCAGACTCAATTATTTACAGACCGCCGCCATATAGCTTGATTATGCTGAGTGTGGCGTTAAACAACAAACAAACAAACAGAAACTCAGCCGTTCCTGATAGTTATGACTGGTTATAACACTATGAAAACACAATCAACTCTTTTCTCTTGAAAATGTGCACTGTTCATGTGCATTGGTTCATGTACAGTGGGAACAAAATCTAATAATGAAAAGTGATTCACATGTTTATATCTTCTACTGTTGTATAACAGTATAAACATGGCAGACATCGGAGCCATTGTGTCGAGAATTACCAACTACCATACTTTACCTGAAGACAAGTCACCTCATCATACTCAAATTTGCCACATAAAATCAAAGTAATCATTGTAATTGACATTGTGTTTTCAGTGTGTTCAGAAAGTATGACACCAAGACTATGAGAATGACAATATATGATATTTTTAGATTTCAATATTTTGACCATCACACTTCTAATTCTATTTTGATACGAGACTATTTGAACAGAAGTTCATACCCCAAAACCAAGCTTGTTTGATGAGTTTGTTCAAAGTGATGGCATCAATATTCTTCAAGAACTCTCTCATCAGTACATTGTTCGGAAAAGAAGGAAATGGTGTATAGAAAGTTGACATCTCTTCTTCATGCAAGTGAACAAAGAAACGTAAAAGTAGTTACATGGTTGTTGACTATTTGCTTTGATTCACCAGTTGCGCAGATCAGTAGGTATCTTCAAGTCACTTTGAAACTGTCGTCCTAAGCTTTCGCTGTTTTGCCTGTATAAACACTTCAATGAGTTTCCCACATGTGCATTTTGATCATATATTTTTGTAGTCGTGTCATTCGGATCCTTGTTTGACTGCCCAGTTTACTTGAAGCAATGGTGCTGTATCTCCATCTTCCACCATCCAGTGTATTACATCTCCTGTTTAATCTGATAACCACCCACGACTCACATGCTTCCAAGGATCCGTTACCTCTTAGTCCGATTACTAATGACACGGTGCCAAAAATAGACATCCAATCAAATTACATTCTTTCCTAACTGAAACTCGTAGCATTATCACCAGTACTCAACCTGTCTTGTTGCATACCATCTCATATACAACTGAGATTACCTGGTGAATATATGGGTGAGTATGGTTTTATGCCGCTTTTTGCAATATTCCAGCAATATCACGGCGGGGACGTCAGAAATGGGCTTTACACATTGTACCCATGTGGGGAATTGAACCCGGGTCTTCGGCATGACGAGAAAACGCTTTCACCACTAAGAATGCCTGGTAGTATCAGAATACTCTTTTGGCGTTAAAACTCCAGTAAAGTGAGTCTTCTGCTTTGGTGGAAACATGTTTACTTTTAGCATTTTAACAGCTCACTTGTACAAGGCCTTCATTCTGATTCAGAAGAGTCATTTTGATTGGTTGTTGAAATAAGCTAAAAAACGAGAGAAATTCTGTGCTCAGTGAATGATAGGAGATTGAGATATTCACATCACTGCAGGAAGAAGCTATGGTGGCAAATGGGTCCAGGGTGTTTGTCATGATAGAAAGGAGGTAGAATACCCTAGATGAAGGAAAATGCTGTATCTGGGATCAGCTGCATCTTTGTTGCCATCGCCAATGTCACACATTTAATCTCTGTTACAGTTTCTACCAGAGGTAAATTCATAGCAAATCAACATCAACATGTTTATTTTATATCTTTTTCATATTTTCATTATCATACCATTTCTCGAGTTTAACATTCATTTTCTTTGTCTACATAACAAACTAAATCTAATGATCGTCCACCAGTAGTCGCTAACCAGCTAGGGGTTCCTGGTGGGAACTATCTTAACACAACAGCAAGCAGTGATGTCTGTTCTTAATATATGGGTTGTATGATCACCTGTTTCATCAACAAGCATCCAGCAATGTTCAGTCCAAGTTATCACTATGAGACCCTATGCGTTTCGCAGTAGGCATGACCTGGGAAGATCCGGGGTAGAATAGGTCTTCAGCAACCCATGCTTGCCGTAAAAGGTGACTATGCTTGTCGTAAGAGGCGACTAACGTGATCAGAGGGTCAGGCTCGCTGACTTGGTTGAAGCATGTCATCATATCCCAATTGCATGGACTGATGCTTATGATGTCGATCACTGGATTGTCTGGTCCTGACTAGAATATTTACAGATTGCCGTCGTAAAGCTAAGTGCGTTGTTAAACAACAAACAAACAAACACAGTAGGTGTACAGTGCACCATGTTTCTATAAGACTGATGAGAATTGGGTGGTTGCTATGTATGACCTGACTGTCATCGTATCCAGACAGCATGAGGACTTGCACATGCTATTAACCACTGGTGTGCTAGGTTTATTTACCAACCACTGTGATAAATCTTGAATATAGCAAGGCAAACAACATTCATTCACTAACTGAAAAATATAATAAAAAATTGACCCATAGCTCAGGACTGATAGGTATATAATTACAGCTGATATATCCTCTCTATTAGCTGTGCTCTTTTTCCTAAATATTTTCATTATTTGATATTTGAGAAAAACACAGATATACAGAAAGGTTTCAACCTGTGTTGAGTATAAGAGATCACTTAGATTTAAAAAAAATTTTGGTAAGTTTTTACAGTCTTGTTCAGTTACATGCCTTTTATTATTTTACTATATTCACACGTAAGAGGCGACTAACGGGATCAGGTGGTCAGGCTCGCTGACTTGGTTGATGCATGTCATCGATCCCAATTGCATGGATCGATGTTCATGATAATAATCACTGGATTGTCTGGTCCTGCCTCCATTATTTACAGACCGCCGTCATATAGCTGGAATATTGCTGAGTGCACATGTGCAATGAACCATCCACCAAACAGACTGTTGTATAAAACATCAAGTTTCTGTATTGCTGGAATGACCTGACACACTTACGTCATGCAACAAGACTCATTGTGATACAGTTACAACATTATTGTGCAGTCTCCTAATATTCAACACTACCAAAAGTTCTCAGTTATTTAATGTCATCTCTGAAATCATTGGTACCATGACCTAGCATGGAGGTAAGGTAAATGTCCTGATTCAAAATCGAAGTTTATTTGTCATATTGACTTTCATTTTGCCACACAGCATCTAGAAGTTCTGTAGGGACTGTTCAAATGCTGCACATGCTACAGTCCATCCACTACATGAACTGCTTGTAGTGTCACTTCATCAGTGTCACATTGGCAACATAGTTTTATTCTTCCCCTCGTTGTGCTTGTTCTTATTGCATCTGTATGTTGTATTTACTGGAAAGGTAAAAGCCTTGGTTCTCAAGAAACACTGTACTGATTCAGAGTCTCTTCATCAACTTGGAATAACTGATAAATCCTGAAGACTGATAGCCTACCAACATCATGGCCTCATTCCACAAGGCGATCTTAGCACTAAGATGACACCTATTGTTGAATATAGGCTTGTTGCAGTTGTATGGCTACGATCGCTGTCTGGAACAGAGACCAGGACATGATCAGTTATTGTTTTTCTTGTCTTAGGAAAGTTTAGGCATAGATGCAGCAGGGACAAGGAGCTTCATGAAATGGTTCCGGTTTGACTTCAGGTTGTTGCCATAAGCCATGAAAAAAGTAACCAAAGTGAAAATTGGAAATCTTGCTTTTTTGCAAATGCCTGTATATTATAAGGGTTGTTTTCTGGATTTCAAATCTCTGCAAGTATTGTCTGTTATACAAGGAATAGAAACTGGTCTGTCATATATTCCAGTTTGTTTGAAAAGGTTTTGAAACAGCATTTAATATGTGTACAGAGAACCAATTGCTTCTATAAAATGCCTTGTTTTTAATAGTATTTTATTTATATGTGCTCTGTTTTGCATGTCATTCCAACTGTGATGGTATAGTGCCTTATGCATGCCCCACTGCTCGTAGCCAGCACACATAGCTGGAGGTGCCGGTTTGTGGGGAAACGGGATGTCAGACGCTCTATTTTATGGTGTACAAAACACTATTCAGCTTCAAGTTAGTTATTGCCCCTCTGTGTTGCTTGCTGAAGTTTCCACCATATACCCAATGAGGGGCAAGAAGTAGCTTTGAACTGTTATTTCACCAAAAGATGTTGAAATCTGTATCATCTTGTTTCTCTTTGAACCATTTATCAGTACAATTTTAAAGTTAACACGGGAGTAGATAGACTGAAGAAAATGGGAAATTAATCATTAAAATTAATAACAATTGAATAACTGAAAAAAAAAATCCACTGCATGGTTAAAATAATTACAGTTGAATCTTGTTGTGTCGAACTTGGATGTGTTGTTATCCCCCGCCGCGCGAAAGCGCGAAGCGGGGGATATAGTATTCACGACCGTCCGTACGTCCATCCGTCCGTCTGTACGTCCGTCTGTCCGTCCGTCCGTACGTCCGTCCGTACGTCCCACCTGTTTGTTGCCGCGATATCTCAAGAACTAAACACTGGATTGTCTTCATATTTGGAACTATGGTGTATATACAGACTCCGCAGACATCAGTCGGTTTTGGTGACCTTGATCCCATTTTCAAGGTCACAGCAGACAAATCTGCTTTTAGAGTTGGAAAACGGTGTTGCCGCGATATCTCAAGAACTAAACACTGGATTGTCTTCATATTTGGAACTATGGTGTATATACAGACTCCGCAGACACCAGTCGGTTTTGGTGACCTTGATCACATTTTCAAGGTCACAGCAGACAAATCTGCTTTTAGAGTTGGAAAACGGTGTTGCCACGATATCTCAAGAACTAAACACTGGATTGTCGTCATATTTGGAACTATGGTGTATATACAGACTCCGCAGACACCAGTCGGTTTTGGTGACCTTGATCCCATTTTCAAGGTCACAGCAGACAAATCTGCTTTTAGAGTTGGAAAACGGTGTTGCCGCGATATCTCAAGAACTAAACACTGGATTGTCTTCATATTTGGAACTATGGTGTATATACAGACACCGCAGACACCAGTCGGTTTTGGTGACCTTGACCCCATTTTCAAGGTCACAGCAGGCAAATCTGCTTTTAGAGTTGGAAAACGGTGTTGCCGCGATATCTCAAGAACTAATCGCTGGATTGTCTTCATATTTGGAACTATGGTGTATATACAGACACCGCATACACCTGTCAGATTTGGTGACCTTGATCCCATTTTCAAGGTCACAGCAGGCAAATCTGTTTTTGGAGTTGGAAAACGGTGTTGCCACAATATCTCAAGAACTAATCGCTGGATTGTCTTCATATTTGGTACTATGGTGTATATGGCGGGGGATATTTCGTCACTCTGTGACAAATACTTGTCTCAAACTCATTTGGGAGACCCGAGTATCCAAACTAAGCATAAAATTCCCCTGATGTCTCTAACCCCGGTTAACTGAATCTTTTTTCCAGGTCCCCACGAGTTCGACACAACGAGTTTCGACTCTACGTCCATCAATAAGATTCTTAAAAATTCATTTCAAGAAAGTTTAACTGGCCAATGACCAGAATGAGTTTATGCAATGGCATGGCTTCCTACCTACTCTCTATCAGCTCATGTTTGTTTCCAGATTCAACAAATACAGATTGATTTGGTTTGTGGAAAATACAGGTTGTGTTTCATAGCCAGGCAATTCAGTCAGCATCAAGTTGGTCAGAGGTCACATGATCAGACTAAAAGGTGTATGACTGAATTGTAGGTTAATATTGATGGGGTTGGACCAAATTTAATTTGTCGACTTTTCGTTTGAAATTACGACTGAACACAGCCAATCCTTTCAATATGAGGAATTTATGTTCGCAAATATTATTGTCATATTTTTGACACTTTGGACACTGCAATAGTTAACTGTGGCGCCTCTAAATATAATCATTGTGCAGTAAAATACATCCTTTTCAGATATATGAAAGCTAATATTCTGCCAAGGTAAAGCATGCAACCTGTGGACTGATACATTTAAGAGGTTCGCAAGTGCAGGTTCTGTCAACTTCTGTTGTAGTCCGCCAGAAATCTGGCAGTGATGAACATCGGCGCCCCTGCCTGTGGGATGAATGCTGCAGTCAGATCCTTTGTCCGACTGGCCTTGACCCAGGGATACAATGTCAAGGGCATCTATGACAGTTTTGATGGACTTGTTGCAAATGAGGTAAGTCCGCCCTTCACATTCAAAATAGGAATTGCACGATCTATAAATCAGCATGTGCCATCTAGTGTTTAATAGCTGATGGTGGAAGGGGGATAACTCTATATGAAATATCCCAACCTCAGAATGATGCTGTTACATCCAGTTTGACAAACTGCTGGTGGTGGAAGGGAGATAACTCTGTTTTAAAAAATCAACCCGAGTGATGATGCTGAACACTTTACAGTGAGATGCTGGTGATGTGGAAGGGAGACACCTATGCAACATACATAATTCAAACTAAAATAATAGTGTTTACAATTGAAGTTTGCATAATTGGTCATACTTGTACATGTTAACATCTGCATATTGTTCAGTTTCAAAACACAATATTAACTCACAAAGTTGTGTATAATTGTTGTCAAGATCCATATTGTTGTCTTGCCTGAAGCCTGCAACGGGTAATAACAAAGATATGAACTTTCAGACTTCAATCTAGGTTAGAAAAGCTTATGGGCACAGACTGAATTGATATTTAGCAGATCAACGAAACAAGATTACTTTAAGGTGTTATTGAATTTGACAATTGTCTTGATTAAGGTCAACATGGTCAAAGACTGGACCCTGTTCCACAAAGCTGTCATAGTGCTAAGGTGATCCTAATTCCCATATTTAACATAGACTTCTGACAGTCGTGGTGCAAAGGTGATCCTAACTCCCATATTTAACATAGTGAGTGAGTGAGTGAGATTTTACGCCGGTTTTAGCAATATTCCAGCAATATCACGGCGGGGGACACCAGAAATGGGCTTCACACATTGTACCCATGTCGGGAATCGAACCCAGGTCTTCGGTTTGACGAGCAAACGCTTTAACCACTAGGCTACCCAACCGCCCCATATTTAACAAAGACTTCTGACAGTCCTGGTGCAAAGGTGATCCTAACTCCCATATTTAACATAGACTTCTGACAGTTGTGGTGCAAAGGTGATCCTAACTCCCATATTTATCATAGACTTCTGACAGTCGTGGTGCAAAGGTGATCCTAACTCCCATATTTAACATAGACTTCTGACAGTCGTGGTGCAAAGGTGATCCTAACTCCCATATTTATCATAGACTTCTGACAGTTGTGGTGCAAAGGTGATCCTAACTCCCATATTTAACATAGACTTCTGACAGTCCTGGTGCAAAGGTGATCCTAACTCCCATATTTATCATAGACTTCTGACAGTTGTGGTGCAAAGGTGATCCTAACTCCCATATTTAACATAGACTTCTGACAGTCGTGGTGCAAAGGTGATCCTAACTCCCATATTTAACATAGACTTCTGACAGTCCTGGTGCAAAGGTGATCCTAACTCCCATATTTATCATAGACTTCTGACAGTTGTGGTGCAAAGGTGATCCTAACTCCCATATTTAACATAGACTTCTGACAGTCGTGGTGCAAAGGTGATCCTAACTCCCATATTTATCATAGACTTCTGACAGTTGTGGTGCAAAGGTGATCCTAACTCCCATATTTAACATAGACTTCTGACAGTCGTGGTGCAAAGGTGATCCTAACTCCCATATTTAACATAGACTTCTGACAGTCCTGGTGCAAAGGTGATCCTAACTCCCATATTTAACATAGACTTCTGACAGTCGTGGTGCAAAGGTGATCCTAACTCCCATATTTAACATAGACTTCTGACAGTCCTGGTGCAAAGGTGATCCTAACTCCCATATTTATCATAGACTTCTGACAGTTGTGGTGCAAAGGTGATCCTAACTCCCATATTTATCATAGACTTCTGACAGTTGTGGTGCAAAGGTGATCCTAACTCCCATATTTATCATAGACTTCTGACAGTTGTGGTGCAAAGGTGATCCTAACTCCCATATTTAACATAGACTTCTGACAGTCGTGGTGCAAAGGTGATCCTAACTCCCATATTTAACATAGACTTCTGACAGTTGTGGTGCGAAGGTGATCCTAACTCCCATATTTAACATAGACTTCTGACAGGGGGGGTGCAAAGGTGATCCTAATTCCCATATTTAACATAGACTTCTGACAGTCGTGGTGCAAAGGTGATCCTAACTCCCATATTTAACATAGACTTCTGACAGTCGTGGTGCAAAGGTGATCCTAATTCCCATATTTAACATAGACTTCTGACAGTCGTGGTGCAAAGGTGATCCTAATTCCCATATTTAACATAGACTTCTGACAGTTGTGGTGCAAAGGTGATCCTAACTCCCATATTTAAGACTACTGACAGTTGTAGTAATGTGATTACTTTGTGGAACAGGGCACTGGAAGTAATGTTTTCGTACTGAAAGTACATGGCATGTTAAGATTTTAGGAGTTTTACAGTAATGGCAGTAAAGAGGTTCTTGGTTTTGCAAGTACGAGCAAACACCTCTAACTTTTATACAGTGGTTGAATAACAGAGACCAGCTGATGAAGAAGATACCTGAATGCACTATTCCTCCTTCTAGGTTCACCACATTGGCTGGAACCAGGTGCAGGGCTGGGCAGGGAAGGGAGGATCCCTTCTAGGGACAAAGAAGTAAGTCGGGTAAACCTTAGTGGGATTCCAGGGTAGAAATGGATCAGAGTATCCGGGTCCTGATGGCTAGGATCATTGCTGATGCACTGCTCTGGTTGGCCAGTTCCAGACTTGATTATTTACAGGCTGCTGTGATATGACTGTTATGCTGCTGACTGGAAACTTCATTCACTCCCTCACTCACATAACCGAGACCGCCTCTCGGGTCTAGTGGATAGAGCATGTGCCCTGTTCGATCCCCAGCCTTGCCATACCCATCTTCCCGAGGCAAGAGTGTTAACTGACTTTAAAAGTCCAGTTTCCACCCTTGCCGAACTATGGAACTATGGAATTCCTGGGCTCGCTCGTAGCGCCACCAGTAGCTATTACGAGTTATGTGCCTTCTAAGCCTCTCCTATGGACCAATCAGATTCCACCTCTCATATCACTTGCATTTGCTTCAAACAAAACTGCGGTGCCCAGTCAAGATGATTTGATGGATAATCAAGATCTATATATTGTGATAAAACAAGTCTTACATCGTGAAGTGCATCAAATCACGTGAGTACCTTGATTAAAAATATGAAAAGATTTAGAAAATATCTGTTGACAACGAGTTAGCGGTGCACATGCTTTGCAAATCCTGCAATCTACCGAAATCTACGTGACAATTTACGAACCGGATTTTGATTTCGGAGCGCGATTTTGATTGGACTATCGATAGACTCATTAGTCCAGCCCAAAGGTAACTCCATCATACCAACCTAGTTCGGCAAGGGTGGAAACTGGACTTTTATAGTCAGTTAACTCAGTTGCCTTGGGACCTGTGAAGATTCCGGGGTAGAATAAGTCTTCAGCTTGACGTAAAAGGTGACTATGCTTGTCGTAAAAGGCGACTAACGGGATCAGGTGGTCAGGCTCGCTGACTTGGTTGATGCATGTCATCAATCCAAGTTGCGTGGATCGATGCTCATGATATTAATCACTGGATTGTCTGGTCCAGACTCGATTATTTACAGACCGCCGTCATATAGCTGGAATATTGCTGAGTGCAGCGTTAAACAACAAACCAACAACTCTTGCCTTGGGAAGATGTGCCATACCAAAAGATGTGAAAATGTGTTACTTGTTGTTACCCTGCCTGGTGCTTGGCATTAACGGGATGAAACAAGGACTGGCATGCACATCGCTATGTAAGTGCTAAAATCTTGAATGTGACCGTTCAACCCAATTTCACCTCACATCTGCTGTTTTGGAGAGTAATGTCACAAAAGCTTCCCAAACCATGACTTCCTTCATGCTTATCATCAAAGGAATATTATTTTGTATCAATCTCATGCAAAACTGTAAACCATGGTATATTATTATTGCTGACATGTCACTCAGTTATGTCTTTTTTCCAGACAAACTACTATAGAGGTCAGCCTTGGAAGAATAGCAGAGAAACTTCAGGAACATAAAATCGTTGGGTTGTGTATCATTGGCGGCTTTGAGGTACTACTGATGGATTATTGGTGACTGGTGTCAGACAACAGACAGAAATAATCAGAAAGTGCAAAACATGACTCTGCATTCATCTTTAAGAAAATACTTAAGATCCTACTGATTTTTTGGCGAAACTTTGTTCTTAACTTTGGTTTCTGAAAAATATTTTGGGGGGTATTTTAGCATACATTTAGGGCTCATTGTGGAAGTATGCCTGGGACTGTGTTGAGGGTTGCCATCAGTTGGTCACACCTGTCTGCTTTTTATTTCTTTAAGACTTTGCTGAGGAAAATCTTAATTATTATGGCCTATCTACTTAATTTAGTTTCTGTGCTTAGATAGGGTTCTAACATGCATGCAGTGTGTGAGAAGTAAGCCATTGGTTGCAGGCCTATCACAGTGCCCTCCAGCTAGCGGAGGCCAGACCCCAGTACCCATCGATGTGCATCCCCATCGTCGTCATCCCCTGCACCATCAGCAACAACGTACCCGGCACCGACTTCAGTCTGGGAGCTGACACCGCCCTCAATGAAATCACTGATGTAAGTGGCCAAGGTGGTCGGCATAATCAGTCATAATGTTACTATGTACATGGAGCAGCCTTGTTTCCCCCTGATGCATGCCGTTAGTGGCAAATGATATGAACAGACTAAGGTGCTGCAATTCGCTGCACAGAGTTGCATCCCAATGACGTGCCAGGAACTTGTGATCGTGGGTTGGAAACCCAGTTTGCTGTGATTATGTTTCTAGGTTTGTCAGCACCATATATAAAAACTGAAAATGTAAGCAGTTCATAATCACTAAAAATTGGACATAACGCAGAATTATTACTTTAAAATTGAAGTTAAAGGGGAAGTGTACACGCAAAAATACTTTCTTTCTTTTTTCTAGACAAAACGCTATTTTAGAATTAGTTAGTATCTGTGTTTGAAAATATAAACTGATTTTTTTCACAGTGAAAGTAGGAAGCTCAAAATAGTGTGAAAATGCTCTGCCGTTATGAGGCCTTCGTTTTTCGAGCTAAACAGGCCAGAGTTATCCCCCTTAGATTATGACGTAATTGGTGCCAATTCAACTGGGTCCCTGTCTATTCTCAACGCAAAAGATATCAACTACCGGTTTGCGGTAAAACAACATGGCCTACGACACATTCCGGTGCAGTGGTGACTCAGCATAACACTAGACTGGCTGGCATCTGAGACGCTAGAATCACACACCTGTACCTACACCACGTGAAGCGGCTCTAACAAAGCATGATGACGTCATAATGTTTATCAATTGGCACCAATGACGTCATATTGCAAGGGGCATAAGCCATGGTGTTTTTGTTCTGGAAATAGAACACTTGGTAAATGTGAAAAATATAAATCGTTTTAATGCACAAAATATTTTAATTAATTGTGATATTTTTATATTTTTGTCTATGACACTACTAGGTTAACACTTTTAATGTGCAAAAAGTACACGAAAAATAGGTTCATTTCCTTGTGAACTTGCCCTTTAAGTGAATGGAGGCATCAACCTCGTCGGTGATATTTATCGATGCCACATTTCAACAAACAAGTACTTGCAGTATTTGCATTAACTTTGGAAACTAGAATTGACATTTTTGTATGTTTGCATTTCTTTGAAGTTACGATGTGGTGGGCAAGCCCCCCAAACCCCCAAACCCCTTGTTATTTTAGTGATGTGGATGCTGAAAATTTAAAAAAAACATTACTTAGGAAAGAGCTCATACACATTCCTAACCAATATGCAGGAAGGTATCCCGTATTCAATCTTCTAGCCTATGCAACTGTTGCCAAAACTAATCAGGTCCAATTTGTTGCCAGATCTGTGATAGAATCAAGCAATCTGCTACTGGCACTAAGAGGCGTGTGTTTGTTGTGGAGACGATGGGTGGCTACTGCGGTTACCTAGCAACCATGAGTGGTCTGGCAGGTGGAGCTGATGCTGCCTATATATATGAAGAAAAGTTTTCCATCAATGATTTGAGGGTAAGGCACATTTTAACTGCTTTCACAGTAATAATAGGGCATGTTTATCTGTCTGTAACATCGTCTGGGTAAAGATGAAAGGCCAACTGTTATGTTTTACTATCATTAAAAATAAAAGTGAAAAACATAATGTGTTTGATTTTGATGAGAACCTTGAATATATACTACTCAAAGAAAGTTAAGGACTGCCAATTCATGTGATTGACATCTTAGTGGTTCTGAATTTTTTAACTTTTTTTACTACTATATTTCAGTTTCATCCTATGTTGTTTACAAAAAAGAGGAAAGGGACCAACTATTGGTACTAGAAAAATGATTTCTGTCTACCGGTATTTATTTAACTTTTGTTGCCTGTATGGCATGAAATAGACATTGTGAACCAACATAGGTCAGTGTGGGTCACCAGTAAGAAATATGCACTTTGTGCCAAAATGAAAGTTACTGATATGCTTTGTGTGTTGTGCTAAGAATGCATGAGACTCTCTTGTATTACTGGCAACAATTATGAAACATAGAATTATTATTGATCATCTGGTCATGTATACATTTTTTTTGTGATGTCATCACTGGACACTTTCTACAAAGGGAAGGAGGTTTAGATATTTGGGGATATGCTCCGAGATCTAGGGTCTCTGTTGAGCAAATGGGTATTAATGTCTTTAGGAAATATATATGGTTCAATTTATTTTCAGAATGATGTAAACCATCTTAAAGATAAGATTCTAAATGCTGGTGTGCAGCGAGGTCTCATTCTCAGGTATGTTTTCACCCCACTGATGGTAATACCTACTGAAGTGAATCTATATGAAACATCCATTGTATCAGATATCCCCTTAGTTTATGCGCTACTGCTGCTGTGCAGTTGTGACAAATACTACATTTCCACACAAATTTCAACCCAATTGGAAGAATAGGTCTCCAATACCTAACGTTTGTGGTAGAACTGCCGACAGATGATCAAGTAGCTCGGCTCAGTGATTGTGAGTCATGTGCCCCATTTGCAGGATCATTGCCCATGCTTTCCATCACTGGTTTGCCCGTACTTTCACAACAATTTCAACATTCTTTCTGTCATTTATTCCTAGAATAGCTTGCTGTAAAAGGCGACTATGCTTGTCGTAAGAGGCAACTAACGGGATCGGGTGGTCAAGCTCGCTGACTTGGTTGATGCATGGCATTGTGTCCCAATTGCGTGGATAGATGCTCATGATATCAATCACTGGATTGTCCCGTGCAGACTCAATTATTTACACACTGCTGTCATAAAACTGGAATAATGCCAAGTGCAACATTAAACACCAAACAACAACAGTTATAGGTGTTAACATTTGCATCGCTAAAACATTTATCATATTCTTGTTGTACAAATGGACATCTTGATTGCAGAAATGAGAGTGCCAACAATAACTACACCACTGAGTTCATACACAACTTGTTTGCGGAGGAAGGCAAGGGCGTGTTCACCTGCCGCACCAACGTCTTGGGGCACATGCAGCAGGGAGGCAGGCCCAGCCCCTTCGACAGGAACTATGGCACCAAGATGGCTGCCAAGGCTGTGGACTGGCTCATCCACAAGGTAGAAGACTCTGTGCAGGAAGACGGTGAGTGACAAACAGTCATGGTTGACGTACACAATAGCTGAAGCTCTCAACAATCTCCACCAGTCAGTCATAGAGTATCCTAAGTGTCATTGATATGAGAGGGCGATGGGGTATCCTAGTGGTTAAAGTTTTTGCTCATCACACCTATTCCTGGGTTCGATTCCTCACATGGGTACCATGTGTGAAGCCCATTTGTTGTGTCCATGCTGTGATATTGCTGGAATATTGCTTAAAGCAGCATAAAATCCAACTCACTCACTCATACAAGATCAATGATTCAATATAAATACAAAGAACTTCATGAATTTATGATGTCAAGGGCCATCAAGCATTGTTGACATCGTACAGACACCAGCCATGTCACAGTGGTAAGGACAGCCCTTATTGTTGACTAAATACAGTCGCCATGTCACAGTGGTAAAGACTGCCCTTATTGTTGACTAAATACAGTCGCCATGTCACAGTGGTAAGGACAGCCCTTATTGTTGACTAAATACAGTCGCCATGTCACAGTGGTAAGGACAGCCCTTATTGTTGACTAAATACAGTCGCCATGTCACAGTGGTAAGGACAGCCCTTATTGTTGACTAAATACAGTCGCCATGTCACAGTGGTAAAGACAGCCCTTATTGTTGACTAAATACAGTCGCCATGTCACAGTGGTAAAGACAGCCCTTATTGTTGACTAAATACAGTCGCCATGTCACAGTGGTAAAGACAGCCCTTATTGTTGACTAAATACAGTTGCCATGTCGTAGTGGTAAAGACAGCCCTTATTGTTGACTAAATACAGTTGCCATGTCACAGTGGTAAAGACAGCCCTTATTGTTGACTAAATACAGTCGCCATGTCACAGTGGTAAAGACAGCCCTTATTGTTGACTAAATACAGTCGCCATGTCACAGTGGTAAAGACAGCCCTTATTGTTGACTAAACAGCACTTGTAACGAACATATAAACAATGTCATTCAAACACTCATTACATCCTGTGAATTGTCACTGCTGGGGTCAAGACAAGAGTTCTACTCACTTATGTCATCACTGAACACACCTGCAAGTCCAGACAGACGCAACACAGTGTCTTTGTTCTTTGCGACCGCGTCTAAGGCCAACATGAGCTAGCGCGCAAGGATAGGCTTCATCACACAAATTTTTTGATCGACAGCCTTTGTCACCTGCATTCATTTTTGTTGACACTTTCGCCGCACTTTCTTCCTTTGAACTTCCTTAATGCCAGTCAACAGAATAAACACCAAAAGTATCTGTGGTTCTAAGGAAAACACTATGTATTGTTTTAGGGGAAGTACTCAACTCAGTGCTAATAAGTGGTGCTATTAGGTGTGTGATTGGATTAATGTAAGGTTGGATTAAGGTGAGGATTCTCCTGTAAACCTGACAGAAGTCATTTTCTTTATATATAAATCCACTGTTGCTTGAGAGGAGGGGGGCTGTCGCATTCGTATTGAGTCGCATTTTTGGCTAGGGGCCAGTGATCGCATTCTTTTGGAGATGCATTAATTTTTACAATTTACAGTATATTGTTTAATAACAAGAAGACTCCATGGTTACATTACAAGTCACTACTTTAGTACAATGCATGAATGCAAAGTAAGTTGTTTAAAAGAAAGCAGTTATCGTAATTGAAGCGATAGACATGTGTGAAGCTAGTGTCTCAACAGGCCTGTGTTTGTAGCATGACTGTCTCCTCCCCAGGTCGCATTGTGTCGTCCACTCCGGACGGTGTTGTCCTGCTGGGGATGACCAAGAGGTTCCTCACCTTCTCTCCAGTACAGGAGCTCTCCAGTGAAACCAACTTCGAGTAAGTTTGCATGGACAGCTGACGTTCAGGGGGCACGGGGGTCCAGTCGTCAAGGGCGCCGCGATTTGCTGTGCAGAGTTGCGTCCCTTGGGCACGCAAGAAACCTATGATTGTGGGTTCGAATCCTGGTTCGCCCCAATTATGTTTCTAGGTTTGTCAGCACCATACCCGTGCTAGTGGGTTTCACCGAAGTGGTAAACGTCTGAGACCTGCATCACTTCGGGCTTTCCTCCAACATCAAGCTGACAAGCCGTGATATAACTGGAATACTGTTAAAAGCGGCATTAAACCCAACTCACTCATTCACTCAGTGGATCCAGGAATGTATTTCACATAATGTACCATCTTATCTTTGATGTGGGGGGAGCATGAGATATCTTTGGAAGGGAAAATCATGTTGTTTTTAACAGTTTTGCTCTGCTGTTGGCTAGAAGGAACAGAATTTGTAATGATGATTTTTTGGTATTCCTGATTCTGATTGGACAATCAAAGTGTATTACATCACAGTACATCTTTGATGCCAGCAGCTGGACTCAGCATGTTTAACATACCTTCAGGTATGTCCTACCAAGCCATTCTTAAGAAGATGGCTCAATATGCAATGTTCACCATGAATGTCACTGATTTTCACGGACACTGCCCTTGGGAATTCAAGGACAGAAAATTAATCATCAACTTAAGTGAAGTTCCAAGAGCAGTGTCTGTCTGACAATTTGGGCCCACTTTTAACATAGTTTAACATTGACTTACGATACTCTTAGCGCTAAGATGGCTTTGTGCAAGTGGGCCTTGGAAGGACAATGGATTCATGGTTTAAATGTTTTTACTTCCAGTAAGAGAATCCCGAAGGAAGAATGGTGGATGAAAGTACGGCCATTGCTTAGGATTCTGTCAAAGCACTCAGTGGGCAGCTTTGAGACGGAGGCTGTCACGGCACAGGTGGACGAGGTGGCCGAGATATGAGCTTGTGCTGTGTGTAACAGTGTTAGGATTATTAGATGTTCCAGTTCCAGTCAGTCCATAGCAACAAGAGCTGCCCGCTTCCCTTGCCTGTTGAGCTGCCAAGCTCTCCCACACCTTGGTCTCAGTGTGTTAAAGTGACTCAAAGAGACCAGCTTTTCATGACTATGAGATGAAAGGGTATTTTCAGAAAGGATGATTGATGGGTCTGCGACTTGTGTTTCATGTTTTGGTTGTACAATTTGCCGTACAGTTTTACATTTGTACCAAAGAAAAGGTAGATTCATCAGTTTTGCAGTGTCTAACATGAGAGATTGTTCAGTTGTGTAAGTTAGTCAGACTAGAAAGGAACAGATTTACCTTAGACTTGAGAGGAGAAGGTATGCAATGGTATGATTCTCCAGCCAAGTTTCAAGGATGTTTATTTCTAAAACATTATGATATGGAAATAATATGTGCTGCAATCATAATGTTAGGATTTATACTTTTAGTTTTATTGTGGAACTGAAAGTTACATGCTGTATAACAAGACTATGAAGAAGCCATCTTGATTGATGTAACAAGACAAGTAATATGTCTTGTAGAACAGGTTAAGAAGGTAAACAAATAGACACTGAAACCATCACCAAATACCAAAGTTTGTGATTCCAAATAAGTATTATGAGGAACATTATGTTTTGTTGATGACATTGGCAATTTCCCACCAAGATTTATTAATGTTGCTACTGTCAGTGACAGTATTTGCCTGTAAATGGTCTCTCTTAGTGGTCTCTCTCGTTAAGCCAGTTCTTTGTCTCCATTGCTGTTACATGACTTGCAAGAAGCAGCAGTAAATAATACGCATTTCATCCACCTTTCTGTATAAAGTTGTTTGTTGGAATTAAATCAGATGACAGGAGGCCCATCAAGTGGAGGTGTATAATTTGATGTCAAGTTAATGTTTACCTACTGAGATTCCGTGTTGTTGGTGCAGAACAATGGATACCATGCATTTATGTAACTCTACGTTTTGACTATACATTTATATCACTGAGTGTTTGATTTTTCAAGTAATTACCAGTTGTCCTGGTAAATGACAGTTTCTGGTTTTCCTTATTGTATTTTTGTGTTAGTTAATTGAGGTGTCTCGGTTCTTCCAGGGGTGTGGATATTAGTCCAGATTTTCTTGTTTTCTTCACTGTCTGTATTCAGAGAGACTTGGCTCACATGCATTATATCCTACTCCTCTTTGAAGGGATATGTTATCAATCCATTATACACAAAACTAATTCTCAAGAATGTCAAGTGTATATTTAAATGGAATGACATTTCTGATTATCCCTATCAAGAGTGTGTAGTATATCTCAATCTATCTGCCATGTGTTTTAAGCTTGTGATATAAGCCGCTGTCTGTTGAAACAATAGCTGCAACGATTGCAAGAAACATTAACAAGCATGCGTTTTGTGGTTCAATATGAATAAACATTTAAATTAGATACCAAGACATTTTTGCAAAAATTGAAAATTAAATTAAAACTGCAAAAGATGAAGAAAGACATAAGTTCAGTAATGGTAAGAAACATTGACATATCCTTTAAGCTTATTTTACACTTTGTCATTCAAGAATCAATAAAAATATTTATTATATGCTGCTACTACTCATTTATTTCTACTGATTGTAACAGCGTCTTAGTCGTGTCTTCAATACCGAGTATATTTATTTTATTTACATTATATTTTGTTTATTGAATGTCAGTGTTCTCTAGATGATCTGCCTTTATGATATACATATTGATAAATGTGTAAATGTTTGCAGTTGTGTGTTTATGTGCTAATATATTCCACTTTATCTGTCTCTTCCTTTTTAGTTGGTTAATCAGGATATATACTACTTAAAAGAAGTTAAAGAACACTTGATTCTTTTATATTATTGTAGTTAATCTGACATGACGTGACAGATTAACTATAGTAATATTAAAGAATTGGGTGGTGCTTAACTTCTTTTGAGTAGTATATGTGTATATGTTCTTGGTCCACTATAAATCACTGTCCATCCAGCTTGTGAACTTGTACGAAACACAACCAACAGAGACGTCAGGTGCAGTGTCCGAAATAACTGAAATTACTTATTCAGTTTTACCATAACTCCTTGTAGATTCTCAAGTAATTGTTTGCATTATTTCAGCTGAATCAAGACACGATTTGTCTCTTAGTTTTCAGTGTTTATAATGTCTGAATGCGGCCAGGTAACTTTGAAGATGGGCAGGCAACATTAATTGGTCATCTGCCCGACTGTCTCGTTGGGTTTTAAGATTGTTTCAAGCACTGATTCAGGTGTTCGTGCTAACATCCGACCATGACCACAGTGACAGCTTATCAGTATTCAAACCATCAAAACTTACAGTGACAACAGTGATTGTTCACTTCAACGACATCAATTGCAACCTTATTACAAACTTATAAAGCAGATCTTCTTTTCACTTACATTTGTGATACAGTGTTCTGATAACCAGTTCTAAATCTGCATAATGGGTGCATAGTTTCCTCATTATTATTATTATTATTATTATTTATGAGTGAAAATGTAATCAGTGTGATTTATTTTGTATGTTTGTACATTTCTTTTTAAGAAACAATTAGATTTAATTTGTAATCTCTATTTAGTCATTTCTCCATCCACCCCTAGTCCATGCTCAGTGTTAGAACACAGATCTGCACACAGGTTTTAACTACATACTTTGCCAGTGTCCTTTCTGTATTTTACATGTGTTGTTGAATTGATCCTCAACTAAAATAAATGAAAAATGTGACATATTTGACAGAGTTTTGTTTTGAATCAGCAGATTTGTGTGGACATGTTAAACCACCTGCAGGCATCTCGGATGCTCTAAGCTCCCCTAATAGATTGAATCCGGGTTAGAATAGGTCTTCAGGAACCCATGCTTGCCCTAAGAGATGACTATGCTTGTCGTAAGGGGAAACTAATTGGGATTGGTGGGGTCAGGCTCAATGACTTGGTTGATGCATGTCACCGTATCCCAAAGCATGGGTTGATGCTCATGATGTTAATCACTGGATTGTCTGGTCCAGACTCGATTATTTACAGACAGACGTTATACAGCTGGAATATTGCTGAGTGTGTCGTTAAACAACAAACAAATCTAATAGAGAGTGAGAGCGAGTGACAGTAATTTTGAGGGGATAAAAGCACAGTTGCAAGAACAAACGCTGAATATGGGAGAGGTGCCCCCTCACAGTTTCTGAAAGGGGGTATTTCCATTAAACCAGTCGGGGAGTGTATGAAAGTCATACAGTAGCTAAAATCATAGATGTGTTTTTTACATTCGGTCCATCTGCGTGAAATCTCAAACGGAGAGACATTGATTCCGGCCATGCGCAGGTCAATGTTTCTAAATATATCCCAGGGATTTCCAGGAATTCATTCATTTTAATAGTAAACATAATAGCTGTTAGCATGACAGACTTCTCAATTACTTTACTAACGAAAGACTACTTTGCGGTTTATTTATAAATAAAATTATCGCGCTCACTGAAATATCAAATTTGGATTGATTATTTTTCTGAGAGATCTTTCACACACAACTTGTTTTAACATGTGTGATTATAACATACAGTAAACTACGGTTATAACGAACACGCTTATAACAAACTGGCAGATATAACAAACTTACTTTTTAGTCCCGACTATTTGCTGTAGTTATGCTGTATATATGTTTATAATGAACTAAAAATAGTAGTCCCTTTGAGTTCCTTATAACCGTAGTTTACTGTAATTAGCATGAACCCTGCAATGGTGCATTGGCAAAATATCTGTATAGACTATTTATGTAAGAGCATATCCAAATGCTAGAGTTCCACAAATAGCACATCTGTGTATAAAGTGAACAGTTCACACAAGTGGCACTTTACATTTCCCACTTATGAACTATATGACTCTTGAATCTGTGTAAAACTGTATATGGAGTTTGAGTCACTGTTATAGGAAGTGCATTGACCCATATGCCCATTGGACCAGAGCCTTTAGTTCTAACTGGATGCACCAGAAACCTATGATTGTGGGTTCGAATCCCGGTTCGCCCCAATTATGTTTCTAGGTTTGTCGGCACCATACCCGTGCTCGTGGGTTTCACCGAAGTGGTAAACGTCTGAGACCTGCATCACTTCGAGCTTTCCTCCCTGTTAAAAGTGGTGTTAAACCCAACTCACACACTCACTCACTCCAACTGGATGCTTTTCTTGTGTATCACAAGTGGTCCTAGACAACACAATTCTCCATACAGAGTTGTGTCCCTTAGCTTTGTCAATATCCACTTATTGTTGGTTCGAATCTCACATTCACCCACATCGTGATATTTTGTCATAACCATATACCTGCTCATTGGGTTCACCAAATAGGTAACTGCCTACTACTACTACTACTACTACTACTACTACTACTACTACTGCCACTACCACCACTACTACTACCACCACTACTACTACTACTACTACTACCACAACTACTACTACTACTACCACTACCACCACTACTACTACTACTACTACTACTACTACCACTACCACCACTACCACCACTACTACTACCACTACCACCACCACCACCACCACTATGATGAAAAGTTACTTAACAGGTTCAAAGCAGCAACTCACTCAGTTTGTAATCACAAATCACTGATGGTTACAATAGATCACAAGCAATCTATGCTGGTTTGTTGTAAGAGGTGACAAAGTATCTGTGGTCAGGTTCTGTGACTTGGTTGATTGCATGTCATAACACAAGAAAGGCATGAAACGTTACTCATAATAATTATCACTGGATGTCTGGTCCAGATTTGATATAATTACAGGCTGCAGTCATGTAACTGAAATATTGCTGAGTGCGGTGTTAACAACAATCAATATTGTTATCACCTGAAACTATCACAACAGTACCTCAAAAACACAGAGCAGCATAATTTTCTTAATTCAGAATCAGTTTGGCCTTGCAAAAGACGATTTACAGGATCATTCTTCATGTAGTCTTTGCCAGACGAAACGACTATGAAATTTAGTAGAGCTTAGGTTCAAACAATGTCTGAGTGATTCCATTGTTTGCCATTCTCTAAAACTGATTTCAACAAAGGACATGTTAGGTAATATTATTTAAAGAAAACCAACAATACATTTACAGTTGTATGGAAGCTAAAAAATGTTATCAGATGAAATACACTAAGAAGAGCTGTTAACAGAGCTGTCACATGCAGCCTCATATTCAGGGTTTAGGACTCGTGCAAGACTTGTCACTAGTCCTCAGAGTTTGTAGCTAGTCCTGCTGGACTGACTTGTACTAAAATCAAAGCATGGAGAACTGGTATTACAGCCCTGAAATATTACTAGACATTGAAGACAACCACCACTGGATTTGTAGTTATCCTAAGCTCAATTTGGCAGTCTCTGTCTATCAGACTGCCCACGTCACTCTTCCGATGCTGCGGAGTCATCGGGGTCCATACACTAGTAGGGCTGAGATGTTTGTTGTTTAACACCACATTCGGCACTATGATGACAATCTGTTAATAATCGAATCTGGACCAGACAGTCCAGTGGTTGATATCATCAGCATCGATACACACAAATGGGTGAGTGAGTATGGTTTTACGCCGTTTTAGCAATATTCCAGCAATATCACGGCGGGGGACACAAGAAATGGGCTTCACACATTGTACCCATGTCGGGAATTGAACCCGGGTCTTCGGCGTGACGAGCGAACGCTTTAACCACTAGGCTACCCGGCCGCCCCACACACAAATGGGATACGATGACATGCATCAGCCAAGTCAGTGAGCCAGACCACCCGATCCTGTTAGTTGCCTCTTAAACCATGCATTGTTGCCTCTGATGACAAGCATGGGTTGCTGAAGACCTATTGCAACCCGAATCTTATAGGGTAGGTAGGGCTGAGAGAATTGGGACATTGTTCAGAGGTGGATCCGGGGTTGGGGTTGGTGGCCACATCTGTTGTTGACATCTGATGATATTTTGTATGCGCATACCAAGAAAACATGTTGATTTGGTTGTTAAAGTAAAGTTATTAATAATGGTTTACATTTGTAGTGTTAGTGATGTCCAAAGCTTGTCATGTTTTAGTCCAATTGTACTTGTCTGAAATAGGTGATTGGACTTTAAAAAATGACAGGCTCTGAAAATCACAAACACTTGTAATAATTGTAATAATTGTAATAATTTTACTTCAACAAACCAAATCTGGGATTGGCTTTATACATTTATGTGTACAAAGAAATATATATATATGAAGAACATTTTCAACATGGTGAGAAATATGTCCACACACTTAAATCCATCAAGGAAAGTGTATAACAGACTTTAATGAAGAATGGAATAATGGGGAATTTCAAAATAAGAGTTTTTTTATTCATAAAATGAAAAAAAAGCTTTCACCTATTTCAGACAAGTTCATTTGGACTCTGAAAATTTCAATGATCAAAGGTATTTTTGAGATCAGAAATATTATTCCAATTCTTGAAGCTGCACCAAGTTCACCCCCTTGTACACATGCCTTGAATATAGCACAGCGTGCACTGTCGGCCTTCACAGCAACAGGTTTGTGCTATGTAATGCAGTCTCTCTGTCACGGTGTGTAATGCTGCAGTCTAATGTCATTGCAAGACAAACAGGAAATACAGGATTTTACAACGCCTGAAAACAAGAGACATGAATGATGCCAAGCCTGAAGAGTAAACAGTTTCTCAGTTCTTTCTATCGACCCATCAGGCCAGAAACAATTCCACATTCAAGGCTTCATACATGGCAATACATCATGTGATTAGCCCAGCTCATATTACACTGAATATTTCAAGTACATCTGTCACAACAGTATTTGATAACAATATGTTGGAGACCTGTCTGACAAGGCTCCATGACAGATTGTACACTCCATCTGTTCATCATCTTCATATTCAATGATGTACTTCTGCCCGAATGTGGTGAAAGTCACATACAGTATTTGCCATAATAAGCATCCCAGGCGCTCATAAACTTGACAAAGGGGGGGGGGGGGTCCTATTTAAATATACAGAAATGTGTTATCAGAGATCGACTGGCAAAGAAACTCAGTTCAAATGTCCATGAAACTATTAACACCTTTTTCGAAAATAGTTACAAGTCAACTACACCCCTTCTACACTGCTGTGTCTTCTGTAGAACATCTGTAACGTACAAGTGAGTGAGTGAGTATGGTTTTACGCCGCTTTTAGCAATATTCCCGCAATATCACGGCGGGGGACACAAGAAATGGGCTTCACACATTGTACCCATGTCGGGAATCGAACCCGGGTCTTCGGCGTGACGAGCGAACGCTTCAACCACTAGGCTACCCGACCGCCCCTGTAACGTACAAGACAATACGGAGTGTCATGTAAACCTTGGGATAAACAGTAGACTACGTTTATAATGAACACCCTTATAACTAGCTGATTGATATAACAAACTGTCTTTGGGTCCTGTCCATTTGCTGTATATATGCTGGTTATATGCTTATAACGAACTACAGTTATAACATAAGGAAGATTTTTTTTTTTAATTTTGTTGTCCTTACATGTACATATATGCTATCTGTTTCATGGCATCCTTTCACTTGATGAAGGTGTAAGCATATACTCCGAAACGTGTTCCTCATAATAAAGAAGTTGATATCCATAAATTCTCTTCCTTATGTGTATCCCTTCTAAATGCCTTTCAAAGACCTGATAAGGGTATAACGAGATAAAATTAGTGGTCTCTGAGTTTGTTATAACCGTAGTTTACTGTGTATGAAGATAACATACAGAGTGGTCTAAAAGTTGGTCAGGTGCGCTTATTTGATCGGGGTGCTTCATATGGCGAATATGGTATGTCACAATAACTATAACACACTTTTCACGGCCAGGAAAATACCAATGGAGACAGGCTTGACATGGATATGGACTTTGTTCAAAAAGATAAAAAGAATATGAAATTCAAGTCAATCCTGTGTTCAGCCATATTACATGTTCTGATATAGAATTATCCCGAAATACAATACATATTCAACAAATATTGCAGTTTAATGGAGCATCAGTTTCTGATTTGCAACAATCACCATGATGGTCCGCTGGTTGTGACAAGCGCTCTAGGTAAACCTTAGAGCATATCTCACGAGTAAACCTTTAGTGCTAGCTGCGTAAACTGTATGTGCTGCTTTCTATACGACTTTCATACTGACTTGTCACTACACAGAACTACGGGCTGATCCATAGTGTTCTTCTAATAGATTCCCAGAATTTCTGGCAATTTCCCAGGGAATGGTCCTGTCCGGACTGACAGGTTTCACTGTACAAATGTTTGATGTCGAAAACATTTTGGCAAAGAATGTTCTCAAAACTAAAAGTGAACATAGAGTGCATTTTTATTGATGGCTTGTACACTGATGATAACCCCTGCACTCGAGTTGAATCTCATTAAAATCAGATATTAGTTTTTGCTAACAAGATCTGAGGCCATCCCATTACGGGTCAGGTCAGAACGACCTTTCGCAAATTTTGACCGACCAATGAAATGACTGACAAGAAATCAACATTAGCCAATCAGAAGGCAGCTTTCTCGAGCTTTACGACACTAGTTTCAAACTGGCAACTACGCTTCAAACATATTTTGACGTATTTTCGATTAAAAAAATTTAAACTGATAAGAAGAACATTCTGGAATGGCTTATAGATGGTCTAGATTGTATGGATATAATCATAAAGCCTGTAACTGTCGTTCGGAATACCCCTTGTTAAATATTTCCTGGCTGCATGATTATAAAACACATTCCGACAGTCACTTCCATGATCTGGTAAGTGACCCTCTGATTGGTTGGATGAAAGGTCGTTCTGACGTGACCCGTAATGGGATGTCCTCAGGTCTTTGTTGAGCGATAGCAAGAAGTAAGATCTGATTTTAATGACATTGCACTCCAGTTACACCAAACACACTCTGTGAACCTTCAACATCAATAAGGCTTAAAAAAATAAAAGAATTGGTTCTCAGGCAATGACTTTTGAAAATATAGTGCGGGCGGGTGGTGGTTTTTATTGTTGTTGCTTGTTCAAACCAAATAAACAGATGTGTACCATTAACCTGGGAAAGGACCTCCCTACATAAACAAGCATACAAACTCCGATTGCGAACATGACCATAACACGAGATACACAGAAAAGCAGTGCGCATGTAAGGGGAAGTAACTGTGTGCTATGTTGGATCGCATTGTTTTTAAGTATTAGGATTATTTTATTTTTTTGGAAAATGGAAATAAAAACGAAACATGCGGCAGACTTTATGATGATGCTGGCGGTGCCTGAGAACCAAGACTATTATTTTTTTCAGCCTAATGTAAGCAAAGTCAAAAAGGACATCGAAACTGGTAAGGGGATTTTAACTTTTATCTGACAACATTACAGTCCACCCAATGTGATGTTAACAAATTCATCTTTAGATGATCTGGAAAAGATGATCTGATGAAATGACTGTGCCAGCACACCTCAGTGCTGTTAAACATAAGTACCAGGATTAGCATGATGCTGAACAACACCCATCCTCTACCCGTCTTCAACTGTATTTACAATCACCACCTCTTCCGCCACCACAATGTTGTCTGTGTCAATGTCCGCCCCCTGCGTTACACATTCAGCACCTTGGATGTACACGTGATAACTTTGTTGAGACCCGCCTACAGTAACACCCTCAGCGTCTGGCTCCAGCGTCACTCCGTTTTCGATGCCCTGTGACTTGTAATGGGCAGCAGCATTACCAGCATACCCGTCTCGCCCCTCATCATCATCAACACTGTCCTCCTCATCCCCACCACCGGACACAACCGGCACGGATATAATCTCGTCTGGTGCAATGATTCCACTCCAGTCTACAGGCACTGAATGTCTGATCCTGTCCATGGACTTCATGCCCTTGTTCAAGATGATAGGACTGACAACAGGCTTGGACTTGGTTTTCACTTTGGCTTTCCGTCGCTTCTTGATTGGAGGACTTGCTTCAGTATTCAAAGCAACAGGTTTTTTCTTTGCACGCCTCCTCTTCTGTTTACCCTCATGTTTCATATCATCCACTATTTTGTCAAACCTGAGCATTCCCGGGTTTCTGTCTGGCAGAGGGAAGACTCCCATCAGTCGGAACATATGCTCGAAGTGGGAGACAGACAGACCTGAGTAGATCCGACTCAGGATCTTACAAGCATCAGAACTGGTGAACTTGATGTCCAGATTTTTGTCTTCAAACTGTTTCTGCTCTATTTCATACGAATGTGACACGCCATACAGACAGCCTGTGGATCTGTGTGTCACTGGGTCCTTACTCGGTCCCCGGTGTAGCGGTAGGGGGAAGAACATGACATTGTGACTCTCACTCCACAGCCACAGAACCAGGGGAATACACATCCGTCGGCTGTTGTAGAACAGGATATGCTTCTTTGACTTGGGCCCAACTTTCACAAACTGGCTGAAGTGAGATTCAAAGTATTCTTTGAGAATTTGTGAGGTGCACTCTCCCGTAGGGGAATACTTTACCACAGCACCATGTTGAATTTTACTAACTGTTTTACGACTTGGGTTATCGCTGTTTGAGGCAAATACAAAACAGGGTGGAATTTTTTTCCCACTGGCACTTGCACAACCGAGGAAGGTGATTCTTGCATCATCTTTGCACACAACAGCAATGTCAGCATTCTCGTCCGTCACATTCCGACAGATCATCTTTAGTGACGACTCCTCTGTTCTTACACAAATCTCATCCAGACTTAAAACACGTTTTGGCGCATCTTCTAAACCATAGTCTTCAATAACCTCAGCAAGCTTCTTGTAATAACCATACCCTATCTCCTGTAACTTGGAATTGGAAAATTTTTGAGTCTGTGTGTTTGGGAATCTGTCCATGAGTTTGTAGTACCATCTCAAGCTTAGTATTTTCCCATCGGTGAACCCCCGGCGCTCTAACTGAGCTGCCAGCTCTCCGGCCATCTGCCGAACTTTGTTTCTCGATAATGGATGCCCAATATCAGCGAACAGTTTGACATAGTTGGCAATGCCAGCCTCCTCCTCAGCTGTGAAGATTGTTGGGGGTCCAGACGTTGTGACGTCTGCTGATATCCGACCCAGGACTCGGTCTCTGAGAGTGCTCTGAGGCACCTTGAACTTCTTGGATGCAGCATACACAGCCATACCATCCTCCACAACAGCAGCGTACGCAGCCTTCAGTGTTCCTATGTCATAGCTGCTCCGATACGATTGGCCCTTCTTGCGTCCTCCCTGTAACAAAACAACATTGTTTCAGTGTGTATGTAAACACATCATTACTAATTATTCTTCCAGCTAGAACCTGTGGAGATCCCCTGTCAGAATAGGTCACTTGATTGAGAGACAACTAACGACAATGCCACAAAACAACATGCTGAACTTGTCTGCAACTCACTCGGTGTTTCTTTTCTTCTCTCGTGCTGACCAGCTCCTGTTCATCGTCCTTGTCCTCCTTGTCACTGTCGGCTGAGTCCTCACTCAATGAAGTCTCAGACAGACTGGACAGGTCCTCCTCCTCCTCCTCCTCTTCGTCATCCATGCTGCTAGAATGCTGCAAATACAGTTTCTAGACGCTCAGAGTTATAGTGAAAGATAATGATATTCTAAGGTGATATTAAAAATCTTTACCACTGATTCCCCAAATGTCTTTACATCAACATCATTTAAACCCCAGATGTCTTTACATCAACATCATTTATTCCCCAAATGTCTTTACATCAACATCATTTATTCCCCAAATGTCTTTACATCAACATAGGATGTCTTACACACACCCTCAATCGTTGAAGCATGACAACCCGCACCCATAAAGATCCAGGTTAGAATTGGTCTCCGGCATCCATGTCATAAGAGGCGACTAACATGACCACATGGTCACACTTGGTTGACGGTGTGTCATCACACCCTAACTGTGTTGATCGATGTTCATGATGTCAATCATGGGATTGTGTGGTCCAGACTCTATTATTTACAGACTGTTGTCATATAGCTGCAACATTGCTAAGTGCAGCATTAAACAAGAAACAAACAAACAAATTAAGGATGCCGCCAAGAGTGACATCAGTTTCATATAAACACAGAACTCTGCAAACTGTGCATAGCCAAATCATCAGCTACGCTCTGATTGGTCGGATTAAAGGTCATTCTGACGTGACCCGTAATGGGATGTCCTCAGATCTTTGTTTAGCGGTAGCGAGAACTAAGATCTGATTTTAATTAGATTGTGCATAGCCATAACATTTTCCCTACCACAGGCATGTGTCTCCAAATCACTGTAATGTAATATCTAAATCATTCATAGGATACATGAATATGTGGTGCAATAATATTTGTGAGAGTATAGACAGATGTTTTCTGTAATACTCCAGCCCTACAACAGCGACGAGAGGGCTTCACACTCTGCACCCATGTGGGGAATCAAACCCGGACCTATTGCCAACACTTTAACTACTCTGCTACACCACTGCCCCTCCTCAATTGATGCGTTTGCAATGTCTAATAATAATTTGATAATTATCACATCTACATCAGACATTTCCTGTTTGAAAGTAGTGGGATGTAGTGTAATATTAGTGAACAAAAGAAGTCATCATGAATATTGTTGGGATACTTTTACAAAATTGTGTGCTCAGTCTTCACTACAAAAAAATGTCACCAAAAATATTCATGATCCATACCTATTATGTTCAGTATACTTTAAACAAAAGTAGTGGGATATACTGGGATTATTACTTTAAAAAAAACAGGTACTTGTTAAGGTGTGGTGTCTTGTTCAAGATTATTACACTTCTATAACTATGCTCCTGAGCCAGCCAGTCCTTGTTTTATCCCCTAATGCCAAATAACAGGCAGGCAGAGTAATAAGTACCAGCATTTAATGTCTTTTGGTAAGACATGGCCTCTCTCTGGGCAGATGCTATCCATTACACCACAGAGTAAACCAAGAATTAATCATACCCTCTTTCCGAGGCAAGGGAGTTAATTGACTATAAAAGTCAGGTTTCCACCCTTGCCAAACTAGGCTGGAATTCCAGAGTTACATTTTGGCTGGACTAACGAGACTATGCATAGTCCGATCAAAATCATGTGACGAACTAGATAGACATTCAGTTCATAAACAACATGGATTTCAACATGCAGATTTTGGTTGACTGCAGGATTTGGAAACTATGTGTACCGCCAAGTGGGCGTCGATATATATTTTGCAAATCTTTTCATGTTTTTAATCAAGGTGCTGAAGTGATTTGATGCACTTCGAGAGGTAAGACCCATTTTATAACAAGATAGATCTTTGAATACACAATGCCATTTAGAAAGTGGTCAAATGCAACAAATGTTATATTTGGGATAACACTTTCTCAGTAAAGTACAGATTCTCGTACTTTTTTGGGTTGAGTCCCGTCCAGGATTCGAACCCACACTTGCCAGAGTGAGGCACCTAATCGCCAGCACTCAAAGTCAGCGATCTAACCCACTCAGCCACCGAGGCTTCCACAAAAATAAAAGTCCGACAACTGGTAGTCTAGATAACGTACTTTGAGCACCCCTCTGACAAGTGTAAATTCGCACGGCTCCCATGGCCGAAAGCTATGAATACACAATGCCATTTAGAAAGTGGGCAAATGTAACAAATGTTATATTTGGGATAACACTTTCTTAGTAAAGTACAGATTCTCGTACTTTTTTAAGTTGAGTCCCGTCCGGGATTCGAACCCACACTTGCCAGAGTGAGGCACCTAATCGCCAGCACTCAAAGTCAGCGATCTCACCCACTCAGCCACCGAGCCTTCCACAAAAAGTACGAGAATCTGTACATTACTAAGAAAGTGTTATCCCAAATATAACATTTGTTTCAAAGATAGATCTTGATTAATGATCAGAACGTCTTGACAGGGCACCGCCATTTTGCTTGAAGCAAATGCAAGAGATAAGAGAGGTGGAATCTGATTGGTCAGTTGGAGGGACATAGAAGGGGAATAACTCGTAATAGCCACTGGTGGCATTATGGTGGAGCCTAGACATTCCAGGTTCGTTCGTCAGGGTGGAAACTGGACTTTTATAGTCAGTTAATTCCCTAGCCTCTGGAAGATGTAATCATACTGGGTCCCAGTAGTGGTTAACCTGTGTTCACCAAGATCTGAACATAAACTGCAATTAATCCTGTTGAACTTTACAAACCTAGGCCCTATTTGCTTGGAAGGGAAGCATGACAGAGGAAGTAACAGACACCCAACATGGACATGTTATGAGTGATGGCTGTCAACTTGTACATGTATACGATGAGTGATGGCTGGATACTTGTTCAGGTTGTAGGGGAGCATCCCAACAGGCAACTGAGTGAACTGTCATCGTCAAACTGCTTGCACTTAGGGTAGATCATTTATAACAGTCTTCTGATTGGCAGGCTTGCTTGTATGTCAGAAGAATTATGTTCTTTGACTGTTAATTTCAAGTTCATGAGCAAGAGGAATTCTGTGCTAAGTTGGTGATAAGAATATTAAGATATTGTTTGCTTGTTGTTTAAATCCACACTCATCAATATTCCAGCTATATGACAGCTGCCTGTAAATAATCGAGTCTGGATCAGACAATTCCGTGACTGACATCATAAGCATTGATTTTTTGCAATTGGGTTCAATGACATGCATCAACCAAGTCAGCAAACCTGACCACCCGATCCCGTTAGTCGCCTCTTACAACAAGTATGGGTTGCTGCAGACCAATTCTAACTCCGATCTTCATGGGGGTGATGATAAGAGAGATGGAGAAGTTTTGGTGGCAGATGTGTCCAGGCGAGTTTTTCAAAACAGAATGGAGATACATGTACACACTGGATACTCGAGGAAGAATGCTGAAGAAGGCCCTTATGTGACATAACAATATTCCATATTACCGTATTCGAGGTAATGAGCGCCCAGGGCGCTCTCAAAATTAGAAATAGGGGGCTCTTATTAGAATATTACTTTTGTGAAAAAACAGAGTTGAAAGATTAATTTCGTGGTTTATGCTGACAGCCTGAAATGTTTATGTATGACAGATATATTTTTCCAGAATTTAATTGTCCATAATTAAGGGTGCATATAACACACAAGTGCGTATTGTACGCGAATAAATAAGTCTTGTGAACATTGATCAATCGGAAGGGGTGCTAATTGGGATTGTTCACTAGCCAATATATTAGCAAATACCGCCATGGGCGCTTATTAGAACGGGGCGCTTATTACGTCGAATACGGTATGTCACATATCTACCACCTTGTGTCCTGTTTCCATTCAGTGTCCTTGTAAATCAGCCAGATTAACCAGAAAGTTTCATCTATTTTTTCGCATGGAAACTTCAGTCCCACATTTGTAGTTATATTCCATTGGAAGTTTCACTGTTTCACACAACCTAGAGCTCCAGATAAGCTTTTGGTGTTGTGGGTATTTTACCCATGCATTTTAAAATCATTGGGTATCAGTAATTCTATCTGGGTATTCAAATTTCTGTTACCCACTCGTTTTTACACATGTCGGTATTTAAGTTAAATATTTAAAAACACTATTCATCTAGTCCCTGAAAACTGGTGTCGTGTGGGTTCGAGAGCTTTATAGGACTCAAAAATACCACGATACTTCCACAAGAAAGTGTGATGGCAAATGATCATGATGTAACTGTCATCGTGGAGTTAGGCAAGGTTGACGGAATGCCTGTTTATAATTTCAAAATAAGTTGCTGATTTGCTAATCGAATACGCAGGGTTACTTCACAATATTTTGATGATACGCACAAGTTTTATTTTTGTAGTGTTTCTGTATTGTTCGTTGCGTATTTGATATGCTAGGATTTTATTTTACTGTGTATTTCTGTATCTTTGATCCGTATTTTACGCAGATACGCAGCTTATCTGGAGCTCTGCAACCCGGCCTGATAACCAGCAATGTCATTCCTGATTCATGTTCAAAAGCCACACAAACATACACTCGATCTTCAGCGATCACCAAAGGCTTCGCTGCACCTAAATCTGTTTGTGTTTACAAGATGCCATTTCAGTGATTCACTGATGTTGACAAATAAAACAAAATAACTGGTTTCATTGAAAAAAAGAGTCATCATTTTGCACTTTATGACAACTGAGATACATATTTAATCCACAAGTAACTTAAAATTAATTGAGAAAACAATCATCTTTATATCACTGTCCCCAAATTATGACCCAAGGATTGTCTGTATATCAGGTCGTGGAGTCAAACCACAGATGACATTCTCCTTACCTCGTCAGCCTGCTGACGTGGTTAACCTCTCTGGTCATGTGGACAAGGTGTCCAAACTTGGATCTGAAGAGTTTGAATCCCATCGTGGGATTCAGAATGTTATGGCCACTACACTTATGTGAGTCATCACTTCAGGCTTTACTCCCACCTCAAGCTGACACGACATGATACGTCACAGAAAGACTGTTGAAATCAGTGTTACCCAACCTCACTCACTTTCTCACTTGTGTCCACATCATTGTTGTCATGTAGATCTAGATCTAGTACATTTGTGAATGAAGAGTGTTTGAGGAATATTTTTTTTTAAATTTCAATACAACTTTTAACCTACCTACCCATTTTGCTTTTTCAAAGTGATGAAAAACAGGACAGTGTTATTAGCGTGTGGTTACCTAGCATCATTCTTCAAATGTGATAAGTGACAACCTAGCACCAGGCTGCCTGTTCAAATGAAATCACTTCTACTTACAACTTGAGGTGGTATCGCGTCTCCTGTTGTCTTCTTCGGTACTGCCTGAAACACACAAAGCCATAATTATGTTTTATCCACGATATTCGTCAATATTAGTTAGTAAATTAATATCACACTGACATGAGATAGATATAGATCTACTTCCTAAACTGTTAAACATCATAATGAAGTGCGTGAAAGTACCTTCTTTCCCCTCATATTCAGATGCTGTAATATCTAAGTATGTATGTTATCAGACATGCTCTCAGATAACTGATAATACAATGATTTGTTTCAAGCACATCGAAAACTGGAGACGCGACCACGAAAATGGGTGACTTGAGCAGGATGGATTGCCTAAATCACGTGATTTCGAGTTACGTCCCTTTGAGTGACTAGACTTACTTCTAGTCTCGAACCTTGTACATTCCAGATAGTCGTGATTGTAGACCATGTCGTACTATGTCGGCGTTCTATGAAAGCGTTCTAATTTTCAGCGGAAATAAGCTACGACATATTTGCATCGATACGGCTACTTTTACGACATACTATTATAATTTCAAAGGACAACGCCCATTGCTGTGGGATAATGGTAAATGGGGCCCTTGTTGACAAAACCGTGTACAAAATCAACTTGGCCGCGGAGATCCGGAAGGATAGTAGCATTCCAGGGTCCGCTGATCGTGGGTTTGAGCTAGGGCTGGGACGGGTAACTCGGGTACTCGGGTCGGGTGGGTACTGAGTAGGACCCGGGTACCCACAGGACTACCCGGACCAGTGGTTAGTAACGTGATATATATTGTTTAATCACAAAACTTATCTAAAACTCTATGGTTACACAATAAGTCACTAATATTCCCATTTCTTTCTGACAATGCACCCATTCCTTCTGACTGCCATATGTTTAAATAAAGATAAAACTTCATGCAGTAAAACTGACAGACAGACAGACAAATTTATTCGGTACTTCAGGCCACCGGACCATAATACAATGGAAATATACTGTATATATATTTGCATGCTGAGTAGATTTAATAATGATTTACCGTTCAACACTGTGTTTCCGTTCGAATGTTCATGACTTGGAAGAGATATTTACCTAAGCTTTTCATAATTTGTTCGTTTTCAGCTGACATAAGTCTTATAAAATTCTCAATAGTAAACTTCAGTGTATGCATGACCAGATCGTTTTACACGTGTATCTAAATACATTTTGCCAGGGCTACGGTCAAACGTTTCCAAATCGGAGAGTTTGTATCTATCTCTGAATATCTACAGCGGGTACCCGGGTGCGGACGGTGGGTTTCAGGGTAGTAAAGTTGGACTCGTCCCAGCCCTAGTTTGAGCCCATGTTTCGTGCGGGGCGGTCGGGTAGGTTTGTGGTTAAAGCGTTCGCTCGTCACGCCAAGCACCCGGGTTCCATTCCCCACATGGGTACAATGTGTGAAGCCAATTTCTGGTGTCCCCCGCCGTGATATTGATGGAATATTGCTAAAAGCGGCGTAAAACCATACTCACTCACTCACTCTCATGTTTCGTGCATGTTATATGATCTATGGTTTGTCAGCACCAGTACCAGTGCTCGTGGGTTTCACCAAAGTTGTAAACGTCTAGAACATTCACAATAACTGAAATGCTGTTGAACGTTGCGTGAAACTCAACTCATTTGTGTACCGTAACTCCTTGATTAAGCGTTCTACATACCGTAAATCATTGAAAAGGTGCATGGTGTATAGAGGTGTTTAATGACTAGCTTACAAAAAATATTTGTTGAAGTGCATTGTATGTAGTCTCCTGTCATAACAAAACAGCAGTTAAAAAATATTATAGATGCAGTTATCATAATGCAATGCACTAAACATCCAAACAATCCAAACAAAAACAAGTATTGATGTACTCAAATTTATTTCTTTTTCGACCGACCCAAAGTAATTCGCTTGCAAGAATTTGTAAACAATAAAATAAAAGAGTGTGTCCCTGGTTGTGTAAATGTGAAAAGTTTGTGAAATGTAAATCAGTTCACCATTTACAAGTAAGCTTAGGACAGTTTTTTTTATATCACATGAATAGTCCATGCATTGGTCGTTCTGCCCTAATGCTACAAATAAACACATGTATCACATACAGGCCACCTGGGGTCTGGCTATTTCATATGTAATCACACCATGAACGTATATTCAGATGTGTAACAAAATTCAAATAACAAAGGATCAATCTATTCCGATGAACTAGGACTCCCAGCAACATATCGTCTTCTGAAAGTTGTGGGGTACGGGTGGCCCAGTCGTCTAAGGTGCCGTAATTCGCTGTGCAGAGTTGCGTCAATTGGGCACGCCAGAAACCTATGATTGTGGGTTCGAATCCCGGTTCGCCCCAACTATGTATCTAGGTTTGTCTACACCATATCCGTGCTTGTGGGTTTTACCAAAGTAAATTCGAGCTTTCCTCACACATTAAGCTGACACGTCGTGAAATAACCAATCTCATTAAAATCAGACCTTAGTTCTCGCTACCGCTAAACAAAGCTTTAGCGCTAGCGAGAACTAAGATCTGATTTTAATGAGATTGTGAAATAACTGGAATACTGTTAAAAGCGTTAAACGACTCCCATTTGCTCCATCATTTGATTATATTCCAAATAAAGATTATCGCATGATGTATTTTTAACTGCCAGCAACAACACCGACGTCCCACTGCCTAATCACTCTATCATTCACTGGGACGGACGGACGGACGGACGGCGGACACACACACACACACACACACACACACACCACGACACACACACACACACAACATACACGCGCGCACAAAACAAAATCATTAACACTTGACAATTTGACTCTTTTAATGTTGTTATAATGTTACACAAAACTTGTCCTTCTCTCCGAATTTAATTGGCGTGCTTGTATTATAGAAAAATATTGCTTTCTGTCCAAGATTCAGAAGGGATCATAATGTGAAGGTTTGTGGGCTTGAATATTGCTGACAGCGACATTAATTCACTCACTCATTCTTACGAAACTCAGTAATTATAGCTAGTGTATATGCATGCTGTGTGAATGAGCCGCGTGTAGCATGGCTTGAGAAAAAATCACATACAATTAAAAAAAAGGTTAATATTTTGAATTAAATCATTTCTATTTATTTGTTGTTATTTGCTCAAGGGTTAGAAATTATTTTTATCTCACTTGACGCCAAACATGATCTGCTACAGATTTGCTTTCCACCTAATGGTAAAAATACATGGTAGTCCACAAGGAAATGGCACAACTCCTTCCCCATTTTAACTATTCTCGAACTAGCGGACTTATGCTAATTTCGAACGGTTACACTATTTAGCAGAGCTACAGATACATGTAGCTGAGCATTTGCGTAAAATACCCCAAAAGTATTCAAAACCCAATTACTTTCAACTAACTTGCGTACAGAAACGCATGCATTAAATGAAAAACTCAAATGTATATAAAAGCAGCATGCGTAAATACCCAATGAAGCTTTTTCAGCCTGATGGAGCTAATTTCCGAAACACAATTACAAGCGAATTTACTTTCCCAGTCAAGCCTATAGTTTATACACATTATATACATCTAAAACATTTTATTTATTAATTGAAATCTCAAAATGTTATCTCATTTTGGGAAAAACCCAATAGAGTGATGAATAGATGAGTGAAAAAATATTGGTTACCCAATGAAAAATGTAATAACCCAATTTAAATAGAAACCTTCGAGTAGAAACTCAATTGCTCAAAAAATTATATGGAGCTCTGATTTAGGGTTAGTTGTGGTCTTTGGTAATTTATTCCTGATATCTATCACCTTTATCTTTTTAACTTGAAGTGAAGCTGAATATGCCGCTCTTGAGTCTGTGTCAATGCGGCATCGACTACTCTCCGCGGGACCTATTCCTCATTTAGCCGCATGCAGTTCTCACCTGAAAACACAGACTGTCCCTATTAAAAGTTGAGTGGTATAACCGTGGTCGAGTGAGTGAGTATGGTTTTACGCCGCTTTTAGCAATATTCCAGCAATATCACAAATGGGCTTCACACATTGTACTCATGTCGGGAATCGAATCCGGTTCTTCGAGGTGACGTGCAAACGCTTTAACCACTAGGCTACCCGACCGCCCCCGTGGTCGAAATGATAATACTTTGATATATTGAATGTTCAAGACAGGTTAATTCAAGGAGATTACAGCATTACTTCTATCTAAACAACATCGACTCGTCTCTCTGAGATGAAAGGGACCCCCGGCTAACACACCTTGACAACAGGTCATCTGTCTCCAATGACAAATTATGCGCGTTTCGTGCTCTCTCACTGACGTCATGTAAAGGCCGATAGTACAGTAACTCCTAACAAGGCTTGTCGTGACCTGGGCAATACACAGAGTTTAGTATGTATCGAATAGTGTGTTTACATACCAGCTTGTTTGTTACGAATGTTTTGTCGTGGTTCGCCTATCGAAAACGTAAACATGTTTCTATACAGTTGGTATGTGGACATACGGGAAGCGCCATGTACTAAATCTCTGTCGATAAATCACGATGTATGTGTATCATCACGTACTTGTGGATGTATGTGTATCATCTCGTATTTGTGGGCGCACATATATAAATGCCATACGCACAGGGTGCGGGACATCGCTGTTTATACAATTATATATTGCGTGTTAGTCGAATACCAAGAGAGAAAATGTGCATCACTTAATCCCATATAGGTCGCTCCACGAGAAAAGTATATAGAGATCCAGAGGTTGGGTCCAGGGGGTCCGGATACCCCCCCCCCCCCCCCCCCCCCCCCCCCCTTTTGAAAGTGTAGTGTTGTAGGCAGTAAAATTGACTTAGAGAGGATTTTGATATTTTGGACCCCTCCCTTTTAAAAATGCTGGATCCGCCCTTGCATAGTCTTAATAACGCTGCCAGTTTACACCAAAACATGTATAAACTTGCACATTTTTGTGGAGATGTCTTTTCATGTTTGTTTTAAATAATACACTGTCTTTACGCTCTCAGTTTTGATCTGTATAATTTCTTGATCCCTTCGAAACCGTTTTATGCATGAACCGTTTTCTTTTCTTTTATTCATGTGAGAGAAAAAAATGTTGGAGAAAAAATATACACTTTAAAGTTGGATTTGACAACAACAAAAATACAAACATTATCAAAACGTTACGAGGCTGAAAAAAGTCGCCGAAGCTCTGCAAACTTTTCAAATACATCACCATAAAATAACCATTTCTTGTTTGTTTCATTTTAGCCAACATCAAATATGGGTGTAAAATTTCTTTTGCCGTTTACTATGCACTGAACCTGATTCGACTGCAGCCAACAGCCAACATAGGTTTTAGTAGCTGTCTGTTATATATCATTGTGTCATGAAATCCCATGATATTAAATGTTGATCACAATGGCAAAATGCCACGTTATGTGTATTGTCTCCGCATAGATTGTCACAATCATGTTTACATTATATTTAATGATCAACTTACAAATGAAGTGAAACGGACCCTAACTTTGTCACATTTTCTCGCGTTGTGAAATAAATTACGAAATGCCATTTAAAGGCAAGGAATTTGCTATGGCGCAAAATTGAATGACGAATCCCGCCCATAAAGCCGGTTTGTGATGAACTGACTGGGAGTTTATCTGCTCGGAATGCCAGTGATTATCTCCCTTAGAATGGTTCTCTCGCGAACGTTCCCGATGATGGCGCAGGTGCCCGTCATAAACAAGAGTGCTTTCCTAAAAACTGGTTATAATAGAAGATTACTATTTCTAAAGTCTTGCAAACGCAACTTTATTACTGTGTTGTGCTCTGTTATCAGGATGAATAAATACAACAACATACAAATTAAATATATCACCGGCAATAAAATGAGTAAACAAATAGGAATGTTTTCTCACAGAGGCAGAAGAGCTGTATAGCTTTCCAATAAACAATATAAACACAAAATAATAAGCTAAAACCAAACTTTGGTTGCACGTTTCTTCACATATATGTACGGAAACAAATATTAAAATGTTATTGACTTTACATCTCAAGAAAAAGCCGTTAAGTGAAAATGAAAATACGAAGCACTGGAAGCAGTAATTAGAAAATACGATATGTACATATGAAAATCAGTTTTAGTATTATAATATTATTTCACCAAATTAGCAGACTGTCTTAACAATGGTACAGACTAGGCAAGTATAAATTTGTGCAATTAATTTCAGATATATATGAAATATATTTGTGTTTGACGATTTATCAATTTTCATCGCAATCAATGAACATTCGCTAAACTTCTGGAAGCGTCTTACGCGAACTAGCTAGGCGTAAGGGAAATAGTTTTGAGTCCTTCTGAGACCTTTCTAGATGGTGAACGAACTGAGGTGCTGTTTCGAGGGCTTTGGCTGAAGGACTATATATACACGCGACAATGGCTGGGAGGTCAGTTTATCAAGATCCTTACAGTCAGCCTTTTCAAAGGAACGAACCTCTACCGACAGGTTGGGAAATGTTATACGACAAGACAACAGGTTGGCCATATTTTGTGGATCACAACACGCATCATACGACTTGGCAAGATCCAAGGATAAGGATGGTAAGTCTTCGATTCGGATTTTTTTAAGCTGATACAGATTTGTTGTACATTATCCAAGTAAGATACACCTGATGGGATCCACTAAATATTGGCTTAATTGTGAAAAAAAAGGATTAATGAAATTACTTGATGTGACTGTAAACTGTCACTGTCAGCAGTAACGGAACGCGCTCAGAGCTGTCTTGAGTTTAAATAGCTTGGCCTAGTCCTTGTCAAAGTCGACCAAAGCTTCTCGTGTCTTCGGCCTGTTGATCATCATTTACAAAACTTTGCTTTACAAATCAGCCCGTCTGTTACAAAGGCTCAGATAGGTGAAAACCCTTTGATGTGTCATAATAGACAGTAAAATCTTTTTGCAGTCGGTAATCGATTATTATCGTTCATTAATAGGTAATATACACCGGACTCATGGATAATAATAATACTATCATATCATGACCTATATCAGGAAATTTTGTTCAGCATACATTTATTGGGTAAAATCTGTATTGAACAAAGGATAATAATAACTACTTCTCTGCAAAATAATCGTTTTTGTCATATCAGTGACATGTTTGAAGTAATTCAGATGAGAGATGATTGATCCATCCCATGATCCGTGTGTTCAGTTCAGCACCAGTTTGTATTCATCTGACAATGTGACAAGCAGACACTTTTTTAGCCTGAATATGTATCTTTGCATTATTTTGTCAGTATGTTTAGTATTAATATGTCATCTTTATTAGGAAAGTGTATGGTAGTGACAAACTATTTGTAGACTTGGGCTTCGGAGTGGTTAGCTGGCTGCATACTAAGAATGAATTAAGTGATTATGTCTTGAATATGTCTCTCAGCTCAGTTGCCATTCTTATTTTGATAAACAGATTTAAATTAGTACTCGCCCAGACCTGTTTGTTATATCAAACAGAACTATCAGTAATATCAAATAAATGTGACTGAGAAGGAATTGTGTGTACAATGACCATCTACATTTTTGTTGTTGTATCATTTACAGACTCAGTCAATGGGTTACCCTCAACAAGATTATGGAATGGGGCGTGGTCATCAGCCAAGCTACTACCCTCAGGGGAAGACAGTGGAAATTCCTGTCATTCATGAATCTTCTAGAGCCTCACCTAATAGGCAGGTGCCTCATCATACCAGTACATGGCCAGGTCCACCTCAGCCACAGCCTCACCAGCCATACCCCCAGGGGCGTGCAACTCCCCCCTCCCAACAAAGCCATCCCACTCACATGCAACACGCCCAAGGGAGAAGTTCCCCTAGCATGAGGGAAATACCTGTTCAACATTTAACTATCAATGAAAATCGACCCCAGGTACAGCCAAGTCATGGACATGGTCAAGGATATCCACAGCCATCACAAGGGCACCCCCAACAGCCAATGCAGGGCCACCCCCAACAGCCAATGCAGGGCCACCCCCAACAGCCAATGCAGGGCCACCCCCACCAACAGCCAATGCAAGGCCACCCTCAGCCTCAGCCTGGGTATCCCCACCCACAGGAACACCAACCCCAGACTTACCCACAGCCCCAGGGATATCCTCCTCAGCATGTGAGAGATCAGGGGATACATCAGCCAAGTCCGCAACAAGCTCCACCCCGACGTGAGACTAACGAGCCAATTGTTATACCAATTCTCCATGAAAACTCAAAACCAGGAGCTCAAAACCAATCCAGTCAGCAAATGCCCCAGCCAAGAACCCAGCCTCATTTTTCAAGTGGTCCATCGTTGAATGAGCATGCTCAGAAGTCATTTAACCCCCAGCAACCAATGGGTGGTCAGCAGCAGCAAACCACGTCGGCTCCTCAACAGCAAAAGTCTGAGGAAGAAAAAGCTTTCGATATTATTAATGGTGTTGTGAATGATGTGAAAAATCTGGAAGCAAATGTGAACGTGTTTCAGGGGAAGAAGACGGACAAGGGGTACAAATACTTAGAGGAGATGCTAACTCGGAGCCTCCTGAAACTTGACGGGGTGCAAGCTGGGGGTCAGGACAGGATCCGAGATTCACGAAGGCAGGCTGTCAAACTGATCAATGCTGCCTTGGACCTTCTCGAACTCAAGGCTTGTGCAAGTGAACAAAATGTTGAACACATTGACGATCAACGTTCGGGATACCAAGAACATACAGGGGGAAATGGTAGTACTTACGAACAGTACAGCTCAATGCCTCCCCATTTGTCTGCAGGTGATGCTGAACAGTCACGTAGGGCTGAGGGCATCAATAATGAAACTCAGCCTAGTGATTCTAATAATGAGAAGAAGCCGGGAGAGAAGGACCCCAGCCATGTGAGAGAGATGTTACTAGAGAGTGAGGTTTCTTGTTAAACTGTTGGACTGTTAGTGTTAAATTATAGATGCACAGTCTTCTAATGCCACTATTTTTTATGTAACTCTTGTATTTAACTTATTAATGATCTGTGTTAATGATGAATAAATATTTATTTATTGGAAGGTTACATTCTGTTACATATTAATTGTGTTAAACATGTAGGAGGTGGTGCTCCTTATATCGTCGTCCTTGTAAGCATCTGATATACTCTCTTCTATGAGATCTCCACGACCAGGATGTGCTTCAGGCATCTTCCCTCTCATTTTCATGTGACAGAAGAGAATGTATTCTGTCCAGTGTTTGAAATAATTTTGAAACCCAATGAGACAGTTGGGCAGGTGACCCATAAGTGTTGCCTGCCCATCTCTAAGGTTACCTGCCCGGCCTCAGAAATTTTAAATTACTTCAGAATCCACAAGGAGTTATAATAAAACTTAATAAGTAGTCTTAACATCATCTGCCAAACAGTCGGGCAGATGGATAAAATTACGTTCATCCCGACAAGAGTTACCAACCAGGCGGGCAGACAGTCAGACTGTTTTTTTTACGCTGATTCTGTCTGTGACTTTAATACTAGCCTGAAGCCTGAGTGTAGAAAACATTTTTCTCGGGTAAATAAGCTGTGCAAATAAAAGTCTATACATTAACATCAAGATCTACTGACAAACCTGTCCCAAGTCATGTTTGGGCAAGTAGACTTGGACGTTTTGGGCACAGACTGTATTACATATTTTGAAAGTTGTCAGAAATAGAGCCAATGATCCACATGAATTCTCTTTCTTGTTTATAGATTGAAGATAAACAACAAAACTATAAGTTGATAATTCCCTGATGTATTAAAGTAGAGCACCCACCGACCTGTTTGTCAGGGACAAGTCAACATGGTTAACTAGAACATAGCTCATCCTTTTGGCCAAAGGGACATACATATGCATAATCAGTTCACCTCTGTGAAGTGTTGTCACTGGAGAGTTGCAATAAGCGTGATAAGAAATGACATGTTTGAAATATCCGTGGTGTGTTCCAGATGCTATGAGCAATATTTAATGGTGAAAGATGTATAGTTCTGTTCTGCTGACCAGATCTTTCTTAAGACATTTGTTCACAAGTTTCCATGTTGTTTGAGGTCAAGGACTCACTGTTTGTGGGATAAGTGTCCAAACAGGTTATGATTACATCTATTTGAGTCTTTATTGTAGAATATTTAACAAACATGACAAACATCATAACATGATCTCTATGGTACATTTTGTTTGGCTGTCTTCTGTTAAAGGTCAAGGTGGACAGAAGTCAAACATTGTGTGAACCTCGGGTTATTCTTATTATTCAAACTCTGATAAGACATGGATTTATTGTAGACGCTTGCATAAGCATCCTCTTCATTCACATCAATTATCACATACTGTTTACGAGTTCCTTCACACATTGAAGTTTTTTTTAACCAAAATGATTAAAACATGGCTTCCAAAGGTATGGGAAACAGTGTAGAGTGTTATATCGGGCATTATTGAGGATAATTCTGACTCTAGGATAGAGCACAGCGTTTGATATCCTTTATGATTATCATAATATATAACATATCAAGGGAATCTACTGTACAGTTACACAAACTTAGGCAGGCTAGGTTAAGAAAACCAAATGAGCTCAAGTTTTACATCATCAGATTTACGTGTACATCTGTACTTGTGGTACTCTTGTTTACGGTATTATGTTTTGAATAAGTACCGTATTCCACGTAATAAGCGCCCACGGCTATATTTGCTAATATATTGGCTAGTGAACAATCCCAGTTAGCATCCCTTCCGATTGATCAATGTACACAAGACTTATTTATGCATGTATAATACGCACTCATGTGTGATATGCACCCTTAATTATGGGCAATTAAATTCTGGAAAAATGTACCTGTCGTATATAAACAGTTCAGACCGTCATCATAAACCACGAAATTTATCTTTCAACTCCTTTTTTTTCACCCAAAAAATATTCTAATAAGGGCCCCCTATTTCTAATTTTGAGAGTGCCCTGAGCGCCCTGAGCGCTTATTACATTGAATACAGTACTTGAAATACGATGTCCTGTCAAACATAATATTGTCATGTTGTGGCAAGTACTATTATAAGTAACAAATCTTGTTTAGATGGACAATGATTGTAATCTTTGCATGAAACAATACAAAGTACAAATGTAGCAAACCTGGAGTATGTCAACAAGTGGAAACAACACTGATACAATTCATTCAAGTGTCTTAACATGTTAAGTAAAAATCAGTATTAAATGTGCTGTAACAACATTGTCAAGTTTCATGTCATTTTATTTCATGTTATTTGAAATCCTGCTGTGCTGGATATTTGACAAGGCCAATGTTTTGTGTCTCTTCCTTTGTTGCATGTGTCTTAATGTTGCAGTGACGTGTCCTGTTTCGCATGTCTTCATGTATGTGTGGAATATTTATCAAGCCCTGCTGTCATGTTTTATTCACAACAGTTGGGCTGCTTTTATGATATGGCTTAGATATTTTATTAAAACTGAATTGACCCATTGAAAATGATAATTGATAGTATGTGAAAGATTTCTGTTTTTGCTCATGGAATATGTGAAAAACGTCCGGTTATACAATACATAATTCAGATAATCTCCTTGTTAATGCTGTAATGGATCATTTTGTCTTAGCTTTCTTCTGAATGTGAGCCTGCTTATTGCTGAGTGCTTATTCAGAGAACCTGTATTTGCAGTGTGACGGCTTCAATCAGTGTCAAGGGACAGTCTTAGATCTTCCTTTGGGGGCGGTGTTGTAGCCCAGTAGTTCAAGGTTCTGCTTGACCCAACAGTGGTTGGATGCCCAATGTGTGAAATCCATTCTTGTGGTCCCCAGCCTTGATATTATTGTCATTGAGTTCTATGGTAATGCTGGTTGTGTTTAAGAATTTATTGTGAATGTACCAGATATGCTGGGTATTTGAGAGCAACTGACATTGCCTGAAAGATGGTTTGAAGAGGCCCAGTGACTACTCTGTTCTAGATTATGTTAACATGGAGTTCTCCATTACGGTTAGAACTTAATTTTCATTTCACTAGTCCACAAAAAAGAGGTTTCATTTGAAGCCTCATTTGTAAAAGCGACAGTCCATGTGATGTTGCTTGTCCTTCTAAAAAGTTTGCTAAGCTGAGACTTAGGTATATTTGAACCCTGACTATGTAGATATTGTAAGTCTACTCAGGACAACTTTAGGACCGTAGTCATAAGCTTAGATTACCAATAAAATGTATTTAACAGTCAACAATGTTGGACAGATTTGTTGGGAAGTAAACACAGTACTCATGGTACTTGGCCCTGTTTTTCTAAGTGATGTTTTGACTGATTACCTCATCCATATTAAGATTCGGATGGTGCACCAGCAACATCTCTGTGGAACATGGCCTTGTAAATCTGGAAACATCCTTGATTTTCCAGGGTGCTATGTCTACATGTTATGATAAATATCCTGGACCGATTTGTCACGAAAGCTCCAGCCCTTAATGACATACTCTTTCTCTCTTATCACTAACCTAACACCTGAAATAATGCTGATGCTATGTTAGATGTTAACTCATAAACCTAACAGAGAACTTCTCTTGAATGTAATTTGAATAGATAGCTATATATAGCATTGTATTATTTGAATTTGTGCTACAACAAAGCTATTGAACCTAATGTAGTCTGTCTCCCAGTATCTGAACCATATTATTTTCCCTTCCACCGAGCCCTTACTGTTAAAGCTATAGCCGTATATGAAGCAAGTCTAGATTTTCACAGGTTCAATTTAAATGGAGCTGCTTGTTTCAAATGAGTCCAGAGTATTTATCAAAATTAAACAGATATAATGGATGATCGAGGATGATCAAGGAAGTGTTGGCATTGTGTTACAGGACTTTCATAGCAGATACTGAAAGGTGTTTTGAAATGTTAGCCTGAATTATTGAAAGGAATGGCTTTGTGTCCTGTCTTCCTCAAGGTATTTCACAGTGTGGTGTTGTGTTTACCTCCGTGCTACAGTGAGCATCGACTACCCATGTTCATGGCTGATAGCCTTAGTGTGTGCAATATCATTGTTACAAGTGATGTTCCTTTACCATTGACACGATCTCAACTTTTGTACATGGTGACACAACTCTCTTAAACAACACATCTATCTTGCCTTCTGTCAGAGTTTGTATTTTACAGTAGAATAGTGTAAATTCAGAGGTTACAAAAGTATGAGTGATGATGGAAATTATTTGGTACACAACTTATCCTTCGGCTACACCTATGCATTTCTTGGATTTGTGTTTTTTGTTTTGGTTAATAGGTGGGAGGCAAAATTAATTAAACGAAATTTTTTGTCAGGGTTTATATGAGTATTGCTTAACACTGAAAATCAGCAACCTTGCAGCCATTCTTGGTGGGTTAATGTGAAGATATTTCCTGAACAGAACTCTTTGATATAACTTCCCAAAAACAATAAAATGTTCAAAAGCCAATAAACCAATGTGTTATTTGTTTTACTCTTCAAAACTCAGGTTAGGCTTGTGAATAAAACAAGAAAGTACATTCACGGATAGTTCTGCCTCTAGTTGTAGCCATGTGTCGAGGCATATGATGTGGGATGTTCTGTGAGAGGCCTGTTGCCAGGATGGGGACGATGTAGAGAGATGCAGCGTGATTGCCCAGGTGCTTCTGTGGTATGTGTTGTATGTGTGTGACAGCTATCCTAGTTCACAGTAGTATCCCTGCTATAGACGGGGCTGTTGCTTTTTGCCTTACTAAACATTGTCATGAGCTAACAAGTGTGTCTTACAGTGTGTTCATGTCAGAGGTATGTGCTTAACTTCTGATAGGGATAATGGGATACTCTATTCGGCTATAAGACATAGTATATTGGGGTAACTTGAGAGGAAACTGAATTGGTTTTTAGCAATATTCAACATGACAACATGTTCCAGCCATGACACTTACCGGTAGTCTTACCTGGACAGGGGCGGTCGGGTAGCCAAGTGGTTAAAGCGTTCGCTCGTCACGCCAAAGACCCGGGTTCGATTCCCGACATGGGTACAATGTGTGAAGCCCATTTCTGGTGTCCCCCGCCGTGATATTGCTGGAATA